TTACGAATTTTAAAAGCTCTTGCGAATCAATGAATACAAAAAAAAGTTTAAGACATGAATATCTTAAAACTTTTCATCTTAAAATCGTCTAAGGATTTACACGATTCCGAGCAAGCATCTTATGTGAAGCACCCTGTATATGTACCACCCACTTAGTTGATAATTGTATATTTAGTGAATTGGATGTCCAGTCCATGGGTATATATATTGGGGAAAACAGTGTCAACAAATTTTCAAAAAATGTCTGGCCATCGTTTATGTTTGTTAATTACTTAATTAAAATAAGTCTGATTTATTCCTACTAGTTAGCTAGTAATTTTAATAGTGTCTTATGCAACACGCTTGCTAAATACCGCGTTTTGGCACGACCGGACTGCTGTGGAGCGAATGTGTAATAATTTGAGTACATATTTCTGCAAATCAGCACTAATCTAAAGCTAAAATCTACCACAAACATAAGATCGCTTCCAAACCCGTGACTAAAATACAGAAAACGTTCGAAGTTGCTCACGACCGTGGGTAACGAAGCTGACGTCTTAAGCTACGGTTGGTTAGCACTAAAAAAAATCGACTAATTACCGTCTAATTTTTATTGCTTTCAGGACAGACATTTATTGTTAAAGTAGGGTCTCCCATTTGTTACGGTTTCAAAATCCTGTCCTGTCTGACGTACAGCATTGTCCAAATATGCGTATTTGCATTCTTGTAAGGAGCAGGAACAACTGTTTATAATTTGTGACAATAAGAGAAGAAAAGATTTGTTAAGAGTTAGCTACGAAAAAAATCTATTCAGTAAATTTGATAGCCGTGCGGATTGTTCTATAGCCAAATTTCGAGTGATATTTCATTTACGGTCAAAGGCAAATATCTCAAAACAGTTGCCCTTGGCGACTTCTGATAAGACCTCCTCTCCTTCCTTCCTCCTTTCGTTTGTGTTAACAAAAAATATAATACAGGGTCGTACAAAAGTCTTTTGATAGAGAAAAAAACATGTATGTAGCTCCGCCTACAACTGAAAGCTAAATTAAGAATACAAATTTCACATGTCAAAAAACTTCCAGGTATCAATTTTACTTCACTAATCGGCATTATTTAGGAAATTACATCATTTTAAAATTCTGAAAAGCAATTTAATTGCTGCTAAAATGATGCAGGACATAGAAATAACCAAGTAGAAGTGAGCGAGGTCGTAACGTTTTCGAAATGATCACAATAAATCTTAAAAATCAAATTATTTTGATAAATCGACATAGTTAACTACGAAACGCCATCTCGTTAACAATAATGGAGCAGTTATTCGAAAGGTTCTAAGTTTCTGCGTTTCCGATTTTCTAGTTTACATTAAAACGTTGTACCGTCTAAAATATATTAGTTCCATAGAGCAAACTAGAAAACCTAAGTAAATATAAAAAAATATATTATCCCATAAAAGTTTATGCTTCCACCGACCACCACCCGGCAAAGGTACCGTTGTGATTTTTTAAGATCATTTAAAGAATAAAAATCGTGTTTTAGAAAATTTCCCTAAAATCAACAATTTACGAAATCATCCTTTCAAATGCACCATATTATACGTATATTATATTATATTATTACTAGAGTGAAAATGGGCTAATAGAATTTGTTTCTACAACCTTTTTCAAAACACATACAACTGATTCTGGAATTAGGTCCGTACTAAAGCGTAGAAGGGATAGATGTAAATAGTATGTTATGCAACAAATTTAGTCACGAGTTTATCAAGGTGTTGCATACTATACTTTTTTTTATGTGCATTTTTGCAAAACAGAAAGCATATATTCTTTGAGTGACGTGTGGCGTGACGTGTTACTCAAAAATCCGTGACTAAAGTACCGGAAACGTCAGTAGCACCCCGCGGCCGTGTTTTGAACTTGAACAACTACTTGATCTAACTAAATGTATGGCAGATTTCAATAGATCTGGATAGAAGGGAAACATCAGTGATACTGTAAATGTCACCAACTCTTTCAATTTCGCCTTTACATATTCACATTTGCACTTTAAACGACTCAAAAATTGCGCCGCAATTGATACGATGCTGCTTAGATACAAAATGCCGGCTGCGTATGTATGTACATACTTGGTACCGATCAAATTATATCTGGCAAATATCAACTTTAAGTGAAACCGATCGATCCTATCTGGATCTTTAGTTTCTCGTGGGCAACCAATACGTACCTATTCTGATAGAATTCAACCTGCAAGAGCGATAAAAATGACCGTCGGTTGAAACTGTAATTCCGGAGAAACCATTTAGAGGCATTTCAACTTTTAAAAACACACTTAAAATTTCACGTTTTATAGGTTTGTACAGGCGGGGGGATAATGAAACTAAATACTTAATATACTTCGATATGATTTCCAAGGTTTGACACGTGATTTCGTACGGCTTACGCGAATAGACTGTAATTGCTTGCGAGACAACTTTTAGGCTACTAAAATTTTTCGCTACGTATGCGAGCAGTGATACGGGACGTCCCGAGTTTCAAGGTAAATTAAAATTAAACTCTTCCGATATTTTTATAAAACCAAGTCAAAGATAGCGCCTATTCTGTGATTATAGTGCACATAGTACCCGTATGGAAAATGTTTTCCGTTCTACTTTTAACTCGACTTATACCTAACAAATACTGCATAGATATTTGTTTTTTTTTAAGTGTTCTGTTAAATGCAGCAAAAGTATAGTCAACATCTAACAAGTTAATAGTCGATGAGACTCAATCGTCCTGGTAAATTATACTAAAAATGATTAATTTACAATATTTTGAAAATTATTGATATTCGCATAGTTGGTGTGGATTGTAAATTGCTACCTACTTCCGATAACTCGAAAATATTTTAGCTGCATGGTTTTCTCCAACAGTACTGGTATGACACCCGAGACAGCTGCTATATGTCGCATCAACGGTTTCTTATAATAGATCCTGGATCGACAATCTGTATAGATATATTATATGGGGTCTAAAATGTTTAATGAATGATAATTATTAAAACTTATGGCAAACCGACACTGCCTACTTATCATCTCTTTATAAACAAATTTTACATTTTAAAGCTGCTTTAACTGGTTATTTAAAACCTGCTTCAATATGCGTGATTTTTTTTTTCGATTTTCGGATACGAAGTTCGAGAGGAAAGGGAGATCAAACACTCAGTTCATATTCATATGTTTTTTTTTTATTTCAATAATTAAAAAATTGAAATGATATTGATCCAGATAATTTGGAACCTATCGCGTGTTTTTGTGGGTTTAAAACATTGACGATATTTTTGTCTTTCAATCTAGGGTTTCGCGCGATCAGATGTTTTGACGTTTATCTTGTGACGGTCAAGTCATATATAACTCGATCAACGTATTCTTCAGTTCTGAAGAAAATGTACCCAAAAACTAATAGTAGTAAAAAAAGTATAGTATGTAACACATGGATAATCAAACAAAATAGCTTTGTTATTAAAAATTTACCATAACCAAAAATTTACCAATGATTATCGATGAACTATATTATAAACAAAGAAGTAAAATAACATCTTGATTACTAATCTCCAAATTATAGGTTTTTTTTACAATACCTACAAGTTATTCGAACGGATCAAATGCTGACTAAAAGCAGTTTTCCTTTACGAAACACACCTTGTTGCTACAGCCGCAACCCTGGTCATCGTGTAAAAGAGCTTTAGATTTTAATGTAACCAATACAAAATTAACAATATTATACATACAGTTCTTGGAAACTGTCGATTAAGTTAAAAAATACCATGCAATTTACTCAATCTTTTATATCAAACCTCGTTTTAAACAAAATGTCGCCGATGTCGATGTTTGATTTTCAAACACTGATGTATGGATAGCAAAGGCTTGCATGTGGGATACCTGCTTGTAAATAAATTAAACTCCCTTCATTTATCAGCATAGTTCAGTAATTTGTAGCGCATTGAAGCTGGGGTAATTTAAAATACTTACTTTCGTTGATGGTTGCACTTTTTAGCATTTTACTCTTAATAATATATATAGTTGTAGTTACAGATCGAGGTACAGAATTTCTTCAAGAGGTTTTGAAAATTAACATAGCTATTCAAGATTTTCTTTCATTATAACATATTTCGCAAATCATTTATATCATAGGTCACACAAATTTTCCAAAAAAAAATCTAAAATCACAAAGAAAATCGAAACTAAAACCATTTAGCAGCAAAACTGGCTCTACAAAAAATGATTTTAACACGCTGCGTCTAACCGTCCACAGGCCCTGTTATTTACTAATAAAGGTTAATCAGTAATTTTTTTAAGAAATGGAAAGAAGTGGAACATGGTATTCTATACAAAATTGCTCTGCACCTGGAGTAATAAAATCTACGAATCAAAATTATCTAATAAGAACTTATACATAATCAGACATTCGTAAGAATTTATGCTTATTTAGATATGTTAATATAGTTGTTATTGATTAAATTTTGCTGTCCGATCTTTAGAAAATGTTAGTAGACAATTCACCACCGCTTTTAAATCGGCGTTCGACGCTGCAGCACAATATTAGTAAAATAAAGCAATATCAGAGCAGCTATCTAAATTAATAATTATCGCTAACCACGTGCCTTTAGTACAGTGTTGCCGGTTTAAATGTACCGAATTTGGCAAAACATTTAAAAATTCGTTTTCAAGTTTTCTCGATTGCCTGCAATGTATTTATTAAAGTTTTATCACCAGCAGCAACAGTACATAAAATATTTGCAATCAATATAGATTATATTTAACCAAAGAAACCAGTCACATTTTTTCAGCAATTTTAAGAAAAATACTTAATTTTAGCAACTGTGTTCCAGAGATGCGCCGCCGCCGCAAGCCGTTCGACCATAACATTGACATTTGGCAGCTGTTTATCTCTCAATCAAATTTAACATGGTAAAATTTATTGAAAAAACGTCATCTTGTACTAAAGCTCAGCAACTCAGTAATGGTTCTCAAATTTATGTTAGCTTACCTCGGATAGGAAACGGTTTCGTCTGAACAGTCTCCGTATTTGGCGGCAACAATCTCTTGGTCTCTGGGGACATAATACTTGGACATCCTTTCACTTCATTCACTTTGCAATTTTTGTAATTATTTAAATTTCCCGACGCAGTAAACGTGCTGTTACGGACTCTCAGAGAGCCGCTGATAACGTCCAAACCACTACTCATACCGTCAAGGTTTTGATGTCGTCTAAAAAATTATGAAACACGTATACGATCGGCCTTGGATAGAATTCACGGCCTGAACATTGCTCGACTGTTATCTGTCACTACCGACTGGAAGGGGTCACCGTAAAATAGTGGGTTTTAATCGGGCGGTGGGGAACACCAAGATTTGAGCGGTTGCAATTACGACAATGATTCTTTTTGCGAATTTGGCACACGAGCGCGCGATGTGAAACGTAAATAAAAATTATATTTACATTCCATTTTTTAAGCATTAATTTCTGGAATCGTCTGTTTGCCATCTTTAAACGTCATTTTTTAAAACTTCGTTAATTGACACTTGAATTGTAATAACATAATACGTCAATACCTATGAACTCGTGAACAGGGTAAATGCGGCGGCAACACCCCAACATGACGTCTCAAAAATAACTACTTATTGTAGCGCATTGTACTCAGCCGCAGTTCAATCCTCATGCTGAAATTCCAATGTGTATATTATTTCAACTTCCGACTGTTGGCGCTATAAAATTTTCGTTAGACAAATTAACGAATTCGACATTCGATAATTTTCACGTATTTCATGTAATTATTGTTATGAAAAATGGTATTATTTTCAACTTGGAGGAAATAACGCAGGCTTGTTCAGCGAAACCGTATTTAAAAAAAAAAAAAACATATAAAGGATGAAAGAGGCAACTAATACGGTGCTTTAGTTATCTTCTTTTCGGTTTAATACATTCTACATCCTTAATTGCAAAATCATTTCTTTTTTCGATCATGCCATGCCAAGAAAATTTATCACAACTTTCAATGGCATATCGATTTTGGCATATTATATAGGTATATGAAGCGGAATCCGATATTGCAAAGCCGAGCGAATTTAACTTTTAAGTTCATGATCGATTTGCACAGCCGTATTATTTTTTCAAAGAAACTTCCACAGGCTACTGTTAAGCTCTCAAGAAGTCAACAGGAAGATTGGCGAAACGTCAGCAAGTTCGATTCATCAACAGCACAAGAGGATTTCGGAAGATTTGTCAGTAGTATATGAGACTTTTTGTGGCTTTCCTATTTGGTTTAATAATATCTTACAAAGATTTAGTTTTACTAAAATTTTTTTTTTGGCAAACAATATTAAATAATAGTGTTTAATAAACAAGTGATTGAAAAAGTTTATCAACGTGCTGGATAGGTACTTTTTCTACGAATATTAGGTTTTGTTTGTTTTTGCAAAACACCATAAATAAATTCAAGTAAGTGAAGAAGTTTATCAACGTCGTTTTGTTTATTATGTACTATTCTTTTTCTGGCAACATTAGTTTTTTGATACAAAATATCATTTTTATTTTTGACGCCATTTGAGCAAAAAAAAAGGTTTAACAGAAAGTTTGGCGATGATCCGTCCATATAGCAACTAAAGATATAAAGGCCTTACCTCTCCCGATAATACAAGAACCTATGAAGTAACAATAAAAAAAATGAGAAGGTCCAGCCAACATGCGTGAAATTTAAAACATCGCCTTTAACCAATGACCCTGCGACATTCACCAACTAACATGGCTGCTGACAGATCGTCAATAAGTTTAGATGCGGCATTTTACGGCAGTATTTTTTAAAAATATGCCTAAATCTCAATAAATGTTCTGGAAAAACGAGTTAAGGGTGTGGAAATCATTGTTTACAAAAAAATGGCGGCGCAAAGTGCAGGTTAGTGGATGAAGTGTACAATCTACAATCACTCCCGCCTACGCCGCATCAATTTTTACTGTAGTAGTGCCACTATATCCTCTGATAGCTATATGGACCCCTCCAACAAAAAAATGTCTTTACTTACTTATGAATGGATTTCCTTATTTACGTTTTAATATTTGATTTTCGATTTTTTACATTTTCAAGCTAGGGGACTTGATGGAAATAACTTACTTCCACACACATTTGTTCTTTTTATTACGAATTTTTGTGCTTTTCGTAGAAGTGCTATTTAGTGCATTGAATTAGTTGTAAAGTCAAATTCATATGGCATATTGAAGGTAACCAGAGTCAGTCTAACTGTTACTATTCAAAGCTACTAATAAAAACTAGATTATCAAAAAAAGAAGAGAAAAACAAATATAATGGCAGTATGGAGAATCACAGAAGTGACAATTCAAAGACCACTACCATTTTAACTGTTTCTTTATGGTTTTTGTTGTAGCTTTAGTCATTTTATCAATGATTTTATGACCTCTTTCATTTTTTTGATACTTGTTTGCTGCCTTCATAAATCATGTGAACCACTGTTAAAAGTTTGTTTTGCAAACTTACGTATGTATTTATTTTCTGACAAGGTGTGATTTGAGTGTATAAAACAAAATAATATTATTAAGGGTTGGACAATACATTAAGTAGTTAAAATTATGTACTTTATTTACATTGCTTTTTATCTTGTATATATTTTTTAAATACTGTGTCTTTAAACTTTTAGGTGTCACTTACAACAAATACATTTATCTTTCTTAGAATTCACAATTAGGAGCACAAAGCCAAACTATCATTAATAACTTATTGATGCAAAGCAGTTGTTTCTAATTGGGGTGCATCTTTTTTAGCAACACCACCAAGTAATTTTTTTATCTCAGCAATAGCTCTTCCAGGATTTAAACTCTAAAAAATATAAATAAAAGTAAGTTACAAAACTAAATCATTTTTATCTCTTACTTTCGGACAGGTTCTAGTACAATTCATAATAGTATGGCACCTAAAGGCAGAGAATGGATCTCTCATTTTATCCAAGCGTTTCTCTGTTGCATCATCTCTTGAATCAATAATCCAGCGATAAGCCTAACAAAAGGTACTTCAATTACAAACCAAGTGTGATGTCAAGAAGTAAATCTTACCTGCATCAAGACTGCAGGTCCTAGATACTTGTCCCCATTCCACCAGTAGCTGGGGCATGAAGTGGAACAGCAGGCACACAAAATGCACTCATATAAGCCATCCAATTTCGCTCTATCGTCCACACTTTGTAGATATTGGTGTTCACCTCCTGATTTACTTAATTCATCTCTGAACAATTACCCAATAACCATATCATTATTAATGATAAATATCACTTGCTATAACTTACTTTCTTTGAAGCCATGGTTCTATGGACTTATATTGTTGATAAAAGTTGTTCATGTCTGGTACGAGGTCTTTAACAACATACATGTGTGGCAATGGATATATCTTTGTGCTTTTTCCTGGATTGGTGTCAATTTTGCTAAAAATATTAATTCTTTGATTTATTATTTTTCCTTAACTTTCGGTAACCAACCTGATACATGCCAATGTATTAACACCTCCAATGTTCATTGCACAAGAACCACAAATTCCCTCCCTGCATGATCTTCTAAATGTTAAGGTAGGATCAATTTCATTTTTGATCTTAATTAAAGCATCTAAGACCATAGGTCCACATGACTTAAGGTCAACTTGGTACTCTTGCATATACGGCTTCTTTTCTGGTTGATCTGGATTCCAACGATATATTGAAAAAGTTTTTGTACGTGAGGCTTCGCCTTGTTTTTGTTCAATTGCCGCCAAGCATTGCACAGAGCTATGCAGATATCGAACCTTGACAATAATAAATAAAAGAACAATCATTATTATGTAACTTAAAAAATTACCTGTTCCAAGCTTTGTTTTCCAAATTTAAAGAATCGGATTTCCCTAGACATAACTCAAAAATCAAATGTTTTGAAGCTGTAAATCAATAGAATATAAGACCGAACAATAAATATAGGAGACAATTATTAGTACAAAATGATTGGAAAAAATTTAATTGTTTTCAAAGTGAAAGCCAAAAACCATAGATAAGAGATATAAGGGGCGACAGAACCATAGACTAAATATGGACCATGAACAAGAAAGAGAAAATACATTTCCTCTCAGCAGGACAAGACTGCTGTGGTCATTCGTCCATTTTCTGGTATTCGCAGAGAATTGTTCTTTTGGTAATTGACCAACACATAAGAAGAAGAAATAAAAGCAATATTTATTATCAGCTGGCGATTTAGACCGACACAAAAAAAAGCGGTTTCCACCGCGGATCATCCGGGCCCATCCGGCCACTATACCGCCGTGAATAGAAAAAACAGCGGGCCCGACCACGATTACATCTTTAAAATAACTTAACTAAACACTAAAAACACAATGGGAACCGATTTCAAAGTTTTTGAGACGATAACAAGGGATTCTGTCGGAAAGGGAATGGAGGTTAAACGGCTATGTACAATGCCCACAAGACAGAATCCCAACCACGAGCAAATCTTTGCCTTGACTTGATCTGGTGTAGTACTTGATACCTTCTATTAATAGGCTCAAATTGCGATTTCGTCAACCTTTCGTATCTAGCTAGTAAAATCTGTTCATATATATAAGAAAGTGACTAACTGATACGAATTAAGCTATACGGGCAAGCTGTAAGAATGAAGTATGCCCGAACAGGTCCGTATTTTGCTTAGAATTTAATTATTTGGGGTTTTGTTAGAAAAGATACTAAACAATATTTTTTTATTTATGTATGTGTTTATGTTTAAATGTAAATGTTTTACACTTATCAGTTGAGTCAACCCAACCCTTTTCCGGGGTATCATAAGTGTCGAACAAGGTTTCATCCAAGTAAATAATTGGCCTTTGTTGTTCTCTGTAAATCCTAATTTTTTCTAGATATTCCAGTCACCATTTCCGAATTCTAAAAGATTCCATTAAAACTCGCCTTTTGTCAATTAAAAACCATGTGTTGAATACACTCCCATAAGGTAGTTCTGCCATATTTAACACCGGTTTCGTCTTTTTCAAGCCTCCTAATTAAGATATATAATGCACGCTTTGTTCCTCGTATAATTGGTAAATTTTACGCCATATTATATCTTGATCCCTTTCATCTACATTCGAGAAAATGTTAGCGTCGCGTCTTCTTTTCCTTGCTGAAATGGGATTATTCACAATTTTCGTCAATGTGGCCGTTTCTGCTAAAGATGCTTGCTTGCTGGCGCCACGTTCAATTGGAGTCAAATAAACATTGTTTATAACTTCCTTAGTCCCAACAGAATAGTGTTATCTACATTTGGGCGAGAGCATCTCCTGAGATACACTAGACTCGCATATATTTTGCATAATTCGCACACTATTCAACACACGTTGTATTACACACGAAATAAGAATGACTACTAATAAACTTAAACTACCAAATATCAAAAAAATACCAAACCAAAGAATATTAAACACAGGTAGGTATAAAATTTTTTTTCAATTACGGACCACAATTTTACCTGAGTTTAAATTCCGAAACTTTAGGACATAATCTTGTTGCATTGTTAATGACCATCCTTGGGTAATCCCATTCAAAAGCAATTGGTCACTTTCTTATATCTATGAACAGGCCATACCTACCCAGGTACACCTAAGCATCTAGGTTCCTACGGTTAACCCTTTTCTCTATGGAAAAAATGGAAAAATGTAGGGTTAAAGCTGTGAAAACTGGCGAACAATGAAAAAGGAAAAAATGAGAAGCGAAAATAAGGCATGGCTGGAAATGACCAACGCCCGTTTAATCGTTGGTTTGCAACATATTTTATATAATGCAGTTAATTGAAAAGAGTGATTCTAACGATTGCTCATCACTGGTGGTATATTCTCAATAGCGAATGTCCCACAAATAATAATAAACGAGTGTACTTTGTTGAGAGTTCATATAAGTTAGTTGAAATTTAATATTGAGTATATCTACCATAGATGAAAGTTAACCGCTTTGAGAAAAAATATACACAAGATTACTAATCTATACCCAGAGCTCATTGGAAACTAGCAGTTCTAGCCATGATTACGTGTTATTCTAAATGCCGAACTGTGCTTCAAAATCTAATTTTCATTTTATGTATGGTGGAGGGTATGTGAAAACGTGTGAAATTTATGAACATATCTTAAACGTTTTTTAATATTTTTCAGAAGCTATACAAGTAACGTTGGAGTTATAAACGGTCCGTTTTCTCTTTAAAGGACGGATTTTCTGTTTTTACAGTACAGTAAGTAATTTTTCGTAAAATAGGTCTTGTTTTGTGTTCAGCTAAGTGACACGTCGACTCAGTAAGGTAGAACACTTACTTGTAACTGTTTTTTATTTTTTTTTTGGTGTAGATTTATTGAATACTTCTGTCTTGCTGAATTTCTAAAATCTACAGTTTTTAAAATTGATAATTTTTTCCGAAATTGGGAAGTTACATTAGAGAGGCTCCATATGTCTCTTTATATGGTTATATATCATCAGGTTTTAGGGCAATTTCTATTTGAAATGATTATATTAGGCTCTATTTTAGGGGAATGTAAATAGCAATCTAATAATAATAATAGGTATTCGTTGTATAAAATTTAAAACAAATTTTGTACAAACATTGAGTTTGGCATTAATACTTATTGGCTTAGAAACTAATCTCCTCCGCCTCCGTCTCTCTTTGACTGCAATAAATGCTTTTAGTTTATTAAGAAAAGGAATCAAATTAGTTAAAGTGGCTTAGATAATGGTGCTTGTAATATTTATGCAAATATTATTAATTGTTATCAATATTAACCATTACATTTCTTGATAAGGTTCTATGACTTTTTAAATAAAGATCATGCTTTTTGTACAAACTTGCAAAGGTCGTCTAAAAAATATCAATAAACCTAATGTTGATGACACATACAATTTCTTTATCATATATGATGTTAAACATTCTTTCAGTAGGTTCAATTTCCCTTTCTTGAAATAAGTTAGGCTATCGCTGACACTGAGTTTTTTGTATTATTTGATACTCTTACATATCTTAATTTTGCAGTAAATATTTGTTGTAATATTCACTTTCAAAGTTATTTTTTCCATTTTGTTTACCTTTTGGCATTACATTTTAAACTTCAATAGAGACACATTTTGATTAGGATATTACTTGATAAGTTTTTTTTTCCTTTGTTTAATATGACATAATATTGATATGCAATAAATAAGAAATAGTGTTCTGCCAGTAAACTATTTTCCTTTTTTCGTAGTGTTGCTGTAACGACTTGGCCCGAAAAAGGACACTCCAAAAATGCAGCAACCAGTGATAGAAGAAAATTCCGCTTATGAGTCAACATCTGTTAGCTATGATGCCTTGTTTCCAGCATTGCCCGAGAGTTCTCTACCTAAGCAGCCCAATAATATCCAGGCACAATTAAACATTAACAAAATGCGTGTAGGAACTTCCTTGAAAACCCAAGTATTCAGGTAGGTTGCAATATGACCTGTTAATCAATTGTATTTATTTGTGTTTTTGGTTGTTAAGGGTTCCATTTGAAGAACGCAAACTTGATGGAAATCAAAAGTTTGGTGAGGGAGAATCCAAACATGCTTGTGCTCACATCATGAAAGAAACCGGGGCTCACATAGAAATTTCACATGCCAGAGACCAGAGCTTGACTTTTCTTGTAATTGGCAAACAGAATGAAGTACTTGAAGCAAAGAGAAAGATTTTAACACATTTCCAAACACAAGTGAGGTGGCTTTTACTTGATGAAAATCCATTTATCAAAATGAATATGAACTAAAAGTTCAGTTTTTCATGAAATTTTATATTTTTACATGACAATCGTTTCGACAACACCGTGTCTTTATAAAATGTAATATTTACAAACTACCTGCTACTATATATACCGAAAAATAACCATAAAATCTTAATTAATGTTGTTGTGAGAATTTAAGTTCAATAAAGGAGAGGTATTTAAATCTAATTGATCGCTAAGCAATACATTTGATGTCTCATTTTGTCAATCTCCAATTCTATAGTGGATTATGTCTTTGCTTGCTTTGTTGGAACCCACAGACAATTGAATTCTTTTTTCCATTTATCATAAAACTTCACACACGGACACAGCCATACATAACAGCTCATATCACCCTTATACACACAAAATGGTTGCATGTCACTCTTTTATACACAGACTTCTTAATACACCACTCTCAACAGAAAATTACAACAAAGAACTTAATATCATTAAACAAATTGCACTGAACAACAGCTACAATCCGTCCATTATAGATAAAGTTATAAATAAAAAACAAATCCAGACAACAGTAAACTCTATTTATCTGAAACCTAATACAGAACACGACAATTTAAAACAATTACATACATAGGAGAACCTAGTGAAAAAGTTTCAAAACATTTGTCAAAAGGTGGTTTAAAAATAGCTTTCAGAACTAACAACACATTAGGAAAATTTTTAAAAAACAATAAAACCAAATATCCAAAATCTCAAAAAGTAGGTGTCTACATAAATTTATATTGGACACACAGGTAGATTCTTCAAGAAACGCATTAACGAACATAAAAGAGCGTTTCAAAACAATAGTCCAGATTCTAATTAATGCTATACATTTAAGCACAGAAAAACACATTTTTACATACAGCCACAAAAAGTAGAAAATTAAATTTATTGGAAGCCATGGAGATTAACAAAATGAGACATTCAAATGTATTGCCTAACGATCAATTAGATTTAAATACCTCTCCTTTATTGAACTTAAATTCTCACAACAAATTAAGGATTTATGGTTATTTTTCCGTATATATAGTAGCAGGTAGTTTTTAAATATTACTTTTGATAAAGCCACCCTGTTGTATAAACAATTGTCATGTAAAAATAAATAATTTCGTGAAAATCTGAACTTTTAGTTCTTATTTATTTTGACAAGTGAGTGAGGTGAAAACACACTGCGAATTGAATTACAAAATTCAAATTTAATATTTACCAACATACATGTTACTATTAATGTCTTAAAGGATGAGATCTATGCTGGATTTTGGGGACACTTCTGGATTCCTTCTGTATCGGGTGTTCATCCTGTCTCGCTTATGTTTCACCCTATGTTTGTTTTAGCATTCGCACCAGATTATTTTGAAGACAAAAACAATTGTTTTTTAGTACCTATTTTTTACTCTTTTACTGAATATTCAGTATAAAAGGAATAGTTACTATGAAAAGCCTGGTGGTTAGAGTTCTTCTGCTGCGTTATTTGTGTTTTGAAATAAGCTTACCTATCCTTAAGTTCAATTGCTCCGATATTTAGAGTTTAATTGCTCCCAGATGCTACATTTTTTAACGAAATTTCCAGGATTCTTTCAAAGAATTGAAATTGAATATTGAAAATTGGAAACAAAAACTGGTTAAAACTTAAATAGAATTTTCCAATTTATTAATATTATCATATTCGTATTTAAAAATAAATATAAATTTGTATTGGACCCTGTATACATATACTGTATATATATACTTTAGACAAACAAAACTACTTACTGTGCCATGTTACAAGTTGAACTAGTTTTACCTTTTATCCTTCTCAAAGCTCTATATTTGCTTCCTTTACTTCGTTGACTCCTCCTATCTTTGCTTAACTTACCACAAACAGACGTGTAGTATAGTCGATTCTCTTTAATCTTATTGTTAAAACCATAAAGGAGTGCTAACATGAAAATCATGTAAACAAAGCAAACAAAAAATATTCTAATTATAAATTTCACAGTCATTATATACATGGTGATTCATAAAGAATGCGCAATCTCTAAACTGGAGGTACTAGATATGATTATGATCCTGAATTTTCTTATTAATTGAGAAAATTTTTATAGTATAATAAACATCGGCAGTTTTAGTTTTTTTTTTACATGACATTTAGGAATTTCAAACGTATTTGGACGTTGGCCGTTAGGCGGTTAGTTTCATCTTATTTGGATAAATCAAATCTTTTTTTTAATATCAAGTTGTGGTTGAAACACGTTGAAAGAATGCTCAATTTTTTAGAGAAAAATTTACTGCTGTCTAGGCGGTCCAACTGTTGGTTTTTGACTTACTTGCTTTTAAAAAGTTTAATGTCTTTTTTCTGATATTTAAAATAAATAGTTAAAAGAGGAAAAAGTACGGAGAGCAGTAAAAAAACTATATGTAACAATAACAATTTTGATCATAGTAATAAAAAAAATACCAAATCAATTGGCTGCCATCTACCCCAGTATATTTTACTGTTACTATTTTTTTCTAAGCCGGGTTGTATAAGCATTTGTCAAATTTACATGCGTGCGTGTTACTACTTGTACAAACGTTTTAACTGGTAATCAGAAAGTAGTAAGATGCACATTTTTGAAAATTCAGGTTTTATTACATCTCGTGAGAGTTTTGAGAAAAGAAAAGAAAACTACCATCCAGGTTCAGCAGTTATTGCTCTTTTTTTACAAATTATGCAAACCAAAAACCCAAATTTCCTTAATAAGATACTTTTTACCGGCGAAGCCACAATTACAAGACCAGGAATCTTTAATAGGAAAAATAATTATTTCAGCATCAGTTGTATCAACAGAAAATATAAGGTTTATGCAAGGTAGCGGCACCGTATTTGCGTTGTCAGTCGAAATAAAATTAAAAATAAATTTTAGTTTAGTGATTCCTTACTTTTTCACATTGGTGTTATTATGATTAAATCTCATAAAGTTCTCATTTTTTATTTATAGGCAAGCAAACAAATCAAAATTCCAAAAGAGCACCATAAGTGGATTTTAGGCAAAAAAGGTGAGCGCCTAAAAGAGCTGGAAAAAACGACAGCAACAAAAATATCGGTTCCGAACATGAATGATGACTCAGACCTGATTACCATAACTGGCACAAAAGAAGGCATTGAAAAGGCAGAGCATGAAATTCGCGTTACTTCTGATGAACAATCCAAGAAGGCTTCAGAAAGGTTAAGCATTCCAAAAATTTACCATCCATTCATCGTAGGACCATTTAACGAAAATCTTACGAAGTTGATATCTGAGAGCGGGGCTAGAATAAATGTGCCACCACTATCGGTAATGAAAGACGAGATTTTTATTGCCGGAGATAAGGAAGGTGTTATGGCCGCCAAGCAGAAAATTGAAGCGATATATAAATTGATGGAGAAGAAATGTACTACTGTTTCTGTGGAAGTGCCAAAATCACAACACAAATATGTTATTGGACCTAAAGGTATGTAATGTATTGGTACGGTATGGAACTATGCTTTTTCTTGAACTACAGACTTCATTATTTCATGTTCTGTTTATATATTTTTTATAGAACATACTAGATATAAATTTTGATCTAAGAGTTCTTAAAATCAAATTCAACAACAATGGTTTGGATTTATTGTCGTTTTTGACTGATGTTTATCTTAATCAATATCTACTCTAAAATATCAAATAATTCACCGATCAGATGTGCGCAAGGCCTCATTTTGTCGGTGTCGTTAAACACTGTCGCGAGCCAATTCGGGCCTTTCCGGTAATACTTTATTCATCGGGGAACTAGCAGTAGAATCTTCAATCAGTTTTTACGGTCTTAGAAAAAGTATAATATGCAACATGTTTATAAAATTTCAGGCATTCATTTACTCATTTCGCTCTGCACTGCTCATGCTTAAACTCCTGACTAAGGTGTCCTTTGTATTGTTAAGTTATGAAGTTTGGTATGCTGAAGATTACTAGATGTCTCTGATTAATATTCAGAAGCAGTATGTCGCGGCCCATACTTAATAGATATATCAAATTACTTATTACGAGATATAAAATTTAGCTTTCAACAAATAAAATCTTTGCATTGATGATGTTGCCTGACAGCACTGGCTGTTGATATAAATTCGATAGTGATATCTCGCTTACCTTTACCCTGATCATCGTGAGAACTTACTGAAAACAGCGTGGTCATTTATTGGTTTGAGAAATTTATATTGAGCTTTTGCGGGACAGAAAGCGTTCATAAATTGATTTATACTGAAATCCGATTTAGCCAGTAAACTATACTTAGATGCAAATAGATTCCGCTTAACACTTAAAGACTTGAGATTTTGACAAAGTATATATAATGCTAACCAGGTCTAAGGCAGTCTAAAGATATTCAATTTCCAAATTGCAATGAGAAATATTTCTTTGAAAGAACGGTAACTATCAAATTTAAATAATTTTTAACCAAACAGGATCAACAATAGCGGAGATTCTTGAACAAACAGGAGTGAGTGTTGAGATGCCATCTAGTGACTTGGCTGCAGACACTATAACTCTGCGGGGTCCGCCCGAGAAGCTCGGTTCTGCACTAAACATCGTCTATAGCAAAGCAAATTCTGTGCGTTCATGCGATGTGGCAGCGCCAGCTTGGCTACACAAATACATCATAGGAAAGAAGGGACAAATTATTAAAGAAATAACTCAGAACTTGCCCAAAGTTCACGTGGAATTTACAGACAAGCAGGACAAAATTATAATTGAAGGACCTCCAGATGAGATGGAAAAAGCTCAAGAACAAATAGAGGCGATGGCCAAGGACTTAATTAGCAGAATGACTTTTGAAGAGATGCACGTGGACAATAAGTTATTTAAGCACATTATTGGAAAAAATGGTGCCAATGGTGTGTATTTGTTTTCTATATTATGTTTTCCACAATATCTTTATATTAATTTCTTTGCTTTTTTGCCGAATGTATGAAACAATTTTTTGTTGTTTATAACACATTTTTCAGTTAACAAGTTAAAAGAAGACTACAACGTTGTCATCAACATAGAGGAAAGTGGCCTTGTCCGGATTGAAGGCAATCGAGAGGATGTGGCACATACGAAGCAGGAATTAGAACAAAGAATTTTCAAATTAGAAAATGAAAAAGAACGCGATGTAATTATTGAGCAAAGGCATTACCGAGCCATTATTGGTACTAAAGGGGAGACTATTAAAGAGATTAGAGACAGATTCAATCAGGTGCAGATTTTTTTCCCGGGACCCGGTGATCGGAATGACATTGTTAAAGTTAGGGGACCCAAAGCAGATGTAGATAAGTGTGTCAAGTTTTTGGAAAAAAAGGTTAAGGAGCTCAATGAATCATCTTATCAAATCCAGGTTCCTATTTATAAACAATTCCACAAGTTTATCATAGGAAAGGGTAAGTTAAAAAATAAAGTTAAAGGGATTTAACACTTGCAGGGTGCATTAGCAATAATAAATCACTGTGAACATGGACCAATATGACATTTCTATACCAATTCGAAAATACAAAGACCATTCTAATATTATTATCCCTGACCTAGGAGACGCACTTGATTAACTTGTTATAAGGTTTGTTAAAAAATCGGAGAACTCTTCAGATGATTTGGCTGTTTGTTAACCATTAACTTTCTGTTACATTATAATTCTAATTTTCAAATAAATATTCGTAATATGCCTATCTGTCTGGTTTATACTGTTTGTTTGATGGCGGCAATTTATCATGCATTTGGAATCTAGTGATATAGATATGTAAATTAAAAGAAATGTGTGGGACAATAATATTTGAATGATCCTCAACAACTCTCAAGATATCGGGATGGAAATCAACATAATCACATTTTCAAAATCGAATAAATTACATATGAAATTTCTCTTGCGACCATTTAATTACAATTGTTTGGGATTGATCAATAGACTTATTGTCATTAAAAAATCTCAAAATTTTGTTTAGGAGGTGCGAATATACGTAGAATAAGGGAAGACACAAATACCAAAATTGATCTACCAGCCGAAGGAGATAAAAGTGATGCAATTATCATCACTGGTAAGAGGGAAAACGTAGAAGAAGCGCGCGACAGAATTCATCAAATCCAAGATGAACTTGAAACTATAATCACGGAGGAGATCACCATTGATCCTAAATTTTACAATTCTATTATCGGGGCAAAGGGAAAACTGATTCACTCAATAATGGAAGACTGTGGCGGAGTCGCCATTAAGTTTCCAAACACTGATAGCAGAAGCGACAAAGTTACTATTAGGGGTCCAAAAGATGATGTTGATAGAGCAAAGCAGCAGTTAATTGATCTTGCGAATGAAAGGCAACTTGCTAGTTACACTGTGGAGGTTAGTATTATTCACAATTTGAATAATCGCAATAGTTGTAACAAAAGTTAATTATGTAAAAATTTAATATTTTAGAAAATAACCAAATCTTCAAGTTTATAAAAATTTATATTATGAAATTAGTCTCTATGTAAATATTACAATTTTAGGTTCGTGCTAAAGCCCAGCATCACAAGTTTCTTATTGGTAAGAATGGCACCAACATTAAAAAAATTCGTGATTCAACCGGTGCTAGAATTGTGTTTCCTTCAAATACTGATGAAGATAGGGAAGTCATAACCATAATTGGTAAAAAAGATGCTGTCGAAGATGCCAAAATTCAGTTAGAAGCGATGATCAAAGATATTGTAAGTAACATGGTAGAAGGCATACTTATCAACTTGTATTAACAGTAATTTTCCAACCGTATATTACCTGAGCCTCACTTCAAACTAGTAATGATACAAAAAATTTCATTATTTTGGGGTAAACAACATTTCTACTCCCATTTATTTAAAATAATAATTTTTTTTTTACAGGATAATAAAACAGAGGATGAGATTCGGGTTGAACCTCGGCACCATAAACATTTTGTTGCTAGACGCGGTGAAGTTCTTCACCGAATAAGTGATGAATGTGGGGGCGTGATGATTTCTTTCCCAAGATCAGGCATTGATAGCGACCGGGTAACCCTGAAAGGATCCAAAGAGTGCATTGAAGCGGCAAAACAAAGAATTATTGAAATTATTTCTGATCTGGAATCAATGATTACTATTGAATGCTTCATTCCTCAAAAACATCACAGAACTGTTATGGGAGCAAAGGGTCACAAAGTTCAGAGGATTACCGCTGATTATGAAGTGCAGATCAAATTCCCTGACAGGTTGTTTTTTTGTAGGCATATTCTGTATTTATTTTGATAACTTTTTGTGATAGGGACAATACAGAAGAATATCATTCTGAAGTTACCAATGGAGATATCAACGCTGACCCGATTCGTCAGTGTGATGTTATTAAGATTACTGGCAAAGAGTCAAATTGCCTGGAAGCCAAACAGGCTTTGTTGGATTTGGTTCCTGTCACTATAAATGTAGATGTTCCTTATGATATGCACAGGTCAATTATTGGTACAAAAGGTGAGCAAAATAATTAAAAAAGTTTTGGTTAGTTGGTTTTGTTAATTTGTATGGAATTTGCAAAATTGCCCTCCCTGAAGGGCAATAAAATGAATAGCAATGAAATATTATGTCATCTTTTTAGGTCGTGATGTTAAAGAGCTCATGGATAGATTTGATGTACACATTGTTTTATCTTCACCTGAAGAAAAGGAGAACATAATTAAAGTAACTGGAACAGCATCCAATGTTGAAGAGGCTAAACAAGCCCTGCTTGAAAGAGTGAAAGAGTTGGAAGATGAACGGAAGGACAGAGACCTGAGGTCATTTGTTCTTCAAATTGAAGTAAATCCTGAGTATCACCCAAAGATTATAGGGAGGGGAGGTACTGTCATTACTAAAATTAGAAAGGATCACGATGTGCAGATTACTTTTCCTAAGAGAGGTAAAATGTATGTGAATATATCAATTTCAGTAAATAGTGTGACTTATTTGTTTAGGTGACGAAAATGAGCATATAATTACAATAACTGGTTATGAAGAATCCACATATCGTGCTAGAGATGACATCATGAAAATTGTCAATGAATTAAATGAACTTGTAAAAGAAGAAATTGAAATTGATCCAAGAGTTCATTCTCGTCTTATTGGGGCACGGGGCAGAAACATCCGGAAAATTATGGAAGATTATAATGTGGACATTAAATTTCCCAGAAACGATGATACCAAACCCAATTTGGTAGTTATTACAGGAGAGGAGGAAAATGTTGTGGAAGCCAGAGACCATTTGCTGAATTTAGCTGAAGAATATGTGAGTTGGCTAATAGGGAGGACTGAAACTATAATATTTCTTTTCTAAACTTTCTTAAATAAATTCATATAAGAAATAATTCATAAAAACGCAACTGGCAATTTTTTACCATATTAATAAACATTTTACTACACCATTGTCATATGTTTTTGTTGTTTACAAACATAGTGTATCATCATGTATAGTTTTTAGTTGGATTAATTCTATATACAAATGTAGAGGAACTCAAGTCATGGTTCAAACTTAAAGATGTTGTAAGTGTATCTCTATAACCTAGGCTGATTGATAGGCTGAGTTTTTGAGTAACTATGCAAGCTTCATCGGGGTGCTAAAAGTACACATATAAAACCATCAAAAGAAAGTTATGTATACACTTAACAATAATTCCGTTCAAACCTCTTTCAAACCTCTTAGTCGTTTATAGCGATAAAAACTGTAGCATGTTATCAAAAAATACATAATAAAATTAATAAGTAAACTTGTACCAGAGAAAACATTACACAAAAATGTTATTAAAACAAAACCTTTTTTTTTTTCTGCTTATTGCTGCTGCAAAATGTAATTATTTTCTATTTTAGGCATTACCATAGAAATGAGTAACCATTAAACTTAACTATCGAACTTATTGAATTTTGAATTGAATTTTTTATTGAATCTAACTTGCTAAGCAGCAAGTTGGATTCAAAAACAATCTACCCATAAGGAATCCAGAAGTTTTGTAAATAGTATAAATGGAACCCGTGGAAGTCTATTTGAAAAATTATCAATTTTTATTTATATTTTTCGACTGCTTAAGAACTACAATATTCATATTGAAAATTATTTTCTTACTTAGGCATTGGTAGTAGCATTGTCCATGTGAGTAACCATTTTAAGCTTTTAGAGAAAATACTGGTAGGCAACTGATTTTTTTGAAAATCTAGTACTTATTATTATTCTGTAGGTCCTATAACAACATTATTAATTGTTGTTTCCAGATTCAAGATGTTGAAGATTTAGAGAATAGAGAAAAGCTTCACACCCTAAACGTGCACTTTGAGAATTCTCAATCATCCTATCCAACCCGAAATACACAGCGGACCAATGCCAGCGGTTTTGTGGTACAAGGCGGGCCATGGGAACAGAGTGCCCCAAATACGGCCAGTGTAACGGATTTCCCGGCATTTGGGCGCAGTAATGATCAACCACCAGCAGCCCCCATTGGTGGGGCTTGGGGTACTCCGCGTCGTTAAATGGCTTCTTACTTGTTCTCGCCTTTACTATTGTTACTTTGCCATAGTTTTGTTGATATATGCGTGTTGAGGCGGCGGGGAATGTTTTTAAAATCTCTCAATCGACACTGCCAAAAGTTCATTAGTTTAAAGGTGAGTTTCTTATTATTTAGGTTGGGGCGCCACCTGACAATAACTTCCGATTATCCATTGAGAAAATAACGGTAAATGTCGCTGAAATCGTCAAAAATGAGAAAAGTATAATAAATTCAGACTAAAATCAGTGAATACTAGATACATTTTTCTGTTATATTGCAACACCGATTCCTTTAATGTTCTTTAATGTGGAGAACTTGACAAAATTGGCGCTCAAATCTATGCCAAATTCAAGCCATAATGCCAATGTTAAGGTACTAACCTTAGAGATAAGTGAATAACATTAAAATGTTACAAATGAAACTCTTCCCTCACTGTTTGCTGCATTATAATAGGCCTGGCAACGACACTGGACCCTCGATATGGAAAACTGATTAAAAAATTGACCATGATAGTTCTATTAATGCAGTGCCCTCTCATTTTTTTTGTCGGCAAATTTCATTGGCGAAGCGGACTTAAATTGTTCATTTAGGTGCTAACCAATAAGAACTTGTCAGATTAGAAAAAAATGTTTAGGAATGTTTTCTTAGAATTGAAAATTATGATATTTGTCTTCCCGTTAAGTGGGTGGACCTTGGCCTATCCTTGGCACTACTGCGGAGACTTCATGAAGCAAGAACCCATTGTCATTTGTTGAAAATAGTTTAATCATTTTCAGAAAAAACGCATCATATAGTCTCTGCCATCAAGAAACAAGGCAGTGTACCGTGCCTTCTTTATTTCTTTACAGTCAGTAGCAATGTCTAAAATTGACACAAACGATGTCGATTATTTCAAAAAATAACCTTTCTTTGTCAAGGCAATGATTGTCTTTTTTCTTGTATTTTTATGGTCTTGTTAAAAACAAAAGAAGAAAAACATGACTGAGTACTGAAAGTCGGTACAACTTCATATTTGTTATACTGTAAATTAAAGTTTTTTTTATGTTATATTGTATAGATTAAAGCATATTTTATTATAGCGATTAATTTCTATAATGCTCTAGGGGTCGATATGTTAGCTCAGGGCTGTCCTGAGGGAGAGAAATATATTAAAACGTAAAAATTGTTTTTGTTGTTCTTTCAAGTTTGCCCTAGTCCCCAATTTGGACAAGCATTTGTGGTCTAGTGCAGAATAAAATGTTCGCGGAGGCCGGGCCCTCTTGTGTTATGACACCAATTTTAGAATGGGCCACCATTTGTTATTGTTACGACTAATAATTACAAAACTGGTTACGACTAAGACAATTAAAGTAAACTCTAAACTAAAGTCAAGCAATGCCGCCAGAAAAATACAAAGGTCTCAGGATTTTGCTTTTGGACTTCGCGCAGGCGCAGAAGTCAGAATTTCAATTGGTAAACCATAACGACACAGCAAGGGATGGATTCGGCTTTTCTGGTGGATTTTGCCCACCATTTTATATCGGATGTATTCACCGGAAAATCTTAATTTTTGATTAGGAATCGCAATTTTGATCTTATCTGACATTCTAGATAACGCTTCTTCGTGTGTCTGTGATGTTATTGTTAGCCAATAGAACAAAATTGTGGTTTCTCTTTCTGCGTGAATTCGAAAGACGAAATTTATTGCCGGATCCTAAGATCGTTATACAATAATTACCTTGCTAGACGTCTTTCTTTATTTATTCTTGATGTCGGCAACACGGCAACACTAAATAAGAAGGCTCTGTTAGAGCAGTCAGAGTAGCAGTGAATTTCTATGTAGCTGAAGTTAGATTTGGATTGGGATTTGCAAATATTACAACTCGTTACATATTATAATTAAAAAAACATATTCCTGTGCACATGCTGGGTACGTAAGCACGGAAATATTGTAAGGGAACTCCCAAAAACCATATCCAATGTTGCTATACAGAAAATAACCCCTTTTCCAATCGCATCGCATTAATGAAATAACCATATATTCGTTTTAATTATTTCGCAACCTCCAAAAATCTGACGTCCTAGAGATTCAACCAGACCATTAAAGAGCCATTTAGGAGATTTTCTAAATGATGTATTACTCAACCAACTCGAAACCCTAAAATTCGTTTTATTTATTTCGGAATCTCAAAAAAAAGTGAAGTTGCCCCACACATTGAATTAGACCATTGAACAGCCACCTAGAGCTTCAAAATGATGTATTATTCAACCACCTTGAAACCGTCGGGGATATATAAAACTACCCCCCCTAATGAAGTAACCAAATATTCGTTTTATTTATTTCGCAACCTCAAAAAAATCTGACGTTCGAGAGATTCAACCAGATCTTTAAAGAGCGACTTAGGAGAGCTTCAAAATAATGCATTACTCAACCATCTTGAAACGGTCGGGAAGATATAAAACTACCCCCAATAATGAAATAACCAATTTTCGTTTCATTTATTTCACAATTTCAAAAAAATCTGATGTCTCAGAGATTCAACCAGACCATTGAAGTGCCACTTAGAAGAGCTTCAAAATGATGTATTACTCAACCACCTCGAAACGGTCGGGAAGATATAAAATTGCCCCCAATAGTGAGATACCCTAAAATTCTTTTTATTTATTTTGGAATCTCAAAAAACCTGACGCGATGCGGGCGGAAAAGCGGTTATTTTCTGTATAGCAACATGAAAAATGATTTTTGGGAGTTTCCTTACAATATTTTCGTGCTTACTTTCCCGGAATTTCCACAGGAATATGTTTTTTTTTATTAAGGTAAATAACGAACTGGTCCACTGTAATATTCGCAAATCCGAATCCAAATCCAAATTTAACTTCAGCCACATCAATTTTTGTCTCGCGCGATAAATGACAAAATAGAATAGAAAATAGTCTTGAAATAAAATAAAGTGCTATTACTTAATGTCTCAGCATTGGAAATTTTTCTGCTTTGCAATTTAAAAAAAACTAAAAATTTGTCCTTTATTCTATTAGCTTAAAATAATTCTACACACCGCATATTGTAGTTTTCCTTAGCATCACCAGCTGAATCTTTATTCAACTTTCAGGTTGCAGGATAGTGAAGAAACATATATATATATATATATATATATATATATATATATATATATATATATATATATATATATATATATATATATATATATACATATATATATTTTCACGTATTGATTCACGGATGAAAAAATGTGATGACACTATATTCCGGGATATCATCCGTTCGCTTGTTGAACTCCGACTGGAATCCTGCAGACGGATGATATCCCGGAATATAGTGTCATCATATATATATATATATATATATATATATATATATATATATATATATATATATATATATATATATGCATAAAATATTAATAATACAAACAACGTCGCAAATAGCACAATCGCTGAGAATGCTGTTTTTTGATTTTGATTCTTATTTTCTTTTTTTTTGGTATTTGCGATTTAAGTGGCCTGCAGTTGGCTTCTGTATTTCGACGAAGCTGCCAGTCGTTCGTATATTTTTTTTTATTTTGGGACATTGAGTGTAGTGGGTTCGCCACCACTACACATAAGGAGGGTTGCAACACCAGGCTAGACGAAGAAAAACCCTGGGAAAGTCGATTGCAGCCACCCGAACATTGTGTAGTTGAATGCAGACCACTGCGTAACAAATGAATTAGAAGAAGTGTTGGTTAGAAACATAGTCGGCAAAATATCACTGGTGCAATTACTGACCAATGTCCAATGGCGTGTACCTTTCAAACTATATGCGACACTCCTGCCTCTGTGTTCAAGCAATGTAATCATTAAATCCTAGTAAAAGCATAATAACAAATCAATGTTTTGACCCTCTGGGTTTAAAGTGGGCGATTTTATGAGTACAATAAAACGGGCGGCTACTAAACAATTATATTTATTATTAAAGAAGCGATTATCACAAATGACAATTAAGGAATCATCGTTAGACGTCAAAAATGTATTACAAAAAATTAAATAAATAATGGGATTAAAAAGAAACGAAATCACAAGACAAATCAGTATAAATATTTTTCATTTAAATTTGTGTTCGTTTGTTTTAGACTTAAAAAGAAGGATTGACTAAAAATTGACTGTTTATAATATAATTTATCAGTCAGCACCAAGTGTATAATTAAAAAAATGGAGATCGTCTCCGCATTCATCATCATTCATCCGCTTTTTACAGAATCATAAAATATATATAGTCTTCGATTTAAAGATACGTCTTCCAGAGGCTATTACTGGAAACATTTTGATATTTACAACAGCAAAACGATAAAATTCAAGGGTCACGTAGAGTTAAAATGTTCTCTGTTAAGAAGAAGAATGAAAAAGAAACCGCCACCGTTAATTTTATTCCCTTGATTGCGCTTAGTGGTTAAACACGTAGCCCCTGGAAAAGATACAGGTTATGTCCACCAGCCGTAATGGAACAATAAGTCGAGCGACATTATAGGCTGATAAACATAGTTTTTTACAAAGTATTCACTATAGTAGCTCGCGACGCATTTCTTTTTTCTAATTGGCAGTACGTAATACAAGTGAGTAGCATTTCTTAGGACGGATATTTATATAGAAAAAGAGAAATCAATCGCGGCACCAAAATCATACGATAAAAATAAACAATAAATATACAAAAATTTAAATTCGTACAAAATGATTCGTTGCTTACGGTTGAGGTTTTGCTTAAGTTTTCGTTAACGATGTAAAATTATGGTAAAAAATCGTAGCTTAACTACGTGAGGTAGTCCGGGCTTGGTTCGGCCATCGGCTCGGGTGTCGTGAACAGAGGGTTGGGGAACTCTGGAGGATGTGGCAAAGGTCCGGTTGCCTTAGGCCGATTTCGGTAAGCCATCAGCCAACACGAGACCGCAACCGCGACGGCCACCAAAGCCAACAAGGCAGTGATGATTAAGGCTATGATGAAGCCGATCATGGAGACGCATATGTCTTCGACTCGTTGAGCGTCCGGTGCTGGAAATTAATTAAAAAAATTAGTCTTTCTGGTCAATAAAACGGTAAAAACTTTGTTTCGGAAGCACTTCATGTGGTTGTTTATTAACGTCTTTTAAGCGAGTCATTATTAGTGAACAATTTACTATAGATATACAGTGTGTCCCACTTAAGAACTGTACACCCTTGTAAAATCTTTTATGGTTTGATTTTGATAATTTTTTTGTTGTTTTATGGCCTCTGAAGAATCTACTAAAACTTTGTTTTGCTTATTGATTCAACTTAAATTCATGGCCAATTTGGACAATTTAACAAAAGAGAGAAAAGAGAGGGATTAAAAAAAAAGGCACATTATATACCTTTCGAATACTAAGATTTATTAATGGTGTTGTTTTAAGATGTTACTAAAATATACTTAAAAAGTTTTTTATATCATTATTTTTTAAATTTGTGTAATTAAAATTTGTAAGACCTTAAAATCACATACAAAATAATTTTTATTTACAAGGTTCACAATATTTATCTGTTGTCGCGTTCAATTTGAAAAAATATCTAAAAAAACTGTGCCAGTTAGCCATGACTTTAGTCGATGCTATATAAGAAAACTGTTTCATTTCTCTTTAGTAAGATCTATCCAGCAAAAAAGAATTATCAAAATTGGACCATAAACAAACATTCTACAGGAGTAATGCTTAAGAGAACTTGATGGAAATTAGTATAGTTAGGTTTTAATAAGAATTCTTTGCCACTTTATTCGTAAAGAAATCCCTAATAGCCATTCTCGATATATGACATCAAAAATTAGACCCAATTGGCCATGACTGTTGATGTAAAAAGAAACATAAGGTTTTAGTGCGTTTTTGAGAAATCTATCCAACAAAAAAAAGTTGTCAAAATCAAAGCGCAATCAAAGATTTTACAACGATGCAACGATGGACAATTTTAAGCGGGACGCAAACGATATTTATAAAAATTGGTATACTTGAGTTCTAAGTACTCTTGAATATCAATTCGTTGCCATTTTTTTAAATCCCTAATAATACTTCTCTCTTTTGTTAAATTGCCCTAATTGGCCAGGAATTTAAGTTGAAACAATAAGCAGAACAAGGTTTTAGTGGATTTTTCAGAGACCATCCAACAACAAAAAAATTATCAAAATCGAACCATAAACAAAGATTTTACAAGGGTGTGCAGTTCTTGGATAAATGGATGGATGGATATGCACCATACAAATCATTACGGTAATATTGTAAATATCGTAATTTCCAAAATTTCAAATAAAATATAATATAATCTTAGAAATCATTATTTACTGCAGGTTTAACAACATTAAAGATTAATAAAAACTTTTAGCACAAAATTCCTATTAATCACTAAAACACAAACTGCTAACGTTGCATTTTCATAGCAATCGGCTAATAGGGGCGGACCTGCATTGAGACCAGATGACTCAAACATGGAAAAGGAAGCTGCGTTTGCGAGGAGCACTCAAAAAGGGAACTCGCCCTTACTAGCACACCACAGTATTTTAAATATTTACCGAAAGATCTTATCGCTCCCAACTCGTGACTAAATTAGGGAATTGATTCACGACTGTGTTTAATGAAAGTGACGTTTTAAAGTGAATACCACATACCGGACCATTGACTGTAGTTTGCCCGGTATAATTCAGGTTAAGAACGATGTTCACTTCCATTGTTTAAATTCTTTTGTAACGGAATTTAAGCCATATTTTCATAAAAATTTGGTTTATTCCAATATCTCAACAAGTTCACTTGGATCAAATTCCACTGTTCATCATTGTTGTGAAATTTCGCGTAAATTGAATAAGTTTTGTTTTGTAACCTTCAATTGTACGGTGAAACGTCTGAGAAGAGATAAATGGCGTATATAGATTCGGTGGTTTTCTTTTCCTTTTGCTGCTGGCTATAATGTGGAGAGTTTATTTCGATTATTCCACTGCTCAAAAGCTCTGATTTCTCCCACAAGTATATTAGACTAAAAATACCCTGTATAAAACAGTAAGTTTTTTTGGATACAAAGTATAGTTTATTGTGACACTATACAAATTCCGCTTACATAAGTTTAATACGGTATAAGAGATATTAACATTCTATGTTTTGCCTTGGGGCAAATATCTTTTTGAGAAGCCACTGTTATTACTAATTTAATTTCAGTCATTCCTTACTTGTTCCCTCTTTCATCATCCTTAGTCTAATAATTATTCATTTATTTTTTCTTTACCAATCAGGTTCATTAAATGCTTTAGGATCAATAGAAATTTTGATAAAATCCAATTTTGTACTTATTATACTTTTAAGGACTTACTGGGATCATTTATTATAATATTTATTTTACCTTTTATTATGTTTATAGCCTATATTCTAAGTGACCCTGATAACTTTATTCCTGCTAGTCCTCCGTCCACCATGGACGAAAATCGCATTCCCAATAAACTTGGAGGAGTCATAATTATATTTTTATCGATTATAATTTTATATATTTTACCAATTATTAATAATAAAAATTAATTTAACTTTATTTTGAATTCAACTATTATAATTTCAAGATGAATCGGAACATTTCCTGTTGAAAATCTTTCTTACTATAGGGCAAATTTTTACCATTCGTTATTTTTTATATTTTTTACTAAGATTTTTATTCATAATATAAAATAAGTAGCTTTAATTTAATCAAATTGAATAAGCATATACTTTGAAAGTATAATAAAGGAATAAAAAATTCTTTTTCATTTTTCTAGCCCCTTTCTCATTTATATACATTTTAAAAGTTTCCTAATAATTTACCCATAAGTACATTAAGCTTTAATAAGTAAATAATCTTAATTAATATGGTACTTAAAACGTTTCCCTAGAATTTGTGGGATAAAGGGGCTATAAAAGTTAATAGAAATTGTTACTTTCAAAGTATATACTTAATGAAATAAAAATAAAATAAATAAATAAAATAAAAATAATCATAATTAAATGGATAAAATATAAAAATAATGGTACTCAAAGTATTCCCTTCATAGTTTATAAAAATAACTGTATTTAAATTACTTCCTGAATAGTACTATTATAAAAAATGGTCGTACATATTTAAATACATCATGTCATAACTGTATATATTAGTTATATTCGAAATAATCGATTTGTACTCACATGCTTGAGCGTCCGTTAAACGTTCACCGCGTCGCTCTAACGTAAGGATGGCGTTTGACTGGATCGTAATTTCCTCCCTTAATTGGCCAGATAACAGATCGTCCCCGGAATCATCTCCAGTTCGATTGTCGCCCGCGACGGATCGCCTTCTCCTGCCAAAGGCATTATGACCTTGACAATTGACCTGAAACGAACCGATGGTTGTGCTACAACGCTCACGCGGAGGTGGACAAAAAACTTACGGGTTGGCATTTGCCAAAGCAAACCCTTATATTACACTGAAATCGTATATTGTCACTGCTGGGGAATTTAAATGCGTGGAACGTTGCCAGTAAACTCTGGGTGTCCGGGTTGTACTCCCAATCGCCGAAAATTGTCGGATCCGTCGCGCAACCATTCTCGTCAGTTACCAAATATTCATTTTCCACCGTATCTTCAATTGTTTTCGCGACGCAGCTCCTGGCGAAGCCTCCGTAAATAGATCCAGGCTGTACGTCCACTTGGAGCATTAGGCTGTCGCCTATTTCAGCCGAATTTATTTCTTGACCCGTGGGAGTGACGATTTTCATTATGCACGTGGGTGGTGGACCGGTGTTTGCTATAGTTCCAGCGGTGGTCAACATCGATACGTTGAAGCCGAGGGTGACGTTCTGTTCTCCGGTCTGGTAAACGCACTGGATGTGGTAAGCTTGGGCTTTGTACGTCACTAGTTTTGGATGTTTTTGAATCACCAACACGAAACTTGCTCTTCCCTAGAAGCAAACCGTCGTTAAACACAACTGCAAAACTTTACATTGTTATATTTGGAGCAAATTAAACTGGCTTGCAAAAAATTTAGGTCACAATTTTAAAAAAATTGGAAAAAAAAACTAGACCGAATCGGCGGTCTACTAGGCAGTGAATTATTTGCTTCCTACAAATGCGGATGGAGATATTTGTAATATGTCTAATCCTAGCGTTAGATACTTTCCAGTATAATGTTCATTTATCTCTATAAAACTTAAGATTGTTTGGTGTATTTTAGATCTAAGATATATATTTAACTGGTCATAATACCTTTAGATCCTGTTGTTGTGGCCAGCAAATATTAATACAAGATGGTAGAGGAAAACGGGAAACTGCAGAAATTGTTAGTACCAGACTATGTGATGTACAAAAGGTATACGTACGGTACGAGAAGACTGATCACTAGAGGATCAGGATCAAAGAAAGATCAGCAACCAAAGAGATGATCGATTTTTGGTGTCCGCAAGTTTGCGAAATAGGACAGCTTGTGCTGTTTGGCTTCGAAATCAACTTCAAGACTTTAGAAATATTAATGTTAGCGAATGTACTGTTACAAGAAGGCTTCGTGTTTAATGGATTGTCTTGTCGAAGCATGGCTCGACGGCATCGAATAGCAAGATTAGCTTTTGCCCGAAATCACTGACTGGATTACACTGCAGTGATTTTAACGGAGCAAGGTACTGATTTGCGATGAATCATGTTTTTGCCTCACTGGGTCAGATGGACGTCGGAGAGTATGGAGAAGACCTGGAGAAAAATATGCCCCAGGTTATATTGATGAAAGACTTCCACATTGTAGTGGTTCGGTTATGGTTCGAAAGCACGAACAAAATTTCGGCTCTCTGACAGCTCACAGGTATATTTCGGAAATCCTGGATAGTCATGCTATGTCTTTAATGATCACCATGGACGAAAATCGTATTTTTATGCACGATAATGCTCGACGTCAAACCGCCAGAACTATCAGTCAATATCTGGATGAGGTGAGAATTAAGCGGTTTGCTTGGCCAGCACTCAGTCTAAACATGAATCCTATCGAACATGTATGGATATTCGAAGACGTAAACCAGCTCCAAGAAATGCCCAAGAGCTGAGAAAGTTGCTAATGGAACAATATCGATCAGAACGTAATTTCATTCAAAGCACGCCTCGTCGATTTCAAGCAGCGATAAACGCAAGAGGACGGAATACACAAGTTTCAGGTTTTTCGAATATCGTTAATTGTTACAAAAAAAAGTTTTGTACATAATAGAGATAATAGATATAATTAAACGTTAAATTCAGTTAACCAAATACAGTAGGATATATAATTTTTCACTTACCAGACCCACGATTCAGTGGTAATTTTTTTCCCCAAAAAATTTCTATTTAAGTGACTAAAATTTTTTGCTCGCCAGTGTATAAAAACTCCAAAATCGCAATCTTGCCAACATGTGTCAGAAATTCCCATTAAATGGTCGAAAAATCATTTTCATTCTTATTCCTAATTGTCAATTTTTTGTTAAAGCAAGAACATTTTTTTTGAAAAATTCGTATTAATTGTTTTTCATTGTACAAATATTTCAATCGATTTAATTTGGATTTTCGGTTATCGTATAAGGCAGGATTATCCTTTTTGGATGGTATGTCATTGAGAGAAACTAGGCAAACAAATCAGACTAAAAAATGTCAATTTCATTTTGTAATTTTCCGTATTTTATGTGAGTCCTCTAATTAATTATTGTTGATGTCCGATTACGTTATTCCACAGAATAGTTAATAGAAAACTTATTAAAGGTGATTTGTATTAAGTTATAATTTTATTATTTTAAGTAATTAACTTTGTGTAAAGCTTGTTTGCTACCACGACCTTCTTTCAAAAATTTTAAGCATGCAAAACTTACATTGACGTGAATAAGTCCACAACTACCAAATAGTACTTTGAAGTATTCAGTTTTAGTTCCGGAATTGGGTGGCAGTGTTAATATTCGGCGACATTGTTCGTCTTTACTATGTCCTTTCACGTAGAGCACTCCATTGAAACCTTCTTCTTCATTGATGTCAATTTGAACTTGTACCCCATCGGAGAGACAGCTGACCGCCATTTCAGGTTTGGGAAAGTCCGTGCGATAGGGCGTCGTTGTATCTAAATTTAAACAAGGACCGTGAAATCTACTTATAATCTAGGTGCATGGCTAAAAATGTGAGATCAGTTAAAATATTGATCAGGGGATTAAAATTTATTTTGCAAAAGGAAATGAGTCATGTAATAGTTTCTTACATAAGTCTAATGCCAACGTAACTTTTCAATGAATTATTAATTAGATGTTTGAGTTCCTATATCGTATGTTTAGTAACTACATGACAAAACTTCAGACCTGCGTTTTCGAGTACTTTTAAGACTAAACCGTTCGTGTTCGTAAGAATCTCCGTTGTTATTCAAATCACAAAGACTCCTTTTGCATATTTTGCCCTATATTTTTTAATATGAAAGATATTTTCATTTTGTAAATAATTTTTCAATGATCGTTCAATTTAAAATTTATTTTCGCGTTGTCTTCTTTTAAATTTTTAGTCATACCACAATCTTATGTTTTTTATTATTACGTTTTGTGATATCGTTACTTATTGAATTGAAAAAAAAAATGAAATGCGTATCTCCGTTTTGTATTTCAGATTCTTTTTCAGTCTCGAAAAAACAAAACTTTACTAAACTTTATTAACGAGTTTGCTTAGGCACGAGCCCGGCGCAGTGGAACGAGTGTTTAAAAAACGGGTGTTCGTAGAAGTCGACTTGTGTTGCATACTACTTTTTCTATGACCTCAAGTTTTTGGCACTGACATATGGCGTGACTCTCAGAACTATCCATCCCAACAGAGATCGCTCATAAGCCGTAGAGCACGGGAAACGTTTGAAGTGACTGGCTACAGTGATTAGTTAAAGATGGAAATAGATAATAGCACATTATAGCACATATAGCAAGTTTTACAAATTTTAGTGACTGACCGACATTTATCAAGGTGTTGCATTACATAGTTGGATATTTTAGGATAGGGAAGATATAGATATAAATACAGAGTAGAGCAAACTTCTCAAATCATCAATTTTTCAATTTTCCCTTGAAATGACAAGTTCTATTCAAAATATGATTCCCGGAAAGTCTCCAATTCTCAAAAAAATAGGGCAATATTCTGCAAATAGCGTCTTGGTAAGGACTGCAAACCAATTCAGAAGTTTGAACAAAATCTTCCTATTGCGCATGTCAGATTAAGAATAATCTTAGAATTTTGTTTACCCCCAAGGAATAACTCATCTACCAGATAAGTCATCAGTTGTTATAAAAGGCCGTATTTTAAGTTGTTAATTATGTGTAGATTATTAATAGTCAATCTGGGATAGTTCAGAACAGGTTTGGAATCCTTGCCGCGAATCAAGGAGTTTTTCACAAGGACACATCTGAAATGGTACTTATCATTCCACTACAGATCTCCGTAGCCAAATAGTATATTTCAGTTATTTATATGCTCAAATAACTTACTGCAGTACACTTCCGGATTTCCAGTATAACCCTGAATGCACCTACATATAGCTTGGTGATTGGTTGCGTTACAAAGGGCGTAAACGCCACAACGTTTGAACGTGCAAGGGTTGTCACAGGTTTTGGTATTGGGGTTGCAGAACTGGTGATCGGCACAGTCGTCGTCGGTCTCGCATTCCGGGCCTTTTCCGGGCACGCAATTGCCATTTGCGTCGAGACGGTATCCGAATTCGGTGGGACAGACACAATTTCCGCGTTCATCGACAATTAAGCCTTTCTCGAGAGCGCAAACGCATCTGCCGCGTTCGTCAATTGTTAACCCTTTCTCTACGGGACAAGGCACACATTCGTCGTTGTCGTCGAGAGCGGCGTTTGGTGCGCAGACGCATTTTCCGTCGGACGTTCGTACATAACCTTGATCGATCCTGCACAGGTCTTCTAAAATATGAAACGAGAACAAATTGAATTATTTGACTTTCCAAAATAAAAGACACATATTACTTTTCGCGTAACAATAACGAGAAGGAAAGGTGGGAACTTTTGTGATATATATTGAAGCACACAAATGATCACACTCATCTGTAGACATTTCAATGTGTAAACACTATGTTTGTCATTTATTTTGACAGACAGTGCGGCAAAGTATTTAAAAAAACTTACAATAACCAACTGATAATCATCTTCAGTGTACTCCTAAATTGTACAATAAATAACATCGAAATTTATACAATTGTTTATTTTTTTACCTTGTATATTCAGAACGTAGCAGTCATATCTACGAATATTGCTTTTAACGGATGAAATTTGAAAAACTGTCTGTGTTAGCGGAAATTGGGGCGTTGCCGAGCATCAGTTTATTTCGTAAGTTAGATATTCATATCATATAATTGGATTTATATAAAAAATTACGGGGAGCAGATTAGAATATTCGAAACAAATTTAACATTACTACAAATATATTTGGTGATTTCTTGAAACAAAATCTTGAGTATTCTTATCTGCATGTTACATATGAGACAATTTTTGTCTCTTAATCTTCAAAACTCCAGGAAATATTTAATTTAAATTTTTTTTGTAGTCCGCGAACGGACCCCGGAATTTTACGAATTTGAATATTTAAGTTTGAATTTGCCCAACAATGACCGCTCACAAAAATAAGTTTTATACTCGTATTAGTAAATTATGGATTATTTATCCTATCTAGCTTTAAAATTTTACCTTTTCAAGGCAACCTATTCAAATACATTATTCTGGCAATCTTGTTTGAATTTTTAATATTGCCGTCCACCTCCCAGTTAAAGGAGGATAAACATAAACATGAAAAGTAAGGAAGTAGGTTAGAATTTCTGAAACAAAGAAATTAAATAAATATAGCTCTTGTCCGGCCTTTATTTTGGCCAAATTAAGTGTTTCCGCTTTACAAAAACCTGAGCCAACAAGACAGAAACAATTCGTTCGGATTGAGTTCGAAATCTGATACGCTTCCCCCACAAACATAGAATGCTAAGAGTCAACATAATTTCAAAACGGGAGATATAAGAATCATCAATGATAAAATATTAAAAATCAACCAATAGAGCCCTATAAAATAAACACCTACAAATGAGAAGCCAAAATAGGAACACGTCACTAGTGGGGGACGAAGACATTCACTGGTTACCTAGGCGAGATGGCCGTATTTTGGATTATACAGCAGATTAACCAGCTACCTAGCATACCCAAGAATCAAAAAGGAAAAGTTACCTAAGTCGTTATCAGGATAAAAAGTATGAAAAAATTGAAATTGAATTGTATCTGTATGTCTTCGTCTAAACCTCTCTCTTTATTTGGATAAATGTTTCGGCCGCTTGCGGGTGTTCGTCGCCGATGCGTAGGGTGATTTGGACAAGTGGGCCACAGCATCGGCCGACCGCAGCCGGACAATAGTAACGTGCTGCCCCAACTCCGAAATTACGCGCACTCTACTAATGCGCATGCTCGTTACTGAACTAATATAGAATATTTTAAGTTCGCCAACGCACAGTGAGGTATCATGAATATGAAATGTTTATAATAGATAAAAACTGACGAAAAAAATAGCACTTGTTATGCTTATTAATAGTGATGGATTGCTTGCTTTAGCATTGTCTAATAAATTGAACAAGGAGTATTTTAGCAATTTTGTAGGAAATTTAAAATTGTTGTCAACCTTCCAGTTAAAAGAGAATTTAAAAGAAACATTATATTGATACGTATTCATATTATATTCTTGGATTTTTATAAAAATTACCGGAAGTAGATTGGAATTTCGGAAACAAACAAATTTAACATCAAGCCTATAAACATTATTCTTCTCTTGCGATTATTTTAGTGTAACAATGTGCGTTTCTGCTTTACAAAACCGAACAATAACCGATAAAATTAAAAGTGTTCGGCCCGTACGAAAAATCCCCGTTCTGAACCTAAAATCTATTGAACATATTACAAACCAGTTCGAAATTTAATAAACTTCGTCCATGTGAACGTAATTTCAGAACGGGACGCGTCATCGATTGCAGACGTCCGCGAACACCAAGCCACTCGACCGCTTGCAGCGACGGCCAGTGGCGGTCCTAAATTCATATTTATAACAATCTTTTTCGGAGCCATATTTGTGCTAATTTCTTGGAGGTATAAGAATAATCAATTAGAAAATAAGAAATAATTACCCTTTTTGCATTCCACTGCCGCATTTCCGTAGTAACCGGGCAAACATTGGCAAATCATCGTCCTAATTGGGTGGGTGTCGAGCACCGTGCATTCCGCGTTCACGCCGCAGGGCTCGGTGGACGCGCACGGGTTGACGCACCTCTCGCCTATGCAGGCGTATCCCGACGGGCAGTCCTGATCTTTCCTGCAACCCACTTCGATCCTGGTACATCCCAACCGGCCGTCGCCGACGGTACCCGGCGGGCACACGCACTCCACAACGTGGTCGAAGACTTTGCATTCCGCGGGAGCGTCGCACGGGTTCGACGTGTGGCACGGAATTTCGCATCGGTTATTGATACACGCCCTCTCGCTAGGACATTCGGAATCGGAACGGCAACCGACCAATACGCACGCGACGTTCGGATTACCCGCGAGACCGGGCGGGCAATCGCAAACGGCGCGGTGATTCACTCCGTAGCACGTCGCTTTTTCGCCGCACGGTGACCCGTCCGGCAAACAAACGGGAACGCATTGTCTGTTGACGCAGGTATGTTGCGTGGAACATTCGTCGTCGCTCCCGCAACCTATCGGTAAACATTCGATCTCCGGATTGCCGACGAATCCTTCGCGACATGAGCATATCGGTTTGTGATCTTTGATGCGACATTCGGCGTCGGGTCCGCAAGTGCACGGAGTGCGGCAGATACCGTTGAAACAAGCCCGATCGGACGGACACTCGGAGTCGCTCACGCATGCTCCCACGACCCTTACTTCGGTCACCGGGCCGCAGGTGCCGCTGCCGCTGCTCAGATAACCCGGCGGACATACGCAAATCATCGTCCGTACGGGCAGCGAGTCGTATACTTGGCACTCGGCAGAGTTGCTGCACGGTTTCAAAGCCGCGCACGGATTTTGACACACGTTATTAATGCACGCCAGTTGCGACGGGCAGTCGCCGTCCACGCGACATTCCGGCTGCGGTTCCGGTTTGCAGTCGACGTACGGGTTCCCGACCAATCCGGCGGGACACCGGCAAAGAGCCATGTGATTCCGCACCCGGCATTCGGCGCGCAAACTGCAAGGACTCTCGTAGAGACACGGGTCGACGCATTGCGAGTTGATGCATTTCCTATCGTCGGGACAGTCGCTGTTCGAGACGCATTCCACCACTACGCAACGCCGATAGGGGTCGCCCTTGAAGCCGCTCGCGCAGCGACAGTCGACGGCGTTGTCCCTCACGAAGCATTCGGCGTTAATGCCGCATCGGTCCTCTATCAGGCACGGGTTTATGCAGTGACCGTTCACGCAGGCCTTGCTCGACTCGCATTCGGAATCGATTCGACAGCCGATGGTGCGGCACGCTATGTTAGGGTTGCCCTCGAAACCCTCCTTGCACGAGCAGATCGGTCGGTGGTTTTGTACGTGACAGTCGGCGTTGATGCCGCAGTCGCACGGGTTTCGACATATACGGTTCACGCATGCCTCCCGGTCGGGACAGTCATCGTCTCGGGTACAACCGGGTGGTATCGGTATGACGATCGCTTGACATTCCCCGTTATCGTTCGGCACCCAACCTTCCGGACAAGTACACGCCATAGTCCTCACCGGGATCGTATCCAACACGCTACATTTCGCTGACGCGTGACAGGGAGATATCTTTTCGCACGGGTTCGTACACCCGCTATTTATACACGCCAGTTGAGCCGGACAATCGGAATCGAGGACGCATTCGGGAACGTCCACGGCTTTGGGGGGAGGATTACAGAACGAGAGCGGGTTACCTTGGGGCAGGTGAGGAGGACACGTGCAAGCGGCCGCGTGATTTTGAACGTAGCAGATGGCGTTGCTGGCGCACGGCGGATTTGCGACGGTCGAGCAGGGATCGACGCAGCGACGGTCTAGGCAGGCTCTGTTGTTCGGACAATCGCTGTCAGTGTGACATTCGAATCTCTCGCATCGTCTAAACGGATCGCCTTCGAATGCCGCGGGGCATCTACAGTTGGCTCTGTGCCTTTGGCCGTAGCACTCGGCGTTTATCGCGCAAGGATCGTGCAGGATGCAAGGATTGACGCATTGAGAGTTGAAGCATTGTTGATCGTCCGAGCACTCGCTGTCGGATTGACAACCCACTGGGAAAAGCGAGTTTGAACGTCGGTAAGTAAAAAAAATGATGGCCACTTACGTTTAAAGCAACCGGTTTGAGGATTGCCCGAGTAGCCCGGCCGGCAGTAACACATTGGGTAATGATGGATAACTTTACACTCGGAGTTAGGTCCGCAATTACATGGGTTGAGACACTGTCGATTGATACAGGATTCGCTCTTGGGGCAATCGGTATTTGAAGCGCAGCCCACCACTAGTCCAACAGCTGCGACGGATAAATAGCTTATACCATTTTGTAGGTATATAAAGGATGTATTTTAAATTACACACGACAAGCGGACCTGGACTATAACTCTAAAATATTTTGTGCTACTTTAAGTACCGACCTTTTATAACATATAATGAAATAAAGTTTTTCAAGAAATTTTCAAAATAATAATAATGATACATTTATTGTTATCCCCAGAATACGTTCCACATTATAATAACTTGTATAGTACGTGGACAACGAAAGGTTTTCGTTTAAACAAAAGTTCCAGACATTTGGAACAACCAGATACTGATTAAGCCTATTACCTTTAGAACAAATATTCTTTAAATATAGATTCCAGTCGCGGATGTTTCTCTAGGATACGCACCGCATAAACTGGAAATTCTTAGTTGAGTTAATTTTTATAATCTTTACGTAATAATATCTCATCTCCGTTTTTCGTCTGCCGATATTCCATCTGGTCATATGGAAATAATTCGATAAGACATTTTCTATTTATTAATTCGAAATTACGTAAGAAAAGAATATAAACATATTTTCTATTTATATTTATTTTTTATTTATATATATGTTTTCGCATACAATACGAAGATAAAAAACATTCACGGTGTGTCCCAATTATTTTTTAAATACAAAATCTGTTCAGTGGCCATGTGTTATTTAGTCCTTTGGACAACGTTAGAAAATTTCGATTTCCTAGGGAATAACATCACCTTTTTTTGAACAATTTCTTGATAATATACCGGAGATGCGATTTAGTGTGGTCAAATACTGGATACCTCAAAAAATTCAAACATACCAGAATATCATAAATTAATTTTAATAAACATGGTAATAAGTCATAATTAATTAATGAAATAACACTTTTTATTTCTATTAAAATTTCTTCCTCTTGTTTTCTTTGAATAAAAATATTAAATAAAAATTAAACAAAAACCTAGAGAATATTCTGATCTTTCAGATTTTCAAGCCCATAGGATATTAGATGCACCTGGGGTATGGTAAAGTCATTAAAACAGGTTGTAAGTAGGGTCCTCTATGGGCAACGTTATTATGCTCTCAACACCCTGCATTTCCCAAACCTCGAATCATCATAATTAGAAATATTTTCCAATTAAATCAAATAAATATAGAAAAATGTAAACGCATTAAAAATTCCCGAAGCAAAACATTGTTTTGGTTAATTTTTTACTGCATTATGATAGACTTGAGTTTGAACAAAAAATTATACGATAGAAACTTTTATTTTTATGATGAAAAATAGCTCATTAGAGTCATGAATTTACTTTTACATTGAACAACTATAATCAAATATGTACTTACGGGGTATGCAATCAACTTGAGGATTTCCGTCGTAACCCTCGGGGCATTTACATACAGCTTTGTGTTTGTTGACCGAACAGAAGGCGTTGGTTGCGCACGCTTTGTCCTCTCTGCAAGGATTCACGCATCTTTCGTTTCTACACGACTTGTCCAACGGACATTCGGTGTCTACCGTGCATTCTGGCGGGAAAATTGGCACCACATTTTTCGGAATATTTGCGCATTCGATCCGCGCGTTTCCGGTATAACCCGGTGCGCAGGAACAAATCGCCAGATGCTTAAGCGCGTTGCACAACGCGTTGATTCCGCATTTATCGAATGCGCATGCGTTTAGGCACGTTCCTCGAATGCATTTTTCGCTGTCTGCGCAATCGTCGTCTACACGACATTGTGGCTGTCCGTGAACTATCGGTTTACATATTCCGGTGCTATCCACTACCCTATCGGGCGGACAAACACACATTATGGTACGTAGAGGTAAGGAATCTACCACTCTACACTCTTGATCCGCTACGCAGATATCTCCAATGGAGCATGGATTCTGGCACAATTGATTGATACAAGCAAGCTGAGTCGGACAGTCCGAATCGGTGATACATTTTGGTTCGACGAGGGTTTTACATTCAATAAACGGATTTCCTATCATACCAGCGGGGCAGTGACATTGAGGTTGATGACGTCGGCCGACGCAGGCGGCGTTTCTCGCGCACGAATCGTCGTTGCAAACCGGCCTGCAAATTCTATTTAAGCGATCGCACGCTTCGTGATCGGCACAGTCCTCGTTGTACCGGCACTGGCCGGTTATGCAAGAAATCGAAGGGTCGCCTTGAGTTCCAGACGGGCAACGGCATTGAGCGACATGATTGAGAACGACGCATTCGGCGCCACGCCCACACGTCGTCGACGCACAAGGATTCAGGCAGTTTTCGTTGAGGCAGGCTTTGTTGTACGGGCAGTCGTTATCTCTCTTGCATTCGGCTGAAAAGGAATGAAATGTTTTTCACTGATAGAATTATATTTCATTACTATTTTGGCTGGGATATTAATAAAAAAAGTTTTTAGTGTAAACATCTAACCTCACCTTGTGTAATTTCAAGTTATTATATAGGAAGCTCGCAGCTTGTAGCACATTTGCAAAATCTATTCGCTAAACGGTACTGGCAAAAAATGGAACGTGGTATAAAAAATCCATTACAAGCATGACGTCTTTTATTTGATGAATAAATATTGAGTGCCACACACATTATTAGCAAGTTAAATTATATTTTCGTTTTTTACAAAGTTATTCACTTACTTATTATTATTTTTGTTGTGTAAGATAAATATTTTGAAACATTCAGTTTCCTATTTTGTTTGTGCGTGTTTTTTTTGTCTGCCGTTTGCTATTCTGCTTTTACTGTTTTACAAAATACATCCATGTTGTAACTTTTGATTGCGGTGTGCAATTTTTATTGTGTTTCTTTTCTGCTTTGCGTTATTTCGTTAGCGGAAACTCGGAGGTTTTATTTATGGTCCTAAAACCGATCACTACGATTCAAGTAAAGCTTATAGCAATTAGATTGTTACAAAATCTTTAAGATTTTTTAAGCTTCAAATGTTATTCCACAATAATTGTGTAATGTGTAATGCCTAATAAAGCGCTAACTTCCCAAATACGAACTACATGACAGTGGTTATTTAGGTGGTAATTAATTATGATGCAACAAAATTCGCATATGACTTTTCCAATCTTTTATAGAAAATGTAAAAGAGCGTTTAATTATTTAAAAAGACCTTTCGCGAATAAATTTCGCTTAGTTAACTGACCAATTATTAATGTCCTGTTTAATATCATATTTTTATGATTGTGTAAAGATATTGATTTTGATGTTGGTATATGCACTTTTTTTTAAGGTGAACTGTTTGAGACTTTATGCAAGGGAGTCTATTTGATAAATTGAAAAAACAACGCAAGTTTGATCTTAACATTTAATAGTTTTGATAATACTGTTATGACCTGTCAATCCTGCACAGGACGAACAAAACCGAGGAAAACACAGAAACATTTAATGAAGTTTCGCAAAACTGTTGGTATATTCAGCAATAATATGCTTAAGTTTAGATTGACTTAAAGATAGTTATAGTTCATAAATAGCCGGAACGCGAATTCTGAGATAAAGATTAATGTCTATAGCCAGTGTGTATTAGTAGATCGCAGTGGGATACATATCATGCAGTTTTATTTTACCACCATGGGAAAACTCACGTAGTGCAAATTTAAAAATATAACCTAATTCTGCGACCTGTTTATATAAATCTTTTGCCTTTCTTGCTGGGAAACGCATATTGTCAACTTACGTTGATAACAGGCGATTTGAGGATTTCCAAGCCATCCGTCCTGGCATTCGCACGTTGGTCTATAAAGTGCCGTGCGACATACCGCATTGCTTCCACAGGGATTGTTAAAGTCGCAAGGATTAAGGCAGTGAAGATTAATACATGATTTTTCGATTGAGCATTCTGAATCAGTTTGACATTCCGGTTGATACTTGGGTTGCTCGTAGCATTGGAAGAACGGATCTCCAATTAAGTTAGGGGGACATCGACACTGGGCCTTGTGGTCTACTGCGTGGCATTCGGCCGTGGGTGCGCACGGCTTTCCTACCGTGCAGGGATTGATGCATCGGCTGTTGATACACGTTTCCGTCGATGGGCAGTCGGCGTGAGATTTGCAACCCGGTTCCTCTTCAGGTGCTAACGAATAACATGTATTAGTGTAATAGCGCAATTGGATTGTAAAAAAAATCGTGTTGCTGTTTAATAGTAATAAAGTATCGCAAAGGGTAGTGTAAATGGATCGACAAGGATTAATGCGATGCCTAACGAACCTGAAATCGAAATGCAAACGGTTAGATCATCAAATTTTACACCGCTTTTATAAAACAACGGTATATCCAAAGCAGACTCATAATAGCCAACACAAAATCATATTCGAAACGAACGTTTTTTTTTATTTTCCTAGTACAGGAAATTAAATAATTCCTACACGTTTTTTGACATATTTCTGTTACGATGCTTGAGGACATCTTCAGTCCGTCCCTATTGTCAACCACATTCTGCAAGAGTGTGAAAGCATGTCAGCTGTCCGTTTCTAGATATTGTAATGACTTTTTTGGTCTGAATTGGTTGTAGTGCCATTGTTTTTTTTTTATCAAAAGTGTGTTTATTCATAGTATTGTTAAGTTTACCTAGCCTGCATGACACATCTGCGTCGCCTATATATCCAGGTGGACAAATACATGACATCGTCCTCAGTGGTAAGCTGTCGACAACTATGCAATTGGCATTCGCGCCGCACGGCTTCGTTTCAAAGCATGGATTTTTGCATTTTCCGCTAAAACAAGCGAGTTTGCTAGGACAGTCAGCGTCCATTCTGCATTCCGGTTCTATTTCGATGACTTCGCGTTGACAAGAGCTCAGAGGATTGCCCACATAGCCCGGAGGACATGCGCATTGCGCTCTATGATTGATGACGTTGCAGATGGCGCTGGTTCCGCAATTGCACGGATCTTCGCAACGTTCGTTTCTGCAAGCGAGGTTATACGGACATTCGTCGTCGGTGGTACATTCGGGCCTCTCGCAAAGGACGAATGGGTCCCCTCTGAACCTTTCGGGACAGTAACATCTTGCCTTATGATAACCGTCCGCCCTACACAGGGCGTTGACTCCGCATGACGTGAATGTGCATGGATCGACGCACTCCTTATTGACGCATGCGTGAACGGTGGGACAATCGGAATCTGATCGGCATCCGATTTCGACGCAAGCTTGTTGAGCGTTTCCCGTGAAGCCATCGCGACACGAGCAAACGGCTCGGTGTAATTGAGGGTGACAGTCGGCGTTGTTACCGCACTGAGAGTAAGCACACGGATTCTCGCAACGTGTGTTGATACAAGCTTTGTCGTTTGCGCATTGCGTGTCTTGGGTGCACTCTACTGTCGGCTTAGGGACTGAAATGAAGCTTCCATCAGTATCGACGTGATCGCAGATAATATCAAGAGCAATAACAAACTTGGAAAAAAATCGCATCACTAAAATTACATACTTCAAAATTGCATAATTTGGGTCTCTGACTAAATCGACATGGTCAAAGAAATCGCAGAAGTTTTCGACAATATTTGATATATATTGATAATGACATTTCTTCAATTGTAAAATTGTAAAGCTTTAATGACCTAGAAGAACAATTTTATTTTATTTATCTATTTTATTATTTGATAAGCCTGCGTTAAATTCAAAATTTTGTTGTGCAGTTTTGTTGTGCAGTTTTTTAAAAATCCATTCCATTTAACGCCTCATTAGAATTTGTTGCTGTTTTCTCTCTGCACCCTATGTGTTCTCTATTTTGTAAAAATAGCGTGCAAGTGGCGATGCCGTAACTGGTAAATATTTTATTTGTTTAACTGTCATTTTGACATTTTACAAAATTGATATTAATTATATTGGTCAGCCGGGGATAAAGCGGCCTGATAATGATAATGTCGAGAGACTAGTTATACAGTGGTAAACGTCTCGGAGATTCGGTGGACACTTACAGCTTACAGGATTAATGTTCGAAAGTAACCAACCAAGTATTACACAAACATATACCACCCAAAATATATGATAATGGACAAATAATTAGATTAGATTTTATTCATATACTAACGACGAGGCAGCGGTCGAGGCGGTTCTAACGATTTGCGTAATTTTATTGAAATTATGTTGCGCTCAGCCAGATTGAAATATTTAGAAATTTTCTATTATTTTTCGTTTTTGTTAGTGGTTTCTGGATTATTGTGAGCTTTGTAATGATGGCTTACTGAGAACGATACAGAAAATGGTTTCTCTGATATACTCAACAAGAAAACGGGTTTCCAATAAACTACGTTTCTATGTACATCGAAGAAAATTAAAGTAATAGGAAAATAAATAAATCTATCGCTATGGTTAACTATTAATAAAACCTATTTTGTTTTTACTTAAATGTTTGATGAAATTACTGTGTGTCGAAACTTGTTATGAAATTTCATCAACATCTCCCAAAGTTCGTCAAAATATTTTCCAGACAAATGTTAACAGGAAACTTTATTTCAATTTTTATTCGAGGATTTCGTCCCCAAAGGGTTACCCTTCATTTTGAATCACTCTATTTTTTTTGTTGTTGCATGTACTGGTTTACAAAAACGTGTTTTTAGCATGTACACATTTAATTTACATCGCAGCATCGAAAATCGCTTTGTACTATGATGATAAAATGATTAGATGAAAAGCAATAGAATTTTTTAGCTAATTATTCTCGAAATTAATAATTGGCACGGGTGCTCCTTGCACCAACTTAAATAATATGCAATGGCAATGGTCTGACCATTCGGATAATAGCCAATCAGGCAGCTCACATAAGAGTTCACAGCCAAACATCTGAAGAAGTGCCTGATATGAGAGGAGTTTGACAAGGATGTGGGCTCTCCCCTCTTTTGTTTAATTTATATGCAGAAAAATCTTCAGGGAAGCAGTCGAAAGAACAGAGGGTGTAATTGCTAATGGAATCGATACTCTGACGAAACGAGCTTACTAGCAACAAGTAAGGATGATTTACAGCAACTTTTATCAGCGGTAACAACCCATAGCCAACAAATGGGTCTACGCTTACATATAAAGAAAACCAATTATTCTACGGTATGGAGGCATAGACCGACACTGAAACAATGTGTAAGAGGATGTTAAAAATATCATGGGTGGGCAGAGTGACGAGTCAAGCGGTTCTGCAACATATGAACATATGAAAGTCTTGGTACAAAAATCTTCATCAGTGGAATCTAGTAAGCACCACCACATTGTTTAGCTCTGCTGCGGATAAAGTTAAGATCATGCGACTGATTCGCAATGTTCTGGGAGGACATGGAACTTAAAGAAGAAGAATGGTACTTATCCACAAATTAGCTCCGTCAGGGGTTCAGCCTTCTAGTTGATGGCACAAGGTACACTATGAATAACATTATATCGTTGGCTTTTTTATTCCTAATATAAAGTGCTATTCGCTATTTACAATATTACTTGAAAAAGATTTGTCTTAGAATAAATACAAATTAAGATATCTCGTTAGAATGAATTCTTTTATATCCGACTATATCGTTCATCTTAAAATGATCTATCATAAAGCAGTCTGTCCTCACTGGATGGTGTATTGAATCATTGATCATTGACTTATTTAAGATAAAAAGAAAAGTGACTTACATTCGGGTAGTTGCAATCGACACTGGACTTCCGGGGGTCCGACATATCCAACCGGACACGAACAGATGGCGTCATGGTTGACGACCTGACAGAGCGCGTTCAGACCACAAGCGTCTCTGCACGGATCCTGACATTTCTGGGAGTAACAAGCCTTATCCCTCGGACAGTCTTGATTAATTACACACTCAGGGTATGTACATATCGCTACTTCGTTGACAATTTTACATTGTCCGTTTGTTCTGCAAGGCGACGGATTGCAGGGATCAATCGGTTCCTCTTTAACTTGTTCTTGACAGAGGTTGAACGGATCACCGATAAGCGGTTGCGGACAGCTGCACACTGGGCTGTGATTAATCACGTTGCAATTCGCTTTGTAGCCGCATACGCCCGGACAAGGATCGACGCATTTATTGTTAACGCAGGCTTTGTCCCTGGAGCAGTCCGCGCTTATTGTACATTCTGGCTTGCATCCGCCAAAGTGGGCATTACCGAAGAACCCTGGCACACACTCGCAGACGGCGTTGCCGTTTTGCTGGCGGCAAATTGTGTTGATACCGCAGGGCGTTGGATTGCATGGGTCATCGGGCACTTTTTCTGAAATTGCAATAAACATTTTTTCCTTTTTCAATTTTGTTGTGTTATTTATGGAATAACCAATTTAATTTCTGAGTCGGGTTCATCTGAGGTAAATTATTAGCTGAAGTTGACGTACGGAAATTATTGAAAAATATAATTTTAACCGAAATCCACTAGAAAAAATGACGCTTCTGGTACACGATGAATTTTATCGAGAATTATTTTGGATTTACAGTTAAATCATTCCGGAAGATTTAGTTTTTGGTTGTTTAACTTGGTTTTGCGAAAGTAATATACTTTCTGATTTTTCAGTCAAGAGAAAATGTAATTGTAACAATGTAATAAATTCAAGACACTTAAAAAAACCTTCGCCACTGATTATGCTTATGCTCTATCTATCTATTATTTATCTATCTATCTATTACCTATCTATCTATCTATCTATCTATCTATCTATCCATCCATCTATCTATCTATCTATCTATCTATCTACCATCTATATCTATTATCTATAGATAATCATTATATGAAAGCGTAATAATCTCAATCATGCATACTTGGTGATTCATTTATAATTGGAAATACTGACCTCAAAATATCAAGATTTAACTCAAACCACTTAGATAAATCGTGGCTTCTTATTGATTTTTTATGAAAAAATGTAAAATTTATTTTTGGTCAGTAATAGCATATTATGCAACAAGTGCGGTAAACGGCATTCGAGTCACTAGTGACTTAAAAAGTTTACCAAACTACTATACTTTTTCTACGACCGTTAGTTTTTGGGTACATTTTCGTAAAACATCACGAATACTTTCACTGACATGATTGTCAGAATTGACAGACGTCAAAATTCAAAGTGTTGGAAATATCTCCGAAAAAACATCCGATCGCTCCCAAATCCGTGCGGTAAAATCCCGGAAATGTCAGAAGTGGCTCGGATTCGTGGGAAACGAAACTGACGTGGTAAAGTTACGCTTCCCGCATGCTAGATCGGTGGGTAATTAGGAATTTTACAGACGGGAGTAGAAAAAAATATTTGACGTTTCCTTGTCATCGATAATGTAGGTACTGAACAGCCCACTAGACTATGCTAAATAAACGTTTTCGTCTGGATAAAATCATTATTTTTCGAGATATTTACAAACATAAATGCGCACAATTCTATTGATATCAATGGGTATGTACAGAATAGCCGATTTATTATGATACTTTTCTCGTTTGTTAAATTATTGTAAATAGAACACTGTATATATTTGGAATTGAAAAATTTCACATTTCAATATATATCATAACCAATATTTCATATATATCATATCCCTAAGTAATACCGTTTCTGATATATTTTAATTTTACAATCTACCAACTTCTCAAACAGAAACCCTTTTTAATATATTTTCGGTTGATTTCCTTATAGTGCTCTCGTTAATATTTTCGAAATAAGTTGATGGAAAAGTAACATTAAAAATTAACATTAAAAATCTTTAAAAGTTATTTTTATTTTTTCATTGCAAAAATGCTATCGAAATTGAATAGAGCGAAAAAAACAGTGCTACAGAAACGACACAATATTGACTTTCTGTGGATATGATAATCAATGTTTGACACTTTTAGTAATCTTTTAATGTTATGGTTAGTTTAATAAAAAAAAGACCTCAATTCTTTAAACCGTTTTTCTAAAAAGAAATAAATTATGAAGAAAATACTGATGGTAAATAAAACTAATTAAAAAGACAATTTATTATGTGCAACATTAAAAAAAAAAAATTATAACAGTTCTAAAATTTTAAAATTTTTCATAGTGTTTCATGTGTGTTTTTGATATAATTTTTACGCATTAAACTTAAGATTTATAAAAAATTGTCAAACGACATTAAATGGTAGGTGCATTTTCATTAGTGCTCCATTGTTTCTTTTAATACATAATAAAATATGGCTAGACAGTTTCGAGGAATTTTAAAATGCCTAATATACATGACGGTCTATTTAAAAGTTGACTGCGAAAATACAAACACCCTGCATATATCGAAATATAATATTTTAACAACTGGTTTTTTTATCGCTTGCTTGTTTTATCGAAAATATCGAAAAACGCATCTTAATATTTTGAGCTCAGAACTATACAGTTAAAATGATGATTATAATGTTTTTATTATTTTTTTATTTGCTTTTGTAATGCGGTGAAACCTTTATCAATAATCAATCACATTACATAGTAATAGGTTCACAATTTTCAAGGTAAAATGTTTTGATATTTTTCAATTTTTTTATAGGCTCATTTTAAATTTTTGAATGACTGTTATTATGAAACTTACCGATGACGTGACATAGCCTAAACGGATCGCCGCTGTAGCCGTCCAAACAGGAACAAACTGGGATGTGGTTGGTCGTGGCGCAAACGGCGTTGACGCCGCAAGTCCCCGGACAAGGATCTTGACATTTGTTTCTTATGCATGCCGTGTTCATTGAACAGTCAGAGTTGGCCAGGCATTCCGGTCGGCAGTTCTCGTATGGGTTGCCATGGAAGTCTGGCAAGCACTCGCAGATGGCGTAGTTGTTTTCCGTTCTACATCTGGCGTTAGCACCACACGGCGATGGAATGCACGGTTCCTGTGGTTTTCTTGGAGGTGGTGGTATAACTATACAAGAAAATATGGTTTGAATAAATTTTTGATTCCACTAAAAATAATTCAGTGCCAATTTTGACCTTATATCGAAACTCTTAACACTTGCTATAAAAAAGACCAAGTAAAATAATTTTTACGGGTTATAAATTTAAATTATTATCTTGGATCATAAAATAAGGAAGAAGTAGCCCACAGAAGATTTTTTTAAGGATTAAGAAAAAGGTTTTCAAGATTTACAATTACTTAACTTAATTACTTTTTAATTTTTGGATATCTTACTACCAATGCACCTAAAAGAAAACGAAATAAGGAATTTGACAATTAAGCCATGCGCTGTTTATAACCATGGAAAAAATTCAAAAACCTTGGCCTCTGAAGTTAAATAGTATACCAGGTGTTTGAAAATTGAATGCAATGATTTTAAGAAAAGCCAAAAATAACTTTGTTTTTCATATAAACGTATGTTCTAGTTTGCTTCGTTTTCGATATATTGGGAGTGAAAGATTATAGAAAGAAATGTTTTTTTTATTATTTTTCGTGTCTGACTTCCTTTAGATTCGGCATTTTGAAAAATTTATAATGCATCACGGCTAATTAGTTTCATTTAATTATAAAGGGCGTTACTTTAAAAAGTTTACAAAAACATCCGATCGCTCCCAAACCTATGACTAAAACACTACCCTAAGTGACAGTGATTAACGAAGCTGTGCATAATAGGGTATTCAAGTTTAAAAATACTCTCTTGTAATGTGAGCAATTTCGCAATTTTCTAGTAAACTCGTTAATTTTAAGTTTTCCTGCAGAAAAATGTAAAAAGTATATGAGAACCACATATTGGAAAATCCAGTACAAAATAAATTCACATGGAAACAAATAGTATATTATGCCACAAGTGTGGTAATCGGCATTTGGGTCACGAGTTTATTTGGCATGAGAGGAGCGTTGTTTTTGCAAAACAACATGAATACATTCACTGAAATGACTGTCAGAATTGACAAACGTCAAAACTCTTGCCATTGGAAATATCTCCGAAAATATCCGATTGCTCCCCGAAGTGACTCGGATCCGTAACGATTTAAAATGACACTTTTCGCATGCCAGATCCGTGTATAACTGGGCATTTTAGAGAAGGGAGTAGAAAAAACTGTTTGTGAATAAAACAGCGGTACAAGTATTTTATATAATAAAAAAATACAGGTCACTGTATTATTATCTAAAAATCTTTTGAGTTCCTCTTGCATCTGTTATTAATAAATCAACATCATCATCAATCAATTTGTGCATTTCTTATTCATTTTTGAACAAATTTGTATAGAATTAAGTTTTGGGCGTTTTCCTTCTGACGATAAATTAAGATTTTTAATATAAAATTAACATAATTGTATCGTAAATTCTTAGTGACCACATAGTTTTTAGGAACCGTTTCAAAACGACGCTAAACTGCTAGTTATTTTTAAAGCGTTTTGAGCTTCGATTAGATCAAAATAGTAACACAAAAATCAAAAAAAAAAAATTCACACTTAAGTAGTGCAACAAATAATTAATTGTTAAACACAAGTGCAACTACGTTCATTCATTAGTACTAAGTGCACTTACCTGGTTTAACGTTGCAGGCAGCGAAAGGATCGCCGATGTAGTTGTCTTCGCAACGACAATTTGCTATATGATTGACAACGAAACAGCGAGCGTTCAGACCGCAGATACCGGGACAAGGATCTTGACATTTTTGATTTACGCAAACTCTATTCGAAGGGCAATCGCTATTGGTACTACATTCTGGTCTACAGTTCGGGGGTGCTCCAAAGTAACCTTGGAAACAAGCGCATCTAGGAGCGCCATTAGGAGTCGGTTCACATTGAGCGTTAGCGCCGCAAGGGGAGGGTACGCATGGGTTCACGGGGACCGTTGGGTTGCGTTCGCTGACTATATACAGAAAGTTTACGTTATTTTCACCGTTATTGTTGACAAAATGCCGCAGTCACATACCGGTTATTGGTGTGCACCGTATAAAAGGATCACCCGAATATTTCAAGGGGCAAGTGCAAATCGGGTTGTGATTTGCCACTTGGCATAGGGCGTCGAGTCCGCATGACCCGGGACAAGGATCGATACATTTTTGGTTAACACAAGCTTTGGTTATGGGACATTCCGAATTGCTAATACACTCTGGTTTGCAATTAGGTGGAGCACCGACGTAACCAGCCAAACACGAACATACCGCTTGTAGATTGATTTCTCTGCATTGACTGTTCGGACCGCAAGGAGTCGGATTGCAAGGGTTGCTTGGAGGCGGGGCTAATAAACAAGATCGTTTTGTGTTTTAGGTAAATAATCGTCTAATTATAAAGATTAAACGCAGATAATAAGTTAAATAATTCACATTTCAGCCCTTTACTTTTTATGCGAATGAAAAGTATGATTGTTACCTTTAGCAATTAATTTTAAATGGAAATTAAAGTGAATTTGTTCAAATTTGTTACAACAATATAGCTACTAGATATATGGAGGCCCTATGCTGATAATACAGCTACTTCTGAAACTGATACAAAAAATATTGAAAATATTGGGCTAGTCGTTTTGCAATCTTGCTCTATGCTCTAATACTTTTTGTTTTATAATGGTAACGGTAACGTTTCGATTATGTATTTTACAAAACCTGAGACGCTAACAGTTATTTTCGTTACTCTCATAAAACCCCGTTAGCACGAAAATCGAGAATCTCACAACGGTGACAATTTTAGTCACATATAAAACTCTTACATATTTCGATTTGGCATAAAAAAATTGGATGGCTTCGTTTTAAGCATTTTAAAATGTTATTTTGGTAAAAATCTGACAGTTAAAATTAAGTCGCTTGAATTTTTTTATTGAAAAAAAAAGCGACATTATTCCGTTCTTGTGAAGGCTATTTATGTTAATTCTAAACATAACAATGGCTGCTACATAAAAGAAGCCATGTTCACCAGGTTCGCTTTTTAAAAATTTATAGTGCTTTCAAAGTAATAATAAACCCCAACTGAAAACTATTAGTGCGAAATTTTCAATTATGCAATCTTGACTCCACTTTTCAATTGTTTATTAATTTGTTTTTGAAATAAGTTTACCTGGTTTACCTACAAATATCTAGATAAAGTTTAGAATTAAACTAAAAAAGGAAGAAGGAAGCAAAACGGAAGAAATTGAGATTGACGGTCGTTCCAAGCGCAAGTTAGTCCTTTCCATGGTAAATGTAGGATATTTATTAGGCGCTTTAAGATTTATAAAGGTTTTACGGAGTAAACTATAAAACCCCAAGAGTAAAAAAGTGTTAGAATAAATTTTTTAAAAACCCTACAAAAACTTTTTAAAAACCTGAAGTAATCACAAACACACAAAAAGTTTCATAGATAGAGTAACGAAAACAAAAAAAAAACAATCCAACATTTTGTTAATGTCTGTGTTGCCTAATTCTAATCAAATTCTCCTGGGTAAAGCAAATTATTCAAGTGACAATAAATTATAACTGGTATTACGTAGCATTGTATTTAATTCATTCATCTTAGAATTGCACTCTATATCGTTTATATACAACGAAATTAATATGTACCCCTTAAAATAACCTTAAGATAATCAAAACTTTTTGATTTTTGAACTATTTGTTTTAAAAATAGATTTTCGTTGATTGCTACAAACTCACCTTCAAGTTTAACGCACGCGCTAAACGCGTTACCGGTATATCCGGGTACGCAAGTGCAAGATGGCACGTGGCTGTACACGAAGCAATCCGCGTTTAGACCGCAGGTGCCCGGACATGGATCCACGCATTTTTGCCGCACGCACGCTTTGTTCGTAGCACAATCGGCGTTTATCACGCATTCGGGTTTGCACTCGTTATACGGGTCGCCAAAGTACTCAGGAAAACAGGCGCAAGTGCCATTATCGCACCGTGCGTTGTGTCCGCACGGACTTGGCACGCACGGGTCTCTCGGTATCGCCGCTAAAAATATGCACGTGTTTTATGCCTCGAAGAAGGCATTCAAATCGAGTGCCTTACGTATTTCCGCGGGTTTCAAAACGCACACGCTGAAGGCATCGCCGACGTAACCCGGTGGGCAAAAGCATATCGGGCTGTGAGACCTAACTTGGCAAATTGCTCCGACGCCGCAAGAACCCGGACACGGATCTTTACACTTCTCGTTAATACAAGCCAAATTACTCGGACACTCGGAGTTTATTTTGCACTCCGGTCTACATTGCGGCGGATAACCAACGTACGTGGGCAAACAAGAGCACGAAGGGCTACCGTTAATGTCCCTGCATTGGCTGTTCAGACCGCAAGGATTGGGAACGCACGGATTGACTCGTTCCGGTAGCCGTTCTGGTGGAGCTGAAACCGATTTATTGCGATGCCACGTTTAAATTGGTCCTCAACTTACTCTCTACGACAGTGTAGCATTTGGTAAATGGATCGCCGGTTTGTCCTACCGCGCAGCTACATATGGGACTGTGAAGGATCACGGTACAGATAGCGTCGAGACCGCACACTCCCGGACAAGGATCTACGCATTTTTGGTTGACGCACGCCTTGCGCAAGGCGCACTCCGAGCTGACCGTACACTCCGGCCTACAACCCGGAGGCGTTCCTATATAATCCGATGAACAAGAGCAGACCGCCTGCTCGTTTACGACATTGCATTTACTGTTCGGTCCGCAAGGTGATGGGGTGCACGGGTTTTGTGCTACAGGAACTGCTAAAAATGTTAAGTTGACAGTGACTATATTCATCAAGATGCAACGTTCATCATTACGTTCTTCTTTGGCGGGTATTACGGTACACAATTTAAACGGATCTCCGCTATAGCCCGGGTTGCAACTGCACGAAGGTAAGTGGTTGATGACGTAGCAGAGGGCATTGGGTCCGCAGGTGCCAGGGCACGGGTCGACGCACTTATTGTTTATGCAAGCCCTGTTCGATACGCAATCGGAATTGAGCGTGCATTCTGGGCGACATCCTTCGTAAGGGTTGCCGATATATTCCGGTATGCATATACAAGAGCCGGCATTGTTTCTTTCTGTGCATATGGCGTTACTGCCGCAAGGCGACGGAGAGCAGGGCTTAACAATTTCGGCCACTACCGGCGCTGAAAAGTCAACCGATATAGAACTACGTAGACCATACAACGATTTCAAAATTTTAAAACTTGATACAGCAGGATTTTTATGACATATTTCCGTCCCGGATTACTCGTCTGAAGATTCGAAACTACATTTGGTGTTCATTTGGTCCATTATCTGGCCAGTTAGTCTCCGAGGCGGCAGGAAGAATTAAAGACTTAACCTTTGCTCCAAATAAAATATCGTCAATAATAGACAAATTTTTTGGATAAATCTTAAAAGTCTCCCAACGTGAAATTTGAATGGCAAAAAAGTTATAGAACCTTGAATCGTAGTACGGAATGATTTCGCACCTCTAATTTCCACACAGCTCTGGAATGGATTTCCGGTGTATCCGGGTGAGCATAGGCAGTTGGGCGTGTGGGACACAGTTCGACATTCCGCGTTACTACCGCATGTGCCCGGACAAGGATCTTTGCACTTTCGATTAATACATGCCAAATTACTGGGACATTCGCTATTACTGACACACTCCGGCTTGCAGTACGGTGGAGAACCGACAAAATCTGGCAGGCAAGAACAGGCCGGTGCACCGTTGACGTCGCGACATTGCGAATTTGGACCACAAGGTGATGGTCGGCATGGTTCCGTTTTCGCGGGTATTTCTTCTTCTAAAAATGGTGCGAATAAACATGCGGTCGACAAGAATAACAACGTCTAAAGGAGACCAGAAAAGCTATCGATAAAATTGCTAAAAATCGGCAGCCAACATAAACAAAGATTACTTGCACTCATTAGGCGATTTTGTGCCTAACGGCGTGAAAGGGATAAACAACCAAACATTTTTAAAAAATGGGACCCAATGTCAAAAATGATTATTTCGATTGATACTACTTCCTAGATAAATTGGTTTTGTTTTATGCTTTACATATTTTTCAGAACATCTAAGGTTTTGGATAAATCTATGAATCTTCGAATTATTAGTATTTGAGATGTTGTTTGGAAAATGATTTTTATGTCAGCTGCATAGATATCATGGTCTCCTCCGGACAGAATGTCATAGACACGAAGTCCTTACGTATTGGTGAACATCTGATGAAAGGATCTCCAGAATACTGAGGTACGCAACTGCATATCGGGTTATGGTTCACGACACGGCAAACGGCGTTTAATCCGCATGTACCCGGACAAGGATCGATACATTTTTGATTTAGACAAGCCTCGTCTAACAAGCATTCTGAACTGGAGGTACATTCGGGTCTACAGTTCGGCGGGTTGCCGAGGTAACCAGACACGCAAGAGCATACTGCTTGACCGTTGATGATCCGGCATTGACTATTGGGACCACAAGGGGACGGGCTACACGGATTCTTTGACTCTTCGGGCGGAATAGGAGTACACAAAATAAACGCACTGCCAGTGTACCGCTCGAGACACGTGCACGTTGGAATATGGTTTATGACGGAGCACTGGGCGTTTTGTCCGCAAATACCCACGCACGGATCGGAACATTTATTCCTTATACAAGCTTTATTTTTGGAACAGTCATTGTTGTGGACACATTCAGGACGGCATCCCACGTAAGGATCTCCTAAGTATTCGGGCAAACATGTACAGATTCCGTTACTGCATCGAGCGTTATCTCCGCAAGGTGATGGATTGCACGGATTCTTTTCCTCTTCTACGACAACTGGTTTTGGATAACAACCCGTAAATGAATCGCCCGTGTATCCGTTTATGCAAGTGCAAATTGGTATATGATCTGTTACGCTACAACGAGCGTTGACTCCACAAGAACCGGCGCATGGATCTCGACATTTCTGCTTAATACAAGCGAGACTGCTGGAACATTCCGAGTTGATAGTACATTCTGGTCTACAATTGGGCGGCGAGCCTATATAGCCTGTTACGCAAGAACAAGATGGTTGTCCGTTAATATCTTGACAAATGGAGAATGACCCGCATGGCGACGGCACGCAAGGGTTAACCATGGGGGCTTTCTCAGGTGGAGGTGCTAAAATAAGAATCAATTGAAAGCTGAATCGTCGAAAAAGATTAATAATTTATTCTTACGGGGAATTGGGTAGCAAGCAGTAAAGGGATCGCCGGTATGAGCAGCTACGCAACTACATACGGGACTGTGGTTGATTACTTTACAGTCAGTTCGAAGGCCACAAGAGCCTTCACAAGGATCCGCGCATTTACGATTAATACAGGCTCGGTTTTGGGAACATTCAGAGCTGACCGTACATTCTGGTCGGCACAGGGGCGGATTCCCAACGAATTCGGGCATACAGGAACAAACCGCCTGGCCGTTTGTGGCACGGCACCGACTGTTTGGACCACACGGACTAGGTTGACAAGGATTGGACGGTATTTCTATAAGAGCTAAAAGTAACACTTATAATATACGGACCAGGAGTGTACCAAATATTATCCTTACGTTCTTCGATCATTAAATTGCAGAAGACAAATGGGTTGCCGGTGTAGCGCGGAACACACGTGCAAGAAGGTACGTGGTTGATAACTTGACATTCAGCATTTTGGCCACATGTCCCCGGGCATGGGTTGGTACACTTATTTCCTATGCAAGCCTTATCAGAGGCACAGTCGGTGTTTAGAACACATTCGGGTCTGCATCCCTCGTATGGGTTCCCGATGTAATTTTCTATACAGACGCAAGAACCAGCATTGGCATGTTCTCTACACAGAGTGTTTGATCCACAAGGAGACGGGACGCACGGGTTTATTTGTTCTACAGGTTTTGGTGCTGAAATTGGTAAATGATTGATCCATATAATAGTCTGACGAATCGGATTACCCTCAATAATTCCGCAGTTTACGAAAGGATTGCCGACATATCCTTGGATACACACGCAGTTAGGGGCGTGACTGATCACTTTGCACTCTGCGTTTTCTCCACAAATTCCGGGACAGGGGTCAGCACACTTTTGGTTAATGCAAGCCAAATGATTGGCGCACTCGCCGTTGCTAACGCACTCAGGACGGCAACTTGGCGGAGAACCAACAAAGCCCGGAAGACACGAGCAAGACGGAGATCGATTAATCTCCTTGCATAAGGAATTAGGACCGCACGGGGAAGGACTGCACGAAGTTTCGACTTCCAAGGGGTCTTCCCCTAAAATGCGAATATAGGTCAATATTTTTACGGTCCATGGCAAATCAGTCTTACTTATTGGAGTGCATCTAGTAAATGGATCCCCGGAGAATTTGATGGGACAACTGCATATGGGATTGTGATTAGTAACGTGACATAACGCGTTTAAGCCACAAGTTCCGGGACATGGATCTATGCATTTCTGATTTACGCAAGCTTTATTGAGAGCACACTCGGAACTAGATACACATTCTGGTCTACATGTTGGAGGGCTTCCTATAAAACCTGGAACACATGTGCACACGGCCTGGCTGTTTATTTCTCTGCATTGACTGTTGGGACCACACGGTGACGGACTGCATGGGTTTTTGGGTATTTCCGAAGGAATTGGGGAACACGAGATGAAAGAATTGCCAATATAACCTTCCAAACACGTACAGATGGGGATGTGATTGATAGTGGCGCATTGAGCGTTTTGACCACAAGTTCCTGGGCAAGGATCGACGCACTTGTTTTTGATGCATGCTTTGTCTCTTGGACATTCGTTATTAATTACGCATTCCGGTCTACAACCGCTATAAGGATCTCCCTGGAATTGGGGCAAGCATGTGCACACACCGTTTTCGCATTGTGTGTTGGCACCGCAAGGTGATGGATTGCAGAGGTCAATTTCGATTGGTTCCTTCATTGGCGGTTTGAGAGCGCAGTAACTGAAAGGATCACCGGTGTATCCTTCAGGACAATTGCATATTGGAATGTGGCTAAAAGTGCTGCAAATTGCCGAAGTTCCGCATGAACCTGGACATGGGTCCCTGCATTTTTCGTTAATACACGCCAGATTACTCGGACAATCGGCACTTATGATACATTCAGGCCTACAACCGGGTGGAGACCCTTGATAATTTGGCAGACATGAACAAGATGGCGATCCGCCGATGTCGGCACATTGACTGTTAGGGCCGCATGGAGATGGTACGCAAGGGTTTTTGATTATCGGTTTTTCGGCAACTTCTTGAACAACTAAAAAGTGTTTGAAATGTGTAATTAAAAGAAACAATCAATAAAGAAAACAGATACCTGAAATAGTGTAACATCTTGAGAAGGGATTTCCAGTGAAACCGTTAACGCAGCTACAGATAGGACTGTGATTGATAACTTTACAATTCGCATTTATGCCGCAAGTACCGGAACAGGGGTCTCTACATTTTTGATTGATACACGCTTTATCCAGACTACATTCGGAACTGACTGTGCATTCTGGTCTACAACTAGGCGGACTACCGCTGTATTCCGGTAAACAAGCGCACACTGCTTGCTTATTAACTTCTTGACATTGGCTGTTGGGTCCACATGGATTCGGTTGGCAAGGATTAGTAAGTTCCTCAACTACAGCTAAAATTAATAATTAGAATAGGGGTCGTGTGCGATGCGTTTAATACTTACTTTCAAACACAACATTGCAATGACGGAAAGGATCTCCAGTGAAACCCGGAATACAAAAGCATGACGGTAGATGGTTAATTACGTTACATTGGGCATTTTGACCACACACGCCGGGACACGGATCTTTACATTTACTGTTAATGCAAGCTTTATTTGATGGACAGTCGGTGTTTAGGGTGCACTCGGGCCGACAACCTTCGTAAGGGTTGCCTAAATAATCGTGTATACAAGCACATGAGCCCGCTCCGTTCTGTTCTCTACAGACAGCGTTCGCACCGCAAGGACTAGGCACACAAGGTGTCGGCCTTTCGTCAAGGATTGGTTTTATTGCCGCGGTACATTGGAGGAACGGATTGCCTTCGAATCCTGTTAGGCACACGCAGTTGGGTGTGTGACTTACTACCCGACATTCGGCGTTCAGGCCACAGACTCCCGGACAGGGATCGCGACATTTTCCATTAATGCAAGCCAAATGGGAAGAACATTCGCTATTACTGACACATTCTGGCCTACAATTAGGGGGGGAGCCTATAAAATCTGGTATGCAAGAACAAGACGGAGAATCGCCAATGGCCTTGCACTGAGCGTTTGGTCCGCATGGCGACGGTTGGCATGGATTCTGAGGCATTTGTACTGGCTGCTCTCCTAAAAATTGACGAGTTTATTTGAACGTATGTTGGACATGTGTAAACTGCTACGCACTTATCGGTTGGCATCTGACAAATGGATCTCCAGTTTGCATTGGTGGACAAGAACAAATAGGGTTGTGTGTAACCACTTGACATTGTGCGCTTATTCCGCAAGTTCCTGGACAAGGATCGATACATTTTTGATTCATGCAGGCTTTATCTAAAGGACACTCAGGACTGGTTATGCATTCTGGTCTACAAGTTGGTGGGCTGCCTATGAATCCGGGAACGCAAGAGCACACCGCTTGACCGTTTATTTCTCGGCACTGGCTGTTGGGCCCGCAAGGAGACGGTGAACAAGGGTTTTTGGGTGCTTCCACTAAAACCCAAATTGTTACATGCTGAAGGTCGGATTATTGACGGCATTACCTGGAATCGGAGTACATAAAACGAAGGCGTTGCCTGTAAATTGCGCTTTACAAGCGCACACGGGGATGTGATTTATTACGGAACATTCGGCATTTGTACCGCACGTCCCTGGGCATGGATCTTTACATTTATTCCTTATACAAGCTTGCTCTCTTGGACAATCAGTACTCAATACACATTCTGGCCTACAACCTCTGTAAGGATCTCCGTGAAACTCAACTACGCAAGTGCAGATGCCATTATTGCATTCTGCATTGGCGCCACACGGAGACGGGTGGCACGGATCTGTTTCTGCAGGTTGCACTATTTGCGGTTTGATAAAACACGCGGTAAAGGGGTCTCCAGTATAACCGTCCAGGCAAGTGCATATCGGTGTGTGGTTAATTACATTGCATACGGCGTTAGTTCCACAAGAACCTGGACATGGATCTATGCACTTTTCTCTCACGCAAGCCATATTTCTGGAACATTCCGAGTTTATACTGCATTCGGGACGACAGTTGGGTGGGCTGCCGATGTAATTGATGAGACAAGAGCATGAAGGATTGCCTCCGATATCGCGACATTGACTATTTGGCCCGCAAGGGGATGGCACGCAGGGATCTTTTTCGATCAAAACTGCAGGTTCTTCTACCACCGGTATAGGATAACATCTACTGAACGGATCGCCGGTAAATGCGTTTCTGCAGCTACATATCGGACTGTGGTTGATGACTTGGCAATTAGTGTTCAGTCCGCAAGTACCTGGGCATGGGTCTACGCATTTTTGATTGGTACACGCTTGATTTTGAGAGCATTCCGTACTTAAAGTACATTCCGGTCTGCATGCCGGTGGACTTCCCAAATAATTCGGCAAGCATGAGCATACCGCTTGATCGTTTACGTCTCTGCATTGACTATTTGGTCCGCATGGTGATGGTTGACATGGATTTTGTGGAGTTTCACCTTTAATAGCTAGAAATTGGTTAAGCGTTGAGTGATTGATAAAATCGATTTCAGAAGACTTACGTTCTAGGGAGCAGTAGCGAAAAGCATCGCCCGTGTAACGTGGCAGACACGTACACACAGGCAAATGATTGATAACACTACATTCTGCGTTAGGGCCACAAGTTCCAACACAAGGGTCTATACATTTGTTTCGTATACAGGCTTTATTGGGGGTGCAGTCGGTGTTGATAAGACATTCAGGTCGACAGCCTTCGTAAGGATTGCCTATATAGTCGGGCAAACATGTGCAAGATCCTGCATTGTTTTGCTCTTTACAAACTGCGTTACTACCGCATGGAGATGGTATGCATGGGGTCAACGTTTGAATTTCCGGAGTTAAAACTAAAAGATGCAATTTAATTAACTAAGATGTATGAGACGTATGGGAAAATACATACTTTGGGGTGAGCATACTGTAAACGGATCACCGATAAATCCCGTTAGACAAACGCAATTAGGGGTATGACTGACAACTCTACACTCGGCATTTTGGCCGCAAATACCCGGACACGGGTCTTTGCATTTTTGATTGATACATGCGAGATGATTAGCGCAGTCGCTGTTACTCACACACTCAGGTTTACAGTTAGGTGGTTGGCCCCTGAATTCTGGCAAACACGAACATGACGGTGATCCGTTAATTTCTCTACATTGAGAGTTCGGGCCGCAAGGTGATGGGTTACAAGGATCTTTAACTTCAATTGGTTCGTCTCCTGGAAAGGTTAACTCGGTAGAGTGATTTTTCCGCTGATTTTTTAAAGAATTACTTATTATTATGCATCTGACAAATGGATCTCCAGTATATTTTGATCTGCAACTACATATCGGGCTATGATTCAATACTTGGCACAAAGCATCGAGTCCGCAAGTTCCCGGACAAGGATCGATGCATTTTTGGTTGACACAAGCTTGATTTAGGGGACACTCGGAATTAGTTACACATTCCGGCCTGCACGTTGGCGGCCTTCCAATGAATCCTGGCACGCATGAACATACCGCCTGGCCGTTTATTTCTTTGCATTGACTGTTTGGGCCGCAGGGCGACGGGTTACAAGGATTATTTGGAACCGGTGCTGAAAAGTTTACAAGTGTCAATGTTGTTTAATAATGACTAACTAACATTGTACCTAGTATAGCAGAACACAATACAAAGGCGTTCCCGGTAAATCCCTGATTACAAGAACATATCGGAATATGGTTGGTCACAACACAATCGGCGTTGGTACCACACGTTCCCGAACATGGGTTAACGCATTTATTACGTATGCAGGCTCGGTCCCAAGAACAATCGTTATTTAAAACACATTCTGGCCGACAACCTCTGTAAGGATCTCCTTGGTACTCTGGAAGGCAGGTGCAAATTCCATTTTCACATTGAGCATTTGAGCCGCATGGCGTAGGATTGCAGGGGTCCGTTTCCACCGGGGGCTTTTCGATTTTAAAAACACAGTATTTGAATGGATCTCCAGTGTATCTTTCCGGACAGGTGCAAGTGGGATTGTGATTAATAACCACGCAATTTGCGTCGATGCCACATGAACCCGGGCAAGGGTCGACACACTTTTGCCGAATACATGCCAAATTGCTGGGACATTCTGAGTTTATCGAACATTCCGGTCTGCAATTTGGGGGGCTGCCAAGGAATTCCTTTAAACATGAGCAAGCCGGTGATGCTCCAACATTTTTGCAATCTGCATTGGGCCCACAGGGGGAGGGATTGCACGGATCTACCATAATCGGCACTATCGTTGGCGGCTCTTCTAAAATACCACTTACCTTAGACCGCTAATTGAAAAATATATTGAGCATTCAACTTACGGGGTATCAAATAACATCTTGTGAATGGATCGCCAGAATATCCCAACGAACACACACATATGGGACTGTGGTTTATTACTGAGCACTTGGCATTTAAGCCACATGTGCCCGGGCAAGGATCAACGCATTTACTGTTGATGCAAGCTTTGTCGAGTTGACACTCTGAACTCACTACACACTCAGGTCTGCAACCAGGAGGACTTCCTACAAAGCTGGGCAAACAGGAACAAACTGCTTGATCGTTCACTTCGCGGCACTGACTATTTGGACCACATGGTGAAGGTTGGCAAGGATTTTGAGGTATTTCGATCGCTGCATAAAATGTAGTGATGGTCAGTTAGCAAGTCAATAAGTTATAATGCAAAAGTTACATTGAGACTACTATGAATGAGGAAACCAAAATACGTATAACAATTAAACTGTTAGACAGTATGTTGTATAGCATAGAATGATGCTGAAATAGTTTCGGGAAAGACTTTGAGTTGAAAAATGTTTGCTTTAAACATAAAAATGTTTATTGACAGCATTTGCGACAAAAAATAGAAGACTGTATCGTGTCTTCGATCGGATTCCAAAGGTAAAGCAACTAGAAGGATGTGCACGATTGAGTTGTATACGTAAACGTAGTTGCATTGCCAGTAATAGCTCGGATTAAAATAAACGAAAAAATAAAATAGATAAGCTCTCTCTCGGGACGTGGTAAATAAAAGGATTTTACAAATCACATTGTTGAAAATTTGCGGACGTTTCAATTTGGAAAACACGTTGACTGCATTAACCTTCTAAAGTAAAGGTTCAAATTAGTGTTGCGGTTCACCACGGTAAAGATAAAGGCAATCGTGATACCAGCTTTACGAATGCGTGTTTTGAAGCACAGTCAAATAAGTTAGAATGGTCTTGAGAATCTCGTCGTTCTAAATGCTGAAAACGCACGGTCCAAGTCCTGCAGCCCACTTAGGCTATGTAAGGGAAATATTTATATCGAAAGCCAGAAATTAAGGAAAATATCCCACGATCGTTTAGTAAATTCAAGAGATGGTGATGGTAATTTCGAAGGTAAATTTTTGTTATTAAGTAACGGTCCTAACTAGTCAGCTGTTGTCGAACTGCTACTTGGGATAAAACTGAGTTTCGAGCAGTGATTACGCACACAACGGTTTACGAAATAGTTGGGGCCACAGGCTTTAATTTTTGTTTTGAATAGAGAATTCTGAGGCTCTTTTCGCGCTTTTTCGTAGTAGTCATGATATAGTTTCTGTGTCGATATGGATGTGGATAACATGGATACATTACTGCACTTCACAGAAAAAAAGGAAAAAACAGTGGATTTTTGAAGGTGAACGGTCGCCAAAGAAGGCGAAGACTGTCAGGTCGTCCGCGAAGATTATGGCCACGGCCTTTTTGGATGCTTGCGAATCAATTTACATTGATTACGGAAAACAATCCACGATAACATTGGAGTACTGTGCGTTGCTATTGGAACTGCCGAGAAAATAAACCAAAGAGAAACGTCTTTATATGAAAAATAAAAAGATCCTGTCGCAGCAGTGACTATTTCATGTTTCTGGACTTGAAGAAATGATCTGGTAGATGTTTAACGAGGAGGTAATAACAAACAAAGGCCTATTTTGAGGCGCTTATAAAAGCCCTAGACCGCAGAGAATACGACTTTCAAATAACGTATAAGGGTTTTAATATCACCAACACTCCGCCGTAATGGCAAAAAATTTATCCCAAGAGTCCGATCAGATCTATGTTTAACATCAATTTTATCATAACTACTAGTTCGGCGATTTAATTAAAATTATTTTACTCAGGATCCTTACGTTCTGCTTCCAAAATCTTGCAGAAAGTGAACGGATCGCCCGTGTACGTCGGCAGGCATGTGCAACTAGGTAAGTGATTCACTACGACACAATTGGCGTTTTGACCGCAAGTCCCCGGACATGGATCCAAGCATTTGTTTCGAATGCACGCTTTATTGGAAGGACAATCGGAGTTCAGTACGCATTCCGGTCTACAACCCTCGTACGGGTTTCCGACGTAGTCCGGGAGACACGCGCAAGAACCGGCACCATTTTGTTCTTTGCATTCGGTATTAGCGCCGCACGGTGAAGGCTGACACGGGTTTACACGTTCGGGGGGCGGCGCTAAAATATGCGGACGTATTAGTATGTTGTTAATGTTTACCAGTCTCCAAAACAAACAAAAATTGCACCAGTTAATCCGTTCTGACGTAATAAAAAGCAAAACATAATGTGCATGGCTTACGTGGTGGCGGGAAAGCGCATCGCGTAAACGGATCGCCAACGTAACCGGGAAGGCAAACGCAATTCGGGGTGTGAGAGATCACTTTGCATTCGGCACTGTCACCGCAGAGACCGGGACATGGATCTTTACATTTTTGATTCGTGCAAGCCAAATGGCTGGGGCATTCGCTGTTGCTGATACATTCGGGTTTGCAGTTTGGAGGCGAACCTATAAAATCGGGAAGGCAAGAGCACGACGCTTGATCGCCGACCTCCCTGCACAGAGAATACGGACCGCAAGGCGATGGCCGGCACGGATTTATTGTTTCGACGGGTTCTTCTTCTAGAAAAATGGCTTAGGTAACGTATCGGCTTGACGGTGTGACAAGTGACAAGTGCATTCGGTTTCTTTTTTCAGCTGCTGTTTTTAAAATCGTTTCTTAGGTCAAGATAAAACTCTTGCAACTGATTCAGCTGAGTAATTTCACTTTTTTTTTATACTATGTAAAAAAATATTTGTTTAGTTTACGAGTAAAAAATTTATTTAATATTTTAGTGCGAATATTTATTGCACGAAGCATTATTAATTTTGGAGCAGGACACGAAATTTTAAACTGACAACTTGAAAGAAAAAAAGTTCACGGTATTTTTTGCACTAATTCAAAAAGTTAAATAGAAATTCTATTCAGTATTTTTGCATTAGTGAAAAAAATAAGATTTTTTTACACGTGGAGAAGTGCTAACTAAAACTATTATAAACGATAAACAATATTAAATACAAGGTGTTAAAAAGTACGCTGAAAAACTATAAGGATCGATTTCTAATATTCATCCGGAAACGACTTGTTTTTCTACAAATTTTTAATAGTACATTATACGACAAGTTTGATTAACGCCTCGTTAGTCACTAGTGTTTAATAAGCCAGTGATTGAAGAAGTTCATCAACGTGTTGCATCCTATACTTTTCCTAAAACCATTAGTTTTTGGGTACTTTTTTGCAAAATATCAAGAATGACTGTCGCGTGACGTGACCATTGGGACTGACAAATGTCAAAATATCATTAGCGTTTAAAATTTACAGAATATATCGTGTCGTTCCCAAACCCGCAACTAAAGTACCGGAAACACCCGCGACTGTGTTTAATGGAGCTGATATCTTAAAGCACGCCTGATCGGTGGATAATTGGGCATTTAGAGTAAGGAGTAGAAAAAAACGACAGAGACTGTGTGCGCCACTGACTGCTGAACTATAATTTTTTGTCTCTTAAGTTTCTTAGCATCTCGCTTTATCTTCGGAATTAAAAATCAAAATCAAAAAAGCAAAATTCTTTTCTAAATTCACTAAAAACATTAACAACTCTCGGAAATGCTGTACAAGTGAAGAAATAAACACACTGACCGTTCGAAAATTTTAGAATTTCTTTAGACAATTTTATGCGTTTGGTTCGTTTTGCTGAAATTTGTAAAAAGTTGTGACTCCAAATTTATATATCTTTTTTCGTAACAAAAAGAAGCAATCGGATAACCGCGCTTAAGAGTTTAAAGATGGTGAATAGGGTCAAGAATACGCATTGAAGTAATCACTAAGGCTAAGGCTCCTACGTATTTCTCAAACAGCAGCTTCCTTAAGAAACCGTATACCGAGTCCTTGGTTTCTCAACATTGCGAATCTTACTTATCGCTTCACATCTGATAAACGGATTCCCCGTTAAACCTATAGAGCAACTGCATATCGGATTGTGATTGATCGTCTGGCAATGAGCGCCGATTCCACAACTGCCCGGACACGGATCGGAACATTTTTGATTGACGCACGCCAAATTTAAAGGACACTCGGCGCTCAGTAAGCATTCAGGTCTGCAACTGGGAGGGTTACCGACATAGCCCTCTACGCAAGAGCATATCGCTAGTCCATTAATCTCTTTGCACCTACTATTAGGTCCGCACGGGCTTGGATTACAAGGATTTGTAACTGCGGGTTCTAAAAATTATATTCTCTCGTTATACCAACGGTATTATTAAGTTTTATTATTTGGTGCAATACCTGGTCTTTTGGAGCAAAATACAAGTGCGTTCCCTTGATATCCTTCAGGGCAAGTGCACATGGGGATGTGGTTAATCACCGCGCATTCAGCACCTTGTCCGCAAGCGTCCGGACAGGGGTTTACACACTTCATACGAGTACATAACCTATCCCTTGAACAATCGCTGTTTAACACGCATTCCGGTCGACATTCTTTGTAAGGATCTCCTCGATATTCGGGCAGACAGTTGCAAATTCCATTAGAACACTTCGCGTTTACTCCACAAGGGTTTGGTTCGCACGGGTCTGTTTCTACAGGTACCGGCGGGGGCGGAGGTGCCGGCTTACAGTAAGTGAACGGGTCTCCGGTATGCCCCGTATTGCAAGAACAGATGGGGGTGTGGTTGATAACGTTACACAATGCGTTAGATCCGCAAGATCCTGGACACGGATCCACGCATTTTTGTCTGATGCACGCCAAGTTACTGGAGCATTCTGAATTGATAGTGCATTCGGGTTTGCAATTAGGGGGCGTGCCAACATAAGTGCGTAAGCATTCGCATATCGGATACCCATTGACTTCTTTGCATTGACTGTAAGGTCCGCATGGTGATGGTACACATGGATTTATCGGTTGAGCGATCTCTACTGGTACCGGTTCTGTAAAATTTGGCATTTGGAGACTGTCGTTAATGATTGCTGCGAAAAGAAACTTACTCGGTGTGGGGAAACATCTAATGAATGGATCGCCCGTAAAATCAAATTTACACGAACATACAGGACTGTGATTGATTACTCTACAGTCCGCGTTAGGGGCACAAACTCCCGGACAGGGATCCGTGCATTTTTTGTTTATGCAAGCTTTGTTTTGGGAACATTCGGAACTAAGGGTGCATTCGGGTCGGCAACTAGGAGGACTACCGATATAGTCGGGCAGGCAGGAGCATACTGCTTGGCCGTTCACTTCTCTACATTGACTATTGGGTCCGCAGGGAGATGGTTGGCATGGGTTTTTCGGAGTTCCATCTTCGATCGCTAGAAATGATTTCGATGCATTATTCAAGGCTAACCGAATTTGGAAAATGTAAAAGATTCATAGCAATTGAATTAAATTTAAATATAAAAATTGTCATAAAGGCCTCTTCTTTGAATTATGTGCATTCCATATATCTACGTTACACAATATTATAGAAATATACATTTAAACTTTTCCTACTAAACTACGTTACTCACTTTATGAGCTCCATATAAACTATTTATATTATAAAAAAATTAAGAGCTTTGATGAATATATATATTGAGTAAGTCTTTTGACATTTTGAAAATTTTGTTGAAGTGGTTTATGAAATAAAAAAATACAAAAAAATTATTTTCCAAAAGGTGGGCATTCATCCCTTGTTGCTGATTTTTATGTATTTTATCAATGCTGTCTGGTTAGAATGTTAGAATTATCAGTGATGCTAATCGAAAGTCCTTGCACCTATTATGAATTCCTATTAAAGCAAGCCACTGGATATCGATAAAAACAAGAAGAGTTGCTCTCCGCGCAAAAAGTTGCTTCCTTTCGCATAGCTCAAAAACTTGATTGGGATTAAAGGCCAGTGCTCTAGCAATATCTAACAACTATGAAAAAACGTTCTTTTTTCTAATAATGTTCAGTCCTCAAGATTATATTATTATTGTAAAATACCTTGAATGATGATTTTGCAGTGATCGAACGGATCTCCAGTGTAACCTGGAATACATGAGCACTGCGGTAAGTGATTAAGTACGTGGCATTCGGCGTTCGAGCCGCAGGTCCCCGGACAAGGATCGTTACATTTATTGTTTATGCATGCTTTATTTGAGGGACAGTCGGTGTTGATCGTACACTCAGGGCGGCAACTTTCGTAGGGATTGCCGATATAATCGGATAGGCAAGTGCATGATCCAGCATTTTTGCGTACTTTGCAAACTGCATTGCTACCACAAGGTGACGGAGAGCAAGGTGAAATTATTTCTTGCACTGGCGGTACTAAAACATAAGCATGGTTATCGGGCAACTTATGCAAACATTGTTGATTTTAGTTTTAAAGCTTTTAGGCTTTTGTCAATTTTAACCCTGTACCAATTTTATTCTCTCGAAAGAAATTCCGTGCTCAAAGGAAACACCTTTGATGAAGTCGGCTCACCCTAAATAATTCAGATAGACGTAGTTTTTTTTTTGTTTTTTGTTCTGGCTGTAAAATAATTATACATAGATATGTTCCTTCTGTGTTTTAAATAATAGTTATTTTGGTGATAAAAATGATATTTAATTTTGGGAGAAGTACTTTTTTTTTGTAAATATTATATCTACTCAAATTTATAGCTAATTAAAACGCTTACACGGAGGTGGCGAACACTGTACAAATGAATTTCCCACGTAATTCGACAAACATACGCAGTTCGGAGTGTGACTGACCACTCTACATTCGGCATTGAGGCCGCAGATTCCGGGGCAAGGATCTTTACATTTTAAATTGATACAAGCCAGGTTACTAGCGCATTCGCTATTGCTGACACATCGAGGTCTACAGTTCGGTGGCGTTCCGATAAAATCCGGCAAACAGGAACAAGATGGACTATTGTTAATTTCTTTGCATTGAGCATTAGGCCCGCACGGAGATGGTTGGCACGGATTCACAATAACAGGTTCCTCTAACGCTAAAAGAAGGTTATTTTGTAACGCTTCCATCCCCTACTTTTTTGAATAATTCAATAAAGGTGTGAGGAGAACATCGATATCTTACGTTTTGGAAGACATCTGGTAAACGGATCCCCGACATAGTTTTCGAAGCAGGTACATATGGGGTTATGATTAACAACTTGACATTTGGCGTTCAACCCGCAAGTGCCGGGACATGGATCTATACATTTCTGATTGACGCAAGCCTTATTTAAGCTACATTCCGAGCTTGTAACGCATTCCGGTCTACAATCAGGAGGACTCCCGGCAAATCCGGGCACGCAGGAACAAACCGCCTGATCGTTGACCTCCCTACATTGACTGTTAGGGCCACAGGGGCTTGGCATGCAAGGTCTCGTCGCCGTTGCTTGTGGTATCGGGTTGCAAATAACGAAGGCGTTCCCTACATATCCGTATCTGCACGTGCACATCGGTATATGGTTTATTATCGCGCAGTCTGCATTTTGCCCGCACGTTCCTGGACAAGGATCGACACACTTCGTCCTGATGCATGCCTTATTTTTGGCACAATCGTTATTGAGGATGCATTCCGGTCTGCAACCCACATAAGGATCTCCATGATATTCAGGTAAACAGCTACAGGTTCCATTTCTGCACAGAGCGTTTGCTCCACAAGGGGAGGGATTGCAGAGATCTGCAACGACCACTTGAGGAGGGGGAAGCAGTAAGCATTGCTTAAATGGATCGCCACTAAATTCTCGCAAACAACTGCAAATCGGTATGTGGTTGATAACCGAACACTCGGCACCCACACCACACGATCCCGGGCAGGGATCTCGACATTTTTCTCTGATGCAAGCCAAATTACTAGAGCACTCTGAATTAATTGTGCACTCCGGTCTGCAGCTCGGTGGGCCGCCTATATATTGAGGCAGACACGAGCAAGATGGAATTCCACCGATATTACGGCATTGTGAATTCGGACCGCAAGGTGAAGGTACGCAGGGATCTATCACAAGTTGGATAACAGGCGATGCAGACGGAGCTAAAATAAATACATCAGTGACATTAGAAATTGAGAGGTTTCGTGGGTGTTTGAGTTACCGATGCTAAAAGAACACTTTATTTTGGGTATCTCTACTCACGTGGAATTGGAGAGCATCTGGTGAACGGGTCACCAGTAAAACGAGGTATGCAACTACATATCGGACTGTGATTGATAACTTGGCAATTGGAGTTAAGTCCACAAGTACCGGCGCAAGGGTCGGCACATTTCTGAGATATACAACCCTTATTCGACGGGCACTCCGAGCTCACGATACATTCGGGCCTGCATCCCGGCGGACTACCTTTAAATGCTGGCAAGCAAGAACAAACCGGTTGACCGTTAATGTTTTTACATTGACTGTTTGGTCCACAGGGTGATGGTTGACAAGGGTCGTGCGGCACTTCTTCCAAAACCGCTAAAATGGCATTAGTAATATCACGTTGTAGAATGTACGTTTGGTTTATGCCTTACGTGTCGGTTCCAAGAAACGACAATAAGTGAACGGATCGCCGGTATATCCGGGATTACAAGAGCACGAGGGCAAGTGGTTGATGACTTGGCAATAAGCATTTTGGCTACAAGTGCCCGGACACGGGTCTTTGCATTTATTGTTGACACACGCTTTATTTGGTGCGCAGTCTGAATTTAAGGTACATTCCGGTCTACACCCCTCATAAGGATTTCCTATATAACCAGGCAGACACGTACAGGAACCTGCTCTGTTTTGTTCTCTGCACGCGGCATTGGCTCCACACGGTGACGGTGAACAAGGCGAAATATTCTCAATCGGTTCAAATTGTGGTACTACGTTGCACGAAATGAACGGGTTTCCTGAATAACCGGCACGGCATACACAATTCGGAGTATGACTGATCACTTTGCATTCCGCGTTTGACCCGCAAGGCGCCGGACATGGATTTTTGCATTTGTTATTTATGCAAGCCAAATGATTGGCACATTCGCTGTTACTGGCGCATTCGGGTCGGCAATTTGGAGGTGATCCTATGTAATCCCGAAGACACGAACAAGATGGGGAATTATTGGTTACTTTGCATTCTGAATTCGGACCACACGGCGATGGTCGACAAGGATCCGCTGGTTTTGATGGTTCTTCGGTTGCTGAAATGCCTGTATTCGTTAGATCTTTGCTAAGGAATAAAAAAATAAAAAGAAGCTCTCTCCAAAACCCGATAATTTTGAATATTTGAAAATTCTCAATCTGGTGATGGTAAGAATACAATAAAATGAATGGATAGAAATATCTTTCGTGGATTACAGAAGTATGGTTGAATTTCATTTCAGCAAAGCCAGATGAATTATTTATATTGTGAGGATTGTATTTGTTAAAATATGGAAGCAGAATGGCCTTATATTAATATTGAATATTTAAATAATAATATTTCGGTCAGTAATATGGAGGGCCAAAAAAAAGTTGTACAAATGGCAATCTTAAGAAAATCAGTCAAAATTCGTCTAGCAATAGAGTTTTTTTTAAATAAATATTTATAAATAATGCTTAAATTTTTTACAAAATTAGTTAACGGCGGGTTTTACACAGATTATACAAAATAATAATACATAATTTGTAGATATTTTAAGGAGTCTATTGGTTTTTTTCTTTATGAAATAGTATATTTTGCACTCCGCGTAGCGTATTGTCTGGCACTTCATCTAGATTGAGAGCTTGAACTATTTTAAAATTAAAGGCTGAAACTTTTTACAAACATTATCCCTCCTTTAATCCTCCGTAGTTAGTACTAAACATGTACACACTTGACTAGATTTGACTTAAAGTTGACTGGTAATCTTACAGATACTTTTTTATATTGTCTTTTATAAAAAATAATAACGGCTATGAAAGCTTCAATCAGCCGTTATTAAATTGAACTAAACCAACCAAAATTATTTTTTGCATTACAATTAATTAGAACAAACGCTTTCAAATATAAATATGCGTTTTGAACTGAATTTCAACCATGTGAAACAGAAATGGTAATAGTGAAATTAAGTTTTAGACATCATATGGGGATGCGGATGATGGTTAGAATCTGACTTTATTGTGATTATAATCCGTTATAAAAATATAAGATATTGAAAGATATTAGATAAAATGAAAAACTAACATTGTATAGCATCATAACCCTCATCAGTTATTGATTCTATTATTTAATTTCCAAAAAATAATTCAAAAATATTCTAAGACATTCAACATAAATGTCAAAAATTATTTCATAGCAAAACACTTACGTCTAATTTGACATGCTATAAATGGGTCTCCCGTATAACCTGAGGGGCACGTACAAATCGGATTGTGATTGACCACTTGGCATTTTGCTCCTAAACCACAGGTTCCGGGACATGGATTGATACATTTTTGATTGTAGCACGCCTGATTCAAATTACATTCGTTACTGGAGACACACTCGGGACGACAAGTAGGGGGACTACCGAGGTACCCAACTAGACATGAGCACACAGCTCCGTTATTAACTTCCTTGCATTGACTGTTGGGCCCGCAGGGCGATGGTTGACATGGATTTTGCGGAAGAGGCGCTAAAAAGTGTTTGCTATTCTTAAAAATTTCTGCTCGATTATGGTGATCGTTTCATACCCGGAATTTTGTTACAAAATATGAATGGGTTACCGGTGTGATCAGGTAAACAAGAACACATAGGAATATGATTATAGACGTCACATCGCGCATTCTGTCCGCACGTTCCTGGACATGGGTCGATGCATTTTTTCTGCACGCAGGCTTTGTGTTTGGGACAATCGCTGTTTAGTACGCATTCAGGTCTACATCCTACGTACGGGTCTCCTTGATATTCCCGAAGGCAGGTGCAAATACCCTCGGTACATTCAGCGTTTGGACCACAAGGTGAGGGGTAGCACGGGTCGGTTTCGGATACGATCTCTATAAAATTGTAAAAAGTTTGTGATAGTGACTTGGTGCAAAATTATTGCACGTTTTCGCGTGATTTTACGCAATTTATGAAATATGCAAATTTTTACTCCATTGTGAGAAATGTTTTTAGAACATGTTAATTCTTAACTTTGATAACATTTATTAAAAAAAAAACAATACCTTGCACAGGTTTAATGTGACAGGCAGTGAAGGGATCACCGGTATGAGTTTCAATACAGGTGCAACTTGGAACATGGTTTCTCACGGTGCACAGCGCATTTGCGCCACACAAGCCAGGACAGGGATTTTGACATTTCTCTCGAATACAAGCCAAGTTACTCGGACATTCGGAATTGATGACGCACTCCGGTTTACAGTGCGGGGGTACTCCTAAATACGTGGGTAAGCAAGAACATGACGGATATCCGCCCAAATCTCTACATTGGCTATATGGGCCGCAAGGTGATAAAAGGCAAAGATCCTTCGGTGGCGCTGTTTGTATAGACTCCACGACTAAAAAGAAATAATTATTCACAGCAAATGGCTAGCATTATTGTGATAGGTACCAATGGCATAACAGCGGGTAAACGGATTACCGGTGTTTCCAGGCAAACAACTACATATGGGACTGTGTTTAATGACTTTACAATTCGTATTTACTCCGCACGTTCCAGGACACGGATCCACGCACTTTCTATTTATGCAAGCCTTATTTGGGGAACACTCGGTGCTGACCACGCATTCTGGCCTGCAGGCGGGAGGACTACCAATATAGTCCGATAGGCAAGAGCATACTGCTTGACCATTGACTTCTTTACATTGACTATTGGGCCCACAAGGGGATTGTTGGCAGGGATTTGTCGGTCTATCTTCTATTGCTGAAATTAGTGGCATAAAAAATTCGCACGTCCCTGTTCACGTCAAACTCTTACTTGGTTCTACGACTTCAACGGTACAGCGTTGGTAGGGATCGCCGCTGTAACCCGGAAAACAAGTACAAGAGGGCACGTGATTTATCACGAGGCACTGCGAACTAGTTCCGCATGTTCCCGGACAAGGATCTGCGCATTTCAAATTAACGCAGGCTTTGTTCGACGGACAATCGCTATTAACTGAACATTCTGGGCGACATCCTTCGTACGGATTTCCAATATAATGGCGCAAACAAACGCACGAGCCGGCGCCATTTTGTTCGCGACAAAGGGCGTTCGCCCCGCAGGGTGACGGAGAACATGGTGTGATAACTTCCAAGGGTGGCGCAAAATGACATTCACTGAACGGATTGCCGGTATAACCTGAGTGGCAAACGCAATTGGGAGTGTGGCTGAGGACGCGGCAATCCGCGTGGGTCCCGCACACTCCGGGACAGGGGTCTTTGCATTTTTGGTTTATGCACGCTAAATGACTGGCGCATTCACTGTTGCCGACGCATTCTGGTTTACAATTGGGCGGTGTTCCAATGAAATCGGGCAGGCACGAGCAAGATGGATTTCCACCGATATTTTTGCACTGGGATCTCGGGCCACACGGCGATGGCTGGCAAGGGTCGGAAGGCAAATCCACGGGTTCATCCCCTTAAAAATTTAGCGTGAAGTTAAGGTATACCCTTTTCAACAGAATAAGCAGTACTGAAAGTTTAGATCAAATGCATGAGTTATCACTTTGCATTTAGTCAGTATTAGTTATAGAAAAATGGTTGATGAACATTTGATTGATATTGTCCACAGATATACAAATTGTCTCACAGTGGATTACGAAATCGTGAAGTAACAATTATAATTACATTTAGTACGGAACTGGCGACGCTTGTGTTGAAAAGAAGCAACAACTTAAATCTTTCTCTCTGCTGACACTTTCTGATTATTTTTGTAAAAACTTCCCATACACTTATCTTTAACGATTTTAGTGATAATAATTATTTTCCAGCTTTTTCGGCTAAATGGACTCCAATCTATATTCTTATTATCGGCCTAAGGTTTCCCAAAAAAAAAAACAGTTCTCAAACAAAATCTAATTACGTTAACAAATTTATAAGTGAAAGATATCCATGAAGTGTCTTGATAGATGGTACTTACAAAGAAGTGACAATAATCGTTGTATTTTTATTATCTTATTATTTTTATTATCGGCTATGTAACTAATGAGAGCATATCCCAAGAATGATTTTCTATTAAATATTAATTAATTGACAAAATAAATAAGAACCAAAAGTTCAGATTTTCACTAAATTATATATTTTCACATTTTTTATTAATTTTTATTATTTTATTTAAACCTAATTGATCGTTAAGCAATGCATTTGAATGTCCCATTTTGTTAATCTCCATGGCTTCCAATAAATTTAATTTTCTACTTTTTGTAGCTGTAGATAAAATATCAAAATTGTCGTCAAAAATGTGTTTTTCTGTGTTTAACTGTGTAGCATAATTAGAATCTAGACTAATGTTTTTTAAACGCTCTTTCATGTTCATTAAGTTAAGTTAAGTTCGTTAAAGAACATGAAAGAGCATTTAAAACAATATAGATTCTAATTATGCTACACACTTAAACCCAGAAAAACACATTTTTGACGACAATTTTGATACGCAAAAAGTAGAAAATTAAATTTAAATTTAAATTATTTATTTAAAAATGAGGCATTCAAATGCATTGCTTAATTAGATTTAAATGCCTCTCCATTATTAAACTTAAATTCTCACAACATTAGTTAAGATTTTATTGTCATTTTTCGATATATATAGTAGCAAGTAGTTTGTAAATATTACATTTGATAAACATTGTTGTCGAAACAATTGTCATGTGAAAATATATAATTTAGTGAAAATTTAAACTTTTAGTTCTTATTTATTTTTATAAATGGATTTTCATCAAGCAAAAATTTAGATAGACCAACAAACATGTCATTTTTTAATAAAAATGAGTTAGTCGAACATCACTTATTTGTTCATACCAATTTCACATGCCAATTTGTTTTGTTTTTTTTTTTATTGAAATAACCGGTTTTACACCCCCGAACAAAGCAAAATCTACCTAAATAGACTTTTTTTTAAATATAAGGGACCAATCTTCACTAAATATACAAATACAAAACTGAGAAATCTAGAACCTAGATGGGGAACTTAAAGTATTACAAAGCGAGAGACAGAAGTATTGATATGCGATGTCGTATCGCACAAAAAGTACATTTAATTTTTATTTCGGTTTGAATGTAAACATTTTAAGAAAAATATCCAATGAACCGATAGAGAAGGGTAAGGTTGCAAGTGGTACTGCTTATTCTGGTGAGTATAGCGAACATTTTGTACTTACGGATCGGGAGACAGCGAACGAAAGGATCACCTGTGTGTCTCGTGGGACAAGTACAAATAGGGTTGTGATTAGAAACTTGACAGTGCGCTCCGATACCACAGGTGCCTGGGCAAGGATCTATGCATACTTGATTGAGACACGCCTTATTCAGGGCACATTCCGAACTAACAATGCATTCTGGTCTACACGTAGGAGGACTACCGCTATAACTTGGTATACAAGAACATACCGCCTGTCCATTGACTTCTTTGCATTGACTATTAGGTCCGCAAGGTGATGGACTGCAAGGATTTTTGGGAGGAGGTCCTAAGATAAAAAGATTCCATATCAAATTGGTATTTCGTCCCGGCTTCGTAAACACTTACTTTCTATAGGATTACACATTATAAATGCATTGCCTGAATATCCGGAATGGCATGTGCACATAGGGATATGACTGACAACTGTGCATTCGGCATTGATGCCGCAAGTTCCCGTACAAGGATTTTTGCATTTACTATTAATGCAGGTCAAGTGGCGAGGACAATCGTTATTCAATACGCATTCGGGTCTACAACCAGCGTACGGATCGCCTCGGTATTCGGGTATGCAACTACAAATTCCGTCATCGCACTGGGCATTGGGCCCGCATGGGGATGGATTGCACAAGTCGGACGAAATCGGTGCAATTTCTTGCGGTTTAAGATTACAATAACTGAAAGGGTCACCTACGTAACCTTCTGGACACGCGCAAGTAGGTGTGTGATTAATCACGGAACATAAGGCACCACTCCCGCACGCTCCGACACATGGATCTTTGCATTTTTGATTGATGCAGGCTAAATTGCTTTGGCATTCTGCGTTGATTAGACATTCAGGTCGACAGTTTGGAGGGCTACCTATAAAATTGATCGCGCACGAACATGCTGGCACGCCATTAACGTTATTGCATTGACTATTCGGACCACAGGGCGTAGGCACGCATGGGTTGCTAGTTACCGGTTCGATTATTTCAGTCATAGTAGGAATGGGTATGCATCTACTGAATGGGTCGCCCGTGAAGCCATGTCTGCAAGAGCATACCGGCCCATGATTTATCACACGACATTCGGCGTTGTTTCCGCACACATCCGGGCAAGGATTTTGACATTTTTTGTTGACACACGCTTTGCTCAGCGGACATTCTGAACTAGTCACGCATTCCGGCCTACAACCAGGAGGATTTCCGATAAATTCTGGTAAGCACGAACAGACAGATTGACCATTAATTTCTTTGCACTGACTATTCGGTCCGCACGGAGTCGGCTGGCAGGGATTCTGAGGTATGTCGTCTAAAATTGGAAAAATTAAAAACTTTATCCTTAGAGGATAGTTTTTTCTTACGTTTTGGGGGTATTAAATTGCAATAACTGAAAGGATCGCCGGTATATCCCCTGAGGCAAGTACACATTGGTAAATGATTGACCACCTGACATTCTGCATTTTGACCACACGTTCCGGGACAAGGATTTTGACATTTATTTTTAAGGCAAGCGTCATTATAAGGGCAATCTGTGTTTACAACACATTCGGGTCTGCAGCCTTCGTAAGGATTTCCGACATATTCTGGAAGACATTTGCATGATCCTGCACCATACTGTTCTCGGCATTCAGCATTCGGGCCGCATGGTGATGGGAAACACGGGGTTAGGTGTTCCTGAATTGGAATGGCTAAAAAATGCGAGTAAGACGTTGTTCTTATGGAATTTTTTAATTCCACTTACGGGGTTTTGGAGTACATTGGGCGAAGGGATCGCCCACGAAGCCTTCTACGCAAATGCAAATAGGGGCGTGACTAATTACTTGACATTCTGCGTTGGTGCCGCATATCCCAGGACAAGGGCTAGCACATTTATTATTTATGCAGGCCAATTGACTACTGCAGTCGCCATTTGATACACATTCCGGTTTACAATTCGGAGGCGATCCAATAAAGGTCGGCAAACAAGAACAAGATGGTGATTCTCCGATCGCCCTGCATTCAGAATTGGGGCCACACGGGCTGGGAATACACGGGTTTGATGGTTTAACTACTGCTTCTTCAGCTACAAACGCATGATTAGAAGGCAACCTTTTTTTACCAACAATAAATTTACCTAAAATGGGCGTGCATCTCACGAAAGGATTTCCAGTGTGCCCGGGCAAGCAAGCGCAAATCGGATTGTGATGCACCACTTGACATTGGGCTAAAATACCACAAACGCCAGGGCACGGATCGATACATTTTTGATTGACACAAGCTTGGTGCAGTAAGCATTCTTCACTTGTTACGCACTCAGGTCGGCAAGTTGGTGGACTACCTATGAAACCGGACAAGCAAGAACACACGGGTTGTTGGTTTACTTCTCTACACTGACTGTTTGGACCACATGGCGATGGGTTGCATGGTTTTTTAGGGGTTTCTGCTTAAATACAATAGTTGACTTGTTTTTGTTTTAATAGTTTACTTAAAAATGTTACCTGGTATTTTCGAACAAATGAGAAAAGCGTTGCCAGAGTAACCGTCTAAGCATGAACACATGGGTATGTGATCAATTACGTTGCACACTGCATTTTGTCCGCAAGTACCGGGACACGGATCTTTGCATTTGTGTCTAATGCAAGTCTTATCTCTCGGACAATCATTTGAAAGGACACACTCTGGTCTACATTCATTGTATGGATCGCCATGATAGTCCGGCAGACATGTGCATGTGCCATTCCTGCAAACGGAGTTGGGCCCACAGGGCGAAGGATTGCAGAGATTTACTGCTGGCGGTTCTTTTGCAGGTGGTTTGGGGGAGCAATAATTAAACGGATCTCCGGTATATCCTTCTGGACAGTTGCATACCGGCATGTGATTTATTACATTACAATGGGCTAGAGCACCACATGATCCAGGACATGGATCCAAACATTTGTGGTGGATGCATGCGAATTTGCTTGGACATTCCGAGTTGATGTTGCATTCGTGCCGACAATTTGGAGGACTGCCTAAGAAATCAGGTAAACACGAGCACGATGGCGTTTCGCCCAAATCTTTGCATTGGCTATTCGGACCACATGGAGAAGGAATACAGGGATTGGTTGCGATAATCGGAGAAACTTGTTCTAAAACGTTAATGTTTGGTATTAAGTTTCCTAAATTACAAGAGACAAGTCTTACGTGGGATATGATAGCAGCGTGTGAAAGCATCTCCTGTAAACTGATCTTTGCACGAGCATATTGGGCTGTGTCTAACAACGTGGCATATTGCGTTCAATCCGCACGTGCCTGGACACGGATCAACACACTTTTGATTAGAACATGCCTGATTCAAAGGACATTCTGTGCTAACAGTACATTCGGGTCTGCATGTGGGTGGATTTCCTATATAATTAATGAGGCAAGAGCACACAGCCTGACTATTTACTTCTCGGCATTGACTGTTTGGCCCACAAGGTGACGGTTGGCAAGGATTTGTTAGAATTTCATCGGTAGCTATAAAATTTCAAATTTGTGTAAATGACGGAGACTGAAGTTACAAAGACTTACATTTTATGTCAAGAGTACAGTATCTAAATGGATCACCGGTATATCCCGAATCGCATACGCATGAAGGTAAATGATTTATTACATGACAGATCGCATTCGAACCGCATGTTCCTGGGCATGGATCTTGACATTTATTATGTATACAAGCTTTGTTTGATAAGCAGTCTGAATTAAGAGTACATTCTGGTCGACAACCTTCGTACGGATTTCCAATGTATTCTGGGAGGCATAAACATGATCCCGCGCCATGCCTTTGACTGCATTTAGCATTTGCACCGCATGGTGAAGGCTCACACGGATTGATAATTTCTTGTACTGTGGGTTGCTGAGCATTGCAGTTTAGGAAGGGGTCACCCACATATCCGGACAAACACATGCAAATTGCTGTGTGACTGACAACTCGACATTCCGCATTTAATCCACAAATTCCAGTGCAAGGGTCTGCACATTTTCTGTTTATACAAGCGAGATGATTGCTACAGTCAGAATTGCTAACGCATTCGGGTCTGCAGTTAGGCGGAGTTCCATGAAAATCAGGCAGACAGGAGCACGAGTAGGATTCGCCTACCACTTTACATTGGGAGTTTACACCACAAGGAGATGGTTGACACGGGTTCACTTGTACTACCGGTTGAACTTCTTCACCTGGATTATGGAAGTTGTTACCAGCACTTTGATATAAAATCAAACAAAACTTACGTATAGGGTGACACATAGTAAACGGATCACCAGTGTATCGTGGCAAACAGCTGCAAATTGGGCTATGGTTTATCGTCTGACATTTGGCTTTCAAACCGCATGTTCCAGGGCATGGATCGATACATTTTTGATTGTGGCAGGCTTCGTTTAACGAACATTCTGAACTAGAGATACATTCTGGTCTACAGGAGGGGGGATTTCCGATATAGCCCGACACGCACGAACACACAGCTTGTCCGTTAATCTCTCTACATCGACTGTTTGCACCACAAGGATTTGGACTACAAGGATTTACTACCAATATATCTTCTGCAATATTAGAAAGACATGAATACGTTAGTCATCCAGATACGCGGACCAAATTTCACCTTTGATTATGTTACACCTGACAAAGGCGTTGCCTTGGTAACCTTGAATGCACGTGCACATTGGGATATGATTCGCCACTGTACATATAGCATTTACGCCGCAAGTGTTTATACATGGATCTATGCACTTATGTTTCGAACAGGCTTTATTGCTTGTACAATCGTCATTAAGAACACATTCCGGTCTGCAATCCACATAAGGATCTCCTTGATATTCGGGTTGGCAAGTACAAATTCCGTTCCTACAAAGTGCGTTGGCACCGCATGGTGTGGGCATACAAGGATCCGTCGTTTCGATTTCTAGATGTTTTATTTCGCAGAAATTGAAAGGGTTGCCTGTGTAACCTTCTAAACAATTACAAATTGGAATATGATTGATAATGTGACACACAGCGTTAGTTCCGCAGGATCCCAAACAAGGATCTTTGCATTTTTGATTGATACAAGCTAAATCGCTTGGACACTCGGAACTAATAAGGCATTCTGGTCTACAGTTGGGAGGAGACCCAACAAATCCTGGCAAACATGAACATGCCGGATGGCCACCGGTATCGCGACATTCAGAATTCAATCCGCATGGGGACGGTAGGCACGGATCGCTAGGGGTAATTTCCAATGGTGTAGGAATGACCACTACAATTTGAAATTTCAAGTTGTTTTGTTAACCTACCAATAAAGTATCTCCCGACAAATGATGCTTACGTGGCATTCGGTAACAGCGTGTAAATGGATCACCGGTATATGCAACTTTACAGCTGCATATCGGACTGTGATTTATAACTTTGCATTCCGAATTTAAACCGCACGTTCCTTGGCAAGGGTCTTTACACTTGTTATTAATGCACGATTTATCTTTTGGGCATTCGGAGCTTAATAAACATTCTGGTCGACAAGCCGGAGGACTTCCAACGAAATCAGGCAAACAGGAGCATACGGGTTGTTTATTGTTTACGCGACAATCACTGTTAGGGCCGCAAGGATTCGACTGGCATGGGTTTGATATGTCTTCAACAACAGCTGCAAGTATAGATTAATTATTTATTAGAATCGGGTAGGTTTTGGAACAACGTACGTTTAGGTAATTCATGGCAAAATCTGAAAGGATCTCCAGTGTAGCCTGCAATACAAGTGCAAGAAGGTGCGTGATTCAAGACGTAACATTCGGTGTTCGGACCACAAACTCCTGCACAAGGATGGATACATTTATTGTTCTGGCATGCTTTATTGAATGGACAATCGGAATTTACGGTACACTCTGGTCGACAGCCTTCGTAGGGATTTCCAAGGTATTCCGGCAAACAGGCACAAGAACCTGCACCACTTTGTTCTTTACAAATGGCATTGGCACCACAGGGAGACGGACTGCAGGGGCTAACGATTCCCACAACTATTTGTGAAATAGCACTGCAGCCGCTAAATGCATCACCCTCGAAACCGGCTAGACATACACAATTTGGAGTATGACTGACTACCCTACATTCAGCGTTTGGTCCGCACACGTCAACACAAGGATCTTGACATTTGCGATTGATACATGCCAAGTTATAAGCACATTCACTATTGGTAATGCATTGAGGCCTACAATTAGGGGGTGATCCGATGAATTCTTGTAAGCACGAGCAGGAAGGAATTCTATTTTTTAATATGCACTGGGAATTGGGACCACACGGCGAAGGCTCACACGGATTTGTTTGAACCACTGGTTCTTCTTCTGAAACGATGATTAGCTAGATGAAGTTAAAGGGTGGTAATTTTATACTTACGGGGTTTTGGTATACATTTGGTAAACGGATCACCAAAGAATTGTGCAGGGCAGCTACAGATGGGGTTATGGTTCACAACTTGGCATTTCGCATTAAGCCCACACGTTCCCGGGCAAGGATCGATGCATTTTTGATTGATACAAGCGTGCGTTAAAAGACACTCGGGGTTGGTGACACACTCTGGCCTACATGACGGGGGATTTCCCTTGAATCCAGAAACGCAAGAACATACTGCTTGGCCATTGAATTCTCTACATTGACTATTGGGTCCGCAGGGACTTGGTTGGCAGGAATTCGGTCGAGACAGTGCTAAAACGCATATTTTATTGTGGTTGTCTTTAAAATTGGGCAAATCGATCTTACAGTCGGGAAATCTACAGCGAACAAACGCATTGCCAACGTAGCCAGTGGGACAACTGCAGATGGGGATATGATTTTCGACCACACATATAGCACCCGTGCCGCAGGTCCCTGGACAAGGATCCCTGCACTTCATTCTCACACAAGCTTTATTTTTAGCACAGTCATCACTAACAACGCATTCAGGCCTACAGCCTGTGTGCGGATTGCCTTGATATTCGGGTTTGCAGGTGCATATTCCGTCCGCGCAAGCGGCGTTTGCACCACATGGCGAAGGATTACAAGGATCTTCTTCTATTACGGGTATTATTTCCGTGGGTTTCGGATAGCAATTAAGGAACGGATCTCCCACCATACCCGATGGACAGCTACAAATAGCGTTATGATATAAAACAGCGCAATCGGCGTTTAAACCGCATGATCCTGGACACGGATCTCGACATTTTTGATTCATACAAGCCATATTGCTTGAACAGTCCGAATTTACGGTGCATTCCGGTCTGCAATTGGGCGGAATTCCGACATATTCCGACACACAGGAACAGGAGGGCGTGGTACCGATACCGCGACATTGCGAATTTGGCCCGCAGGGTGAGGGCATGCAAGGATCAAAAAGCGCAACTTCTTGGAATATAGGGGGAGCTAAAATTGACGCGATTTTAAAAGCGTAAGCATTCGAACCGTGACGTTTCATCTTACGTGTTATTGGAACGCATCTGCTCAACGGGTCTCCCGTAAAATCGACGCGGCAGTTGCATATCGGGCTGTGATTGATGACGTGGCATTGCGAATTTGTGCCGCACGCGCCCGGACAAGGGTCTCTGCATTTCATGTTGACGCACGCTTTACTTAGCGGACATTCTGAACTTACTGCGCATTCCGGTCGGCAGTTTGGAGGGTTGCCTACGTAGTTGGGTACGCAAGAACATACGGCGTGGTCATTAATGACTCGACATTGACTATTAAGTCCGCAAGGCGACGGCGAGCACGGATCTCGGGGTTCGATTATATGAGCTATTATAGAAATAAGTGTCACAAATGAATAACTGAAATTTACGCTCGTGCTTACGTTCTTCTTGGTACGGAATGCAGTTGGTAAACGCGTTGCCTATATATCCCGGCAAGCAAGTGCAAGAGGGGAAGTGATTTATGACTTGACACGACGTGTCTGTCGCACAAGTACCGGGACACGGATCCGCGCATTTATTCGTAATACACGCTTTATTCGATGCGCAATCCGAGTTGTATATACATTCTGGTCTGCAAGCTTCGTACGGATTGCCGACGTATTCAGGTAAACATTGGCACGAACCGGCGCCATTTCTCGCATGACAAACGGCGTTCGTTCCGCAAGGGGACGGTCGACAGGGATCAAAACTTTCTTGTATCGGCAGTTGCTCTATAATTTAACATTTGGTCATGGAATTTTTAGGGGGGTCAGTATAACGCTCTGGCATTAGAACCGTTTAGGAAAGCGATATTATTTCGATTGCGTTCGCCATACGGATTATGTTTTGCTTTTTATTAGACGAATTTTTGCGATAGGCAAGCGTTTTCGGTCGTTTTAATTGTTAAGCGATTTCGTATTGTTGTTTCGGCATTGGGTGTGGCGGCGGGAAGGGGGAAGTTTTCGCTCACGCTCGTGAACCGCTCCTTTTTTTTATTAAGCTGTGTTATTTGTTTGGTATTTTTCGGCGCTAGGCGTTGTTGTAGTTGGCAATAGCATTTTGGGACGATATAATTAAAGGCGGGGGACGCATAGCAAAATTCCGCAACGCGTTCCTGCTGAAGCGCTCGCTGTTACCGTTGGGGGATTATCCTTACCTTGTTTCATCCCCGAAGCGCAGAAAGCGTTAATGTACAGCGAAAGCATGCTATCATATGATAAATAAAGAATGCTTCACGAGAAACACATTCTTAATAGTTATCAGATTTCAAATTTTCCAAATTTGGTTTCAAAGCGACTATAACCTGGAAGGCAAGAACAATTGTTTTTGGAGGTAGTGGTCATATAAAAGAAAATTTTCGTGGTTCAAAAGAGGACTCTTCGCACTGTCAAAAAATGCAATTTGGAGAGGGCTGTAGAGGGGTGTTCAAGGCTGAAGATATTTTTACTGTATATGCTTGATATATTTATGAAGCATTGATATTCCTTTTAAAAATCGAAAGGACTTCGAACTACAGATATTTCATAGATATAATACCAGAACCCTAAATGTAAATTACCCTATTCACCGTTTAACCTTAACTGAAAGGAGTCCTTAATACATGTGCCTGAGATTGTAGAATAAATTACCAAATGAGGTAAAAACAATTGCAAATCTAAAAATCTTTAAATACACAATAAAAAAGTTATTGATAGAGTTAGAACCTTATTCCATAGAAGATTTTTTCTGTAATATTTAAATAATTGTTTAATTAATACGATGCAATTGAAATTTGTAAGAATATCTAGTGCTTTTTCCTTTTTTGACGGCGATTTCCTTTGTGTTTGGTATATTATTTTTAGGTAATGTATTTATGACACAATGTGAAATAAAGTTGATTATTATTATTATATTATTATTCCTACACAACAATATTTAAGTTTTTTTAATGACCTCAAATTTTTTAAAGCAACTTTAGGAACCTACTTCTGTTTTTATTCTTGTAAACACATTGTATTTCGTTTTGATTGTTGCGATAAGTTAAACTGGCACCAAATCGCTTTTAACTTTCTCATGGCTGTTTAGAAAGCTCAAAGCATAAGCCAGTATTTTTATATGAAAATGTAAAAAAAATGAAGTAGATTTCGAAAAAAATTTTAAAAAATATGGTGTCATAAAAGAATCGCTATTGTTGATCAAAGAATGATTGAAAAAAATGTTATTGCCTCTCAGGTTGTAGCGGACTTGAAGTTATTTAACTAGTTTTTTTGAATTTTGGAACTCGGATAATAATTAAGACGACCACTCGGGTAGAGCGTTTTCCGTTCAGCTTTCTGTATGGGTTATTTTTTGGTTCCGCTTTCGATTTGGAGTATTGAGAAAATTTCGCAAAAATTTGCTCTATTGAAAATTGAGATAAATTGCAGCAAATTTTTGTTTTCAATAGAATTTTAGATTTATGGAATATTTATGTATTCATAGAAATTCAATCTTTTGAGATTTTACACTACTAAGTTTAGTATAATGAATTTTGTACATTATTTAGAAAATTGTAATTTGAAAAATTCAATTATAGATAGGTCACAACAAACGGAACACAGAACTATCTAGAAAGTACTACTAAACTTTGAACATGCAGCATGCATTCAACGAAAAACAATATCGGACATAATATTTTAAACAGTAATTTTGAACGAAAATTTTGACTTTTGATTTTGACAGTCCCTAGGAAATGTAAAATTGATCCTGATGCAGAACGGAGTGGGAAAAATTATTTTTCTAAGAGGACCCTTATTTGAAAAAATTTGAACTTAAATTTTCAAATATCTCGAATTATCTTGAATTAGTTGATGTTTCTTTGTGACGTGCTTGCGCCCTGATAAAAATCCATCATATTCGGATTATATGTCAAATAGGTTCGGGATCGGCGCTGTAAAAATAGCATTACCTTTTTCATGTATGTTAGGCATTCGGCGAAAAACGTAATATTTTTCATAATTTGCACTCTAAAATTATTGATCAATTTGGAGAGATCATATTAGCAAATGAATATCCCAAATATGTTTAGCATCTGAAATGGCGGATTTTGTGTGCTTATTTTTGTGGAAAAATTACAATTAAATATGCAAATGTCACTAACGTCAAAGAGAATTTTGGGCCGATATTGCTTCTCATCAAATTCGATACGAAAAAAAAATCATGCAACTTACGGGGCGTTTGAAGACATCCTCGGAACGGATCGCCTGTGAAACCGGGACTGCAGCTGCACACCGGACTGTGATTAACGACGTTACACAGGGCGTTCGCGCCGCAACTACCCGGACACGGATCGCGACACTTTTGATTAATACACGCGTGCGCATTCGGACACTCGTTATTGATCGTACACTCGGGCCTACAGTTCGGCGGAGTTCCGACGTAACTCTCGACGCACGAACACGCAGGCGTTTCACCACGCACTTGACATACCGAGTTCGGACCGCAGGGGCTTGGTCGGCAAGGATCCACAGGTACCACTTCTGTAATCAAAGAAAATGTTTACTGTTGGTACAATAGAACCGCACTAGAATTTTATGGTGGTGGTCTCGCATTGTTGGCTATCCAACTAAGGTTTTTGAATGTAATATGCAGATCAGGCATTCAAAACTCATAATACACAATGAAAGTGTGAAGCGGTTCGTTTTACAAAATATATTGGCAAAATGGCCTAGCTGTCTGTCCAAGTAAGGTTTTTGACTATAATATTACGCTGAAGATCAGTCATTTAATACTCATAATACACAATGAAAGTGTGAAGCTTTCGTTTTACAAAATATGTTGGCAAAATGGCCTAGCTGTCTGTCTAAGTAAGGTATTTGAATGTAATATGACGCTGAAGATCAGGAATTCAAAACTCATAATACACAATGAAAGTGTGAAGCGGTTCGTTTTACAAAATATATTGGCAAAATGGCCTAGCTGTCTGTCCAAGTAAGGTTTTTGACTATAATATTACGCTGAAGATCAGTCATTTAATACTCATAATACACAATGAAAGTGTGAAGCTTTCGTTTTACAAAATATGTTGGCAAAATGGCCTAGCTGTCTGTCTAAGTAAGGTATTTGAATGTAATATGACGCTGAAGATCAGGAATTCAAAACTCATAATACACAATGAAAGTGTGAAGCGGTTCGTTTTACAAAATATATTGGCAAAATGGCCTAGCTGTCTGTCCAAGTAAGGTTTTTGACTATAATATTACGCTGAAGATCAGTCATTTAATACTCATAATACACAATGAAAGTGTGAAGCTTTCGTTTTACAAAATATGTTGGCAAAATGGCCTAGCTGTCTGTCTAAGTAAGGTATTTGAATGTAATATGACGCTGAAGATCAGGAATTCAAAACTCATAATACACAATGAAAGTGTGAAGCGGTTCGTTTTACAAAATATATTGGCAAAATGGCCTAGCTGTCTGTCCAAGTAAGGTTTTTGACTATAATATTACGCTGAAGATCAGTCATTTAATACTCATAATACACAATGAAAGTGTGAAGCTTTCGTTTTACAAAATATGTTGGCAAAATGGCCTAGCTGTCTGTCTAAGTAAGGTATTTGAATGTAATATGACGCTGAAGATCAGGAATTCAAAACTCATAATACACAATGAAAGTGTGAAGCGGTTCGTTTTACAAAATATATTGGCAAAATGGCCTAGCTGTCTGTCCAAGTAAGGTTTTTGACTATAATATTACGCTGAAGATCAGTCATTTAATACTCATAATACACAATGAAAGTGTGAAGCTTTCGTTTTACAAAATATGTTGGCAAAATGGCCTAGCTGTCTGTCTAAATAAGGTATTTGAATGTAATATGACGCTGAAGATCAGGAATTCAAAACTCATAATACACAATGAAAGTGTGAAGCGGTTCGTTTTACAAAATATATTGGCAAAATGGCCTAGCTGTCTGTCCAAGTAAGGTTTTTGACTATAATATTACGCTGAAGATCAGTCATTTAATACTCATAATACACAATGAAAGTGTGAAGCTTTCGTTTTACAAAATATGTTGGCAAAATGGCCTAGCTGTCTGTCTAAGTAAGGTATTTGAATGTAATATGACGCTGAAGATCAGGAATTCAAAACTCATAATACACAATGAAAGTGTGAAGCTTTCGTTTTACAAAATATGTTGGCAAAATGGCCTAGCTGTCTGTCTAAGTAAGGTATTTGAATGTAATATGACGCTGAAGATCAGGAATTCAAAACTCATAATACACAATGAAAGTGTGAAGCGGTTCGTTTTACAAAATATATTGGCAAAATGGCCTAGCTGTCTGTCCAAGTAAGGTTTCTGAATGTAATATTACGCTGAAGATCAGGCATTTAATACTCATAATACACAATGAAAGTGTGAAGCGGTTCGTTTTGCAAAATATGTTGGCAAAATGGCCTAGCTGTCTGTCCAAGTAAGGTTTTTGAATATAATATTACGATGAAGATCAGGCATTTAATACTCATAATACACAATGAAAGTGTAAAGCGGTTCGTTTTACAAAATATATTGGCAAAATGGCCTAGCTGTCTGTCCAAGTAAGGTTTTTGAATATAATATTACGCTGAAGATCAGGCATTTAATACTCATAATACACAATGAAAGTGTGAAGCTTTCGTTTTACAAAATATATTGGCAAAATGGCCTAGCTGTCTGTCCAAGTAAGGTTTCTGAATGTAATATTACGCTGAAGATCAGGCATTTAATACTCATAATACACAATGAAAGTGTGAAGCGGTTCGTTTTACAAAATATATTGGCAAAATGGCCTAGCTGTCTGTCCAAGTAAGGTTTCTGAATGTAATATTACGCTGAAGATCAGGCATTTAATACTCATAATACACAATGAAAGTGTGAAGCGGTTCGTTTTGCACAATATGTTGGCAAAATGGCCTAGCTGTCTGTCCAAGTAAGGTTTTTGGATGTAATATTACGCTGAAGATCAGGCATTTAATACTCATAGTACACAATGACAGTGTGAAGCTTTCGTTTTACATAATATGTTGGCAAAATGGCCTAGCTGTCTGTCTAAGTAAGGTATTTGAATGTAATATGACGCTGAAGATCAGGAATTCAAAACTCATAATACACAATGAAAGTGTGAAGCGGTTCGTTTTACAAAATATATTGGCAAAATGGCCTAGCTGTCTGTCCAAGTAAGGTTTCTGAATGTAATATTACGCTGAAGATCAGGCATTTAATACTCATAGTACACAATGACAGTGTGAAGCTTTCGTTTTACAAAATATGTTGGCAAAATGGCCTAGCTGTCTGTCTAAGTAAGGTATTTGAATGTAATATGACGCTGAAGATCAGGAATTCAAAACTCATAATACACAATGAAAGTGTGAAGCGGTTCGTTTTGCACAATATGTTGGCAAAATGGCCTAGCTGTCTGTCCAAGTAAGGTTTTTGGATGTAATATTACGCTGAAGATCAGGCATTTAATACTCATAGTACACAATGACAGTGTGAAGCTTTCGTTTTACAAAATATGTTGGAAAAATGGCCTAGCTGTCTGTCTAAGTAAGGTATTTGAATGTAATATGACGCTGAAGATCAGGAATTCAAAACTCATAATACACAATGAAAGTGTGAAGCGGTTCGTTTTACAAAATATATTGGCAAAATGGCCTAGCTGTCTGTCCAAGTAAGGTTTCTGAATGTAATATTACGCTGAAGATCAGGCATTTAATACTCATAATACACAATGAAAGTGTGAAGCGGTTCGTTTTGCAAAATATGTTGGCAAAATGGCCTAGCTGTCTGTCCAAATAAGGTTTTTGAATATAATATTACGCTGAAGATCAGGCATTTAATACTCATAGTACACAATGACAGTGTGAAGCTTTCGTTTTACAAAATATGTTGGCAAAATGGCCTAGCTGTCTGTCTAAGTAAGGTATTTGAATGTAATATGACGCTGAAGATCAGGAATTCAAAACTCATAATACACAATGAAAGTGTGAAGCGGTTCGTTTTGCACAATATGTTGGCAAAATGGCCTAGCTGTCTGTCCAAGTAAGGTTTTTGGATGTAATATTACGCTGAAGATCAGGCATTTAATACTCATAGTACACAATGACAGTGTGAAGCTTTCGTTTTACAAAATATGTTGGAAAAATGGCCTAGCTGCCTGTCTAAGTAAGGTATTTGAATGTAATATGACGCTGAAGATCAGGAATTCAAAACTCATAATACACAATGAAAGTGTGAAGCGGTTCGTTTTACAAAATATATTGGCAAAATGGCCTAGCTGTCTCTGCAATTAAGGTTTTTGAATGTAATATTACGCTGAAGATCAAGCATTCAAAACTGATAATACACAATGAGAGTGTGAAGGGGTTGGTTTTACAAAATATTAGGTTGCAGTATCCGGAACTCGATTATTATATTTGCCGGAAAATATAAGTTAGCCAATAAAATAAGGAAATACTTATTAACCTTTTGGTGCAGGATAACACCTAGTGAAGGGGTCTCCGGTGTTTCCTTCTATGCAGCTGCAAATGGGATTGTGATTGACGACCTGGCAATTCGCGCTAACGCCGCAAGTGCCCGGGCATGGATCGCTACATTTGTTATTGAGGCATGCCTGAGTTAGTTGACACTCGGCGCTGACGACACATTCGGGGCGACACTGAGGCGGACCTCCGATCATACCCTGCTGGCAAGAACAGACAGCGACGCCGTTGTTGATTTTGCATACGCTGTTCGGCCCGCAAGGTGACGGCTGGCATGGGTTTTGTTGTTCTGAGAAAAAAAAAGAACTATGATGGAATGAAGTTAAAATAGAAAGGCTGAAAAGGCTTACCAATTCTTTTGATGGGTCTACATTGCGTAAATGGATCGCCCTCGTAACCATTTAGGCAGCTGCAAGTTGGAATATGATTAACGACATCACATACGGCTTCCCGACCACATGTTCCCGGGCACGGATCTATACACCTCAAATTGCTACATGCCATTTTCGGGGAACAGTCGGTATTCATTGTACACTCCGGCTTACAACCTCTATAAGGATCACCCAAATAGAGAGATATGCAGGAGCATATTCCGTTATTACACTGGGCATTAGGTCCGCAAGGTGAAGGATTACATGGATCCTTTGGCCTTTCCACTAATTTTGGCTGCTCTTTGATACATTCCACAAATGTGTTGCCTTCATAACCAGGTAGACAACTGCAGATTGGTATATGGTTCTGTACTCTGCACTCAGTATTAAACCCACAGGAACCTTCACAAGGGTTTTTGCATTTTTCCGCTATACACGCCAAGTCTGACGGACAATCTGTATTAACCACACACTCAGGTCTGCAGTTCGGGGGCGTTCCGATATAATTTGATTTACAGCTGCAGGACGGCGATCCGTTTATTTCCCTACATTCGGAATTTGGCCCGCATGGGGATGGAATGCAGAGATTGGTTCGTTCGGGTGGCGTCGGCGGCCGACGTGGAATTTCGTAACATCTGGTGAACGGGTCGCCTGTTAAGCCTGGTGAACAACTGCAGATTGGATTGTGATTGATAACTTCACATTTCGCCCCGACGCCGCACGTTCCGACGCAGGGATTGGCACATTTGAATTTATGGCACGCTCGATTTTGAGGACACTCTGAACTGACGACACATTCCGGTTTGCAATTCGGAGGAGATCCGGTATACTCCGCAAGGCAGGAGCATACAGCTTGGCTGTTAATGTTGCGACACTGGCTATTAGGGCCGCATGGTGATGGATTGCATGGGTTTTCTAATACTGTTGGTTCTGTGGGAGCTATAAAAATTTCAACAACACATTTAGCGGATGTCAGTCGTATTCATAAGTATTTACACGATGTTTGAGCAATTTTTCTGGATTTCAGATACTAACTAGGCTCATCGAAATAAGTAGAAAACGATAAGATTGCTTAGTTTCTAATTTTTTAAAACTGATAATACTTAACTCTTGAGAATTTGGTTTACCACGTATAATTATTTATTATTCTCACTTCATTTACGGACATCTCGATGTCGGTAGCATTCAGTCAATTTCGAAAGTTTTGATTAGAGTATATATCATATGAAATTAACTCACCTATCGCAGGAGAACAATAGTGGAAAGCATCTCCTGTGAATCCGGACACACATGAACAGGTCGGTATGTGATTGATAACAGAACATTCGGCGTTCTGGCCACAAGTTCCCGGACAAGGATCGGCACATTTGTTTCGTATACAAGCCTTGTTCGTCGGACAGTCTGAGCTTAGCACGCATTCTGGTCGGCAGCCCTCGTATGGATTCCCTTGGTAATCTTCGATACAAACGCAAGAGCCTGCACCGTTTCTTTGCTTGCAGATCGCATTCGCTCCACACGGGGACGGTTCGCATGGATTAATCGGTTCCGCCGGTTGCAAGCTGCATTGTACGAATGGGTTTCCCGTAAAACCGGAAGAACAAGAACACGACACAGCGTGTGATATGACGTGACACTCGGCGTTCGCGCCGCAGCTGCCAGGACATGGATCTCGACACTTGTTATTGATGCATGCCTGAGTTGTGGGACAGTCGGGATTGATAACGCATTCAGGACGACAGTTCGGGGAATGACCGATATACCCTTCTAAGCAGGCGCACGAAGGGTTTTCTCCCACTACTTGGCAAATCGAATGAGGTCCGCAAGGTGAAGGTTCGCAAGGGTTGGTCGGTTGACGTTGTGGAGGTTCAAATGGAATATCATAACAATTTTGGAAGGGATCGCCTGTCTGCCGTTCAGCACAGCTACATATAGGACTATGGTTGCGTACTTCGCACCGAGCTCCGATTCCGCAAGAGCCCGGGCACGGATCTATGCATTTCTGATTAATGCAGGCTTTGTTTGGCTGGCATTCCATGCTGACAACACATTCTGGTCTACAGTTCGGAGGCGTACCTTGGAAATTTTGCAGGCAAGAGCAAACTGCTTGTTCGTTAACGTTCTTGCATTGACTATTTGGTCCGCACGGTGGCGGATAACAGGGGTCGAGTCTTTCCACAGCTTTGGGTTGGTCTTGGATCCGACATAGAGCGAACGGATCACCGGTATAACCATCCGAGCAGGAACAAGTTGGTATATGGTTGATAACATCGCATCTCGCATTCTGACCGCATGTTCCCGGGCACGGATCTACGCATTTATTTCTAATACAAGCTTTGTCTCGAGAACATTCATCGCTTAGGATACATTCAGGTCGACATGAGTCGTAAGGGTTCCCGAGATATTCTGGTAAACAGGTGCATATTCCATCATTGCACTGAGCATTGGCGCCGCAAGGCGAAGGATTGCATGGATCATGGACGGTGGGTGCGGTGGTCGCTGGTACAATAGAGCAGTAGGTGAAAGGATCTCCTGTGTATCCCTCCGCGCAAGAACAAATGGGAATGTGATTGATTACACTGCAAACTGCATCCGAACCACACGAACCGGCACATGGATCTTTGCATTTGAGATTGATACAAGCGAGGGAACTACCACATTCGGAGCTAAGTACGCATTCCGGCCGACAATTGGGTGGGGCTCCTATGTAATTCGGTAAACAGGAACATGTTGGCGAGCTTCCCATTATTTTGCATTGTGAATTGGGACCGCAAGGGGAAGGATAACAAGAGGGCCGCGGAGACTCGGTAGTCGGAGGTTCCAAGACTTCATGGGGGGTACATCTTGTAAATGGATCGCCTGTATGTCCTGGAGGACACGCGCATATAGGATTGTGGTTTTTGGTTGTACACTGTGCTCCTAAGCCGCAGGTGTTGGGGCATGGATCGTTACATTTTTGGTTAATGCACGCTCTGTCTAGAGAACACTCGGAGTTAACTACGCATTCCGGTCTACAACCTGGAGGAGATCCGACATAATCAGCCAAACACGAGCACACTGCTTGCTGATTGACGTTTCTACATTGACTATTTGGTCCGCATGGCGATGGCTGACACGGGTTGACCACTTTCGGCGGAGCTACTATTTCTTTACATAGTAAGAATGGGTCGCCGGTAAAACCAGAAGGACAAGTGCAGGTTGGCACGTGATTATGTACGGTACATTCGGCTAATACCCCGCAAGTACCGGGACAAGGATCTTTACATCTGAAAGTGACGCAAGCTAAATTAGGTTTGCAATCCGAATTCGCTTCGCATTCTCTGTGACATCCGCGTTCGCTGTCGTATGGATTGCCCTGATAATCCGGAGGACAGAAGCAAGCACCTGCTCCATTCTTTTCGCGACACTCAGCGTTCGGTCCACATGGCGACGGGAAGCAAGGAGACGATGGGGTTTTTTCAGTAGCTGTGAACAAAATTAAAGCGTTAGCGTTGTCACTATTAACGTGACCAGCAAAGCGCTTACAGATTATAGGCAAAGAACATGATTGAGTAGGTTCTCCGACATAGCCCGGAAAACAAGAACACATCGCTTTATGATTTACTACGGTACATTGAGCATTTAGTCCGCAAACGTTGGAACAAGGATCTCTACATTTTTCACTTTTGCAAGCCAGATGATTGGGGCATTCAGAGTCGTTTAAACATTCTGGTCGGCAATTTGGAGGGCGACCAATAAAGTTTTGTAGACAAGAGCATGCAGGTTGCGAACCAATCACTCTACATTGTGAATTTGGTCCACAAGGTGAAGGTATACAAGGATTACTAGATTCTGTAGTAGTGGGTACTAAAATACAAAGTTCAGTTAAGATCAGATAAAGTTCAGAATAGGAGAAAGAACATACATTCAGCTTTAGAACAACGCGAAAACGGTTCTCCCGTATACCCCGGCAAACAGCTACATATGGGATTGTGATTGACAACTCTACATTCGGCATTGATGCCGCACGTTCCTGGACAAGGGTCCACACATTTTTGTGATTTACATGCTTTATCTTGTACACAATCGGAACTAACTACGCATTCCGGTCTACATGTGGGAGGTGATCCTATATATCCAACGCTACAGGAGCATACCGCGTGGCCGTTAACTTCTCGACATTCACTATAGGGCCCACAAGGCGAAGGCTGGCAAGGATTTTGAGGTTCTTCTACAACTTTTTTTCGGAAACAATAATTAAACAAATGAACAGTTTTTCGGAATTAGTATTACTATAAAGCCTTCTCTACTATTTTTAGGAGTCTACTTTCATCTACGGTTAACTACAATTAGTGCTACAACTCTTTTCTCAAAGGGTGTTAGAGGGTTAATCATATACGTGTATGTTCTTACTGGCTTGTATAAGGTTGCACAGTCTAGTTGGTTCCCCAGTATAACCTGGTATGCACATACAAGAAGGTGCGTGGTTTACTACTGTACATTCGGAATTTAGTCCACAAGAGCCGGGACAAGGATCGATACATTTATTATTTACACATGCTCTACTTCTGTCACAATCCGAGTTCGTGACACACTCGGGTCTGCATCCTGCGTAAGGATCTCCCAAGTATTCCGGCAGGCATGCGCAAGATCCTGCCCCGTTTCTTTCTTTGCATACCGCATTAGCGCCACATGGCGAAGGATTACAAGGAGTTGGAGGTTCCTCAGTAACAGGAGCTGAAATTGAAAGTATAGACAGAGAGTAGGTAGAAGGTAGAGACTAGAAAAGCGCATATATAGGAAGCATAGTCCTTACAGAGCGGTATCGCGATGCACCCATTGAACGGATCTCCGGTATAACCCTCGTAGCATTGACAAACGGGCCTGTGTTTGATTACTACGCATTCGGTGAAAGAGCCACAGGACCCCGGACAAGGATCTTTACATTTTTCATTTTGACATGCTAGATTTCCAGGACATTCTGCGTTAATTGTACATTCCGGTCTACAGTTTGGAGATCGTCCTATAAAGTTAGGCAAACAAGAGCACGCCGCTTGCGCATTGATAACTTTACACTGCGAGTTTGGTCCGCAGGGTGATGGAGAGCAAGGGTTTCCGCTTGGCTCTTCAACCGGTTCTACAAGTAGGAAAAACAGTCAAGGGTAAGCGAGAAAGAGCGAAATAAGGGATCGAGAAGTTCTTACTTGGTCGTTCAACGCATCTTACAAAAGGATCCCCCACATAGTTTTCTATGCAGCTACATATAGGATTGTGATTTACTACTTGACATTTGCTTTTAATTCCGCAAGTTCCCGGACACGGATCGACGCATTTCGAGTTTATACATGCTTTGTTTTGCGTGCACTCTGAGCTAACCACGCATTCGGGTCTGCACGCAGGTGGAACACCTATGTAAGTCGGTAGACAAGAACATACTGCGCGATCGTTTATGTTTTTACATGCGCTATAAGGTCCACATGGCGAAGGCATGCAAGGATCAGTTTTAGGTTCTTCCACAACTAAGAATAGAAGGTATAGATATAGGGCACACATAAATATTGGTACATCTTACTACGACTCGGGCGGCAAGATGTAAATGGATTGCCACTGTATCCCGATAAGCACGTGCAGGACGGCGCGTGGTTGGTAACTACGCATTCCGCGTTTATGCCGCATGTTCCCGGACATGGATCGGCACATTTGTTATTAATGCATGATCGGTCTTTGGCACAGTCGGAGTTTGTTACACATTCGGGTCTACAGCCGGTGTATGGATCACCGAAATATTCGGGAAGGCACGCGCAAGATCCTGCGCCATTTCTTTCTTTACATTCAGCGTTAGCACCGCATGGCGATGGCTTGCAGGGCGTTCGTTTTTCTTCCGGTGGTGGCGCAACTAAAATTAAGTGGGAACGCTCTTGAAACGCTTCAGTAATTTGACGGTAATAATCCTCACTTGGAATAATAATACAGCCAGAAAACGGATCTCCGGTATAGCCATTATAACAAGAACAAGCGGGTCGATGACTGATAACTGTGCATTCCGCGTTGATTCCACACGATCCCGGACAGGGATCTACGCATCTCTCTCTTTGGCAGGCCAAATTGCCTGAGCATTCTTCGTTAATTTTACATTCGGGTCTACAATTTGGTGGTCGACCGATATAATTCTGCACGCAGGAACACGCCGGAGTGGAACCGACCACCCTACACTCGGAATTGGGACCGCATGGAGATGGTATACATGGATCGGTCGGCGGGAGTATTTCCTCTAACGAAATTAGCGATTTATTAAAAAATGAATTCTTGTGAGAGGAAGACTTACTCTCCTCAGGTAGACATCTTGTAAAGGGCTCCCCGGTATAACCGGGCGTGCAACTACATATCGGGTTGTGATTTACAACGTTGCACCGAGCATTGATACCGCAGGTCCCTGGGCAAGGGTCTTGACATCGATTATTAATACAGGCCCGATTTAATGGACATTCGGCACTTATCATACACTCAGGTCTACAAGTGGGTGGCGAACCAATATAATTGGATTGACAAGAGCACACGGCGTGGCCGTTTACATCTCGACACTGACTGTACGGTCCGCAAGGTGAAGGTTGGCATGGATCCACGTTTTCTTCCTCAATTACTACAAGACTCCTTCGTTTAACCAGAAAAAATACTCTTTCACTCTCAGAACCTACCTTGAACCAGCAAATGACAGGAACTCTGCGGGTTTCCCGTGTAACCATCAAAACAGAAACACATCGGTATATGGTTTGATATCTGACATTCGGCATTTACGCCGCAAGTTCCAGGGCAAGGGTCTCGACAGTTGTTATTTACGCAGGCTTTGTTTCTCGGGCAATCAGAATTTGTTATGCATTCAGGTCGACAACCTGTATACGGGTCGCCAAAATATTCCGCTACACATGTACAAGAACCGGCACCGTTTCGTTCTTTGCAAATTGCGTTAGCACCACAGGGGGAAGGATTGCAAGGTTGCGGTTCCTCTTCCACGGGTTGTCTGATAGCGATAATCGTGCATCCGTTGAAAGGATCACCGGTATAACCTTCATCGCAATGGCAATTTGGGGAATGATTTCTCACGACGCAACCTGCGTTAGTTCCACACGAGCCCGGACAGGGATCTTTGCATTTCTCATTAATACAAGCCAGATGACCGGGACATTCCTGATTGAGTTTACATTCTGGTCTACAATTAGGAGCACGGCCAATATAATTCGGTAGACACGAACAAGCAACTTGGTCTCCGATTAATCGACATTCGGAATTGGGACCGCACGGAGACGGAACGCAAGAGTTGCGAGTGGGTTCAGGTCGTTCTAAAATGACGGAATTCGTTATTTCATCTTTAGAAGATGTTTTAGTAGTCTTACTCTCTTCTTCGGTGCAGCGAATGAAAGGATCTCCCGTAAGTCCTGGTGGACAACTGCATATAGGGTTGTGATTTAGGGTATTGCAGCGCGCGTTGATCCCGCACGTGCCTGGACAAGGATCTCTACATTTTTGGTTAATGCAAGACTTATCGTGTTCGCACTCAGAACTAACAACGCATTCGGGTCTGCAGTTTGGTGGAGTGCCAACATAATTTACTTGGCAAGAGCATACCGCGTGACCATTTATTTCTCTGCACTGTGCGTATAAACCACACGGAGATGGCATGCAAGGATCATAGGACTCTATTACAGCTATAAGAAACATGTGATGACGTTGTGTCTACTAAAGTGTTTTGGTTTATCTTACTTGGCACAATTGGTTTTATATGACACGACTTGAGCGGATCCCCGATATATCCAGGGAGACATTCGCAGGTGGGTACGTGGTTGTAGACTTGACATTCGGCGTTTATGCCGCAAGTGCCCAAACAAGGATTTTGACATTTACTGTTAATGCAAGACCTATCTCTAGGGCAATCTGAATTCATCACGCATTCAGGGCGGCATCCCGTGTATGGATCCCCGACGTGATCTAAAATACACTTACACGACCCTGCCCCGTTAAGTTCCCTACATTCGGCATTGGCTCCGCAAGGGGATGGATTGCATGGGTGAGGCGGTTCTTCGATCGGAACAACTAAAATTCGAAACCGAATTCGAGGCAAAGTATTGGGACTTGGTGACAGTCTTACATTCTTGGCATCCAAGAAAGGGGTCACCCGTGTATCCTTCGAAACAATAACAAATGGGAACGTGATTCACTGTTTTGCATTCGGTATTCAAACCGCATGATCCCTTGCAAGGATCTTTGCAACGTTGGTTGACGCAAGCCAAATTCGACGGGCATTCTGAATTTACAATACATTCCGGTTTACAATTCGGCGGACTACCGAAATAATCTTTGAGGCAAGAGCAAACCGCTCGGTCATTTTGTATAGTGCATTCACCAAATACGCCGCAAGGGCTGGGTATGCAAGGGTTTTGCTTTTCGACTACCACAATTTGTTCTGAAATGAAGCCAGTATTTGGTATTGGATGTGATATGAACGGAAACTGTCATGAAGCGGACAGGATCTTCAAGTTTCCGATTTCAATTATACAATGCAAGCCTCTACCTGGGAATAAATTAACTTTCGCATACAAATTTGAGATATGATCTTATCGGTTTTTTTTTCAATAAAAAAACAAATTTTCAAAGGTAAATCAAGTTCCAAATTTCACATTTTTATTGATTGTCAATTAAAATGAAAAAAAACTTAGGAGTGATGATGGTCAATTGAGATACATTTCTAATTTATGTAAAAAGATTTATATAACCCTCAAAATGCTATATGCAAATTAAAATATATTGAATTTTTAAGTAGAAAAAAAAACTCTCTGAGGCATGCATCCTTTCTAAAGTTATATAGTGTCTTCCATTGTATTATCCATTCTTAACCGTTGCTGATAAATCCACGATTATAAAAAATCCAGAATAGCTGTGCCCGATTCGTTTATGGTTTGAGAAAGTTTGATCGTATATCAGAAAAAATATTTCCGTTGAAAAGGCTCAAAACTAAATACCTGGTTCAATGTATACTCGCAATTTTTGTATTTAAGTTTATGAAATATTCTTTACCAACGTACCTGACAGATTGCTTAGTGTTTCTGTATGAAATTCACAATTCTTCTCTAATGATAATAATAATAAATATTTTGCATCCAGTTCAGCATTTAGGAAAAAGTTTAAGATCCATTTATTGAAATTACAATGGTCTCTGTCATAAATAAATTAATATTTTACCAATAATGAATGTTTAGACTCTTATTATTATTATAGCTTTTTGTTTCATTATTATTGTAATATTATGTTGATGTTGAGTAGCTAAAATCAAGATGCTAAGCTAGACTTCGCCGTTTGAGATGTTTACTTATAGTAGTTTGTATTGCTATTAAGTGATTCTGTCTAAATCTTGTGCAATAATTTAAAATATCTCAATAAAGACTGTTATTATTATTATTATAATTATTATTATTATTTAAGCAAAATTCAAATCCAATTCTCTTCAATTTGTATGCAGTTTAAGTGTGAAATGAAAAATAATGTAATAGCTTATTAGTTTTATAAAAATATTAAGTATTTTTTAAAATGACGAGGAATAAAAATTTAAAATTTGGCAGTCCTGTGTAATTTGATTTAGTCTTTTAACAATAACAATAACAAATTTGGAACACGCAATATAAAATTTCCTCACAACAAAAAAGGGCAATTTAAAATAATCGAAGCACACTTGGAAAAAAAAACAGTGGTATTAATTGGCATTTACAAACAAAATAAGGAAAACATCATAAAAAAGGAGTTACTGGCACTCAGATATACATAATAATGGAAATGTTTGTAGCAAAATTGTTAAATTATTGCAATTCGGAGTACTGATTCCCAGACCGAGATGTTTAAAAAAATGTGAAAATTATTCTTGTCTTGTTAGTAAATAATGTCGTATCGGCCTTTTTGTTTTACAGAAGACTTTAGTCAAGAAAAATTGGTTGAATATCAAGCAATATATCAAATGCAGTTAAGAGAAAAAAATCTATAGGGAACTGGGGATGGTTAGCCAAACAGTTCGGAATATTCTAAACTAACCAAGCGAAACAATACTTTTAAAATGGAATTTATTTCCTTTCTATTATACGTATCAGTCAATTTCCAAATTACATCTCGCAGAAAAGGGTCATACAAAGATCTTGGTGGAAGTACAAGAAATTATTACTATAAAAAGATTCTGTATCTCTGATATATGTGGAGATAGCATTGAAATCGGAAACTGAACCTTTGCTTCGACATTACGTTGATTAATAGGCTTACTTTCTTCAGGTATACATCTAGTGAATGGATCGCCCACATAGTTCGGAGGACAACTGCAAATTGGGCTATGAACAACCGTTTTACACAACGCGTTTAAGCCGCAAGTTCCTGGACAGGGATCTGTACATTTCTGATTTACACAAGATTTATCTAAACTGCATTCCGAATTCACGACACATTCTGGTTTGCAAGTGGGCGGTGCGCCGTAATATCCTTGGGCGCAAGAACAAACAGGTCTGTTATTAGTAACTCGGCACGTGCTATAAGGCCCACATGGGGACGGTACACAAGGATTTCTCTTAGGTTCTTCAATAATGACTGCAAATTTTGTTTAAGTAGGCTACGCGAGATTATTGGTAAAAAAATGGTCTTACTAGGTTCTAGTTTCCGACAAAATCGGAACGGGTCTCCGGAATAACCGTCTACACAATAACATTGAGGTATATGATTAATAACGGAACATTCGGCGTTAACTCCGCAAGTGCCAGGACAAGGGTCTTTACATTTCATATTTAAACAAGCCATATTGTGCGGGCATTCGTTACTAGTCAAACATTCGGGTCTGCAACTCGTATAGGGGTCACCGTGGTATTCATCTCGACATGTACAAGACGCGGCTCCATTTCTCTCTTTACACACCGCGTTTGAACCGCACGGACTTGGACTACAAGGATTGCGAGGAATTTCTACGACTACAAAGAACAGAAACGGAACATGCAAGAAAATGAAACGGAAATAAGAAAACAAAGACGAAAGTGAAAATGGTGTAACGGTAAACTTACCTGGCAAGGGGTTGCAGCCGGTAAACGGATCGCCCTCGAAACCAGCAAGGCAACTGCAGATCGGACGATGACTGACAACCTTACATTCGGCGTTGAAGCTACACGATCCCGCGCAGGGGTCCTTGCATTTGTTGTTGGTGCAGGCGAGATGAAGTGGACAGTCTTGGTCGATAACGCATTCTGGTCTACAGTTGGGCGGAGCTCCTAGCATTCCGGGCAAACATGAACATACTGCCCTGTTGCCGACAGCTTGGCAATCCGCGTTCGCGCCACAAGGTGATGGTATGCAAGGTGTTAACGGAGTCTTCTCCTCAGGGTGTTCTAAACAAAAATGAATTTATTCACCAAGTTCGCATTTTAGAGAAAATAGGGGAATAACAGCTTTTACATTGAAACCTAAATATTTTAAATAGAGTATTTCTGTGTTCTTTAAAGCGATTAGTTTTAATTTTTTATTTTGGTTTTGTATTTCACAATGATTACTTTCCCTACCTATTTTTGTAATTTAGTACTATATAATATGGATAGAAATATGGAAACTGATAAGTGTGTTTCAGTTTAGTTTTTGAGATTGTTATTTCTTTATGGCTCAAGCTTAAGCAGTTTTTAAAATATCGACATGAAAGCTTGGATTCGGGGATTTTTAGAGGTTACATTCTATTTTTCACATAATATGTATAGTCGCACCTTGCTATTCAAGCTATAACTTTTTGTTAGTACTGTTTCGTTACTGTTTTTTGAAGATTGCGAGGTTGGATAAGATAAAATGCACTGTGTTTTTAAATAGTCATATATTACTACACTGACCTCAAAAAATAAAATTGGTTTACTAACGCATATTTTCATTATTTGAATTATTATGGTGCATAGGCATATGAAGTTATTTTTTATTCCGTTTAAAAAAAAAGATAAAAGTTATTTTATTCTTCTTTTATTTAGATTTTATTATATCCCTGGAGGTGTAAGGGGTGATGATAAGAATGGTGATAATATTAGCCTAAATGTCGAACTCAACTGCTCGAGTGGTAATTCAATTACCCGGTACACCCTGCTAGATAACTAACGAGGCTCAGCGACCAAGTCACAGCGGTATAAACTGTTTTAATAGGAATTAAGGAAATAGTGTTGAAGGTAATGGGATACTACAACACTTCACCGGAATAGACAAATGGCCCTCAGTCCCTGCCAGACCTTAGATGGACAGAGGGTGCGAAGAATCCCCCGGTGCCAATTGAATGTTATCCGAAGATGTCCAACATGGAACGTAAACAGTTTATACGAACCAGGGAAAATACACCACCACTGACGTTTAAAACTGAATGTGATGGGCGAGAGTATAGTCTAATGGACTGGCTCGAGTCATATTACAAAAAGGACAATATTCTGCAGTGATCAGTCGGATAAACACCATAGACGTGGACTTGCCATTGCAGTTGCTAGTAGCTTTGCTGTAATTTCGGAAAGACTAATGATCATCAAACTGGTCGGAAAACCACTGAACCTGAATTTTATGCATCAGATAAATCTGACGAAGAGAGAGTTTTATAAAGATGTATAAGTGACGTTAAAAATAACTAGAAAGGAGAATGTAACCCTGATTATGGGTCACTTCAATGCTAAGGACTTCGGTCTGGGATGTAGGAATGACAGAGGCGAAGTTTTAATCGAGTTTTATCGGGAAAGAGAACTTGTTGTATTTAACATATGGTTCCAGCTACCTCCTCGACGCTTATGCACTTGGAGAGCACCTGAATCAGATTGACTTTTTTCTCATAAACAGACGATTTCGCAACTATATAAAAAAGATCGCTGCTTATCACCATACACGTAAAACGTAACGTAAAACTTAAATTAGCGAAAATTCAGCATAAGTCTAGTAAAATGTCGTTAGATACAAGAGAGCTAATGAGTATCATGTACGCTAAGATTATAAATGATAGATTGAGAAACCTTTGCCACTGTCCAAAACGATGAGGTAAGTGAGAATGCAAATATTGTTGAATACGTTATGCATGGTATTAAATCAACAGTTGCAGACGTAAACAGAGATATTGCACCAAAGGTCAGAAGCATAAAAAGCAGGAGTGGATGACGAGCGAGATTTTGGATTTGATGGAAGTCCGGACGCAATAAAAGATCCGATGAGATCAACCTATGTATAGCGAAATTCAACGAGAGATCTGTGTTAAGATTAGAAGAGCAAAAGACAGTGGATGGAAGAACGCTGCTATGAAGTTGAAACTTTACAGAAAAAAGGGGACTGGTTCGGCTTGCATAAGAAAGTCAAAGAAATATCACGCTTTTATCGGAAACAGCATAAATCTAGAATACGAAGTGAGCCAAAGAAGAACTGTGGAAAATATGGAACAATTACGCCTTCTATCTTTTCAATGAAGATAGACCACCCCAACCAATAAGTTGGGAAGGCCAAGTTAAGCTCCCAACCGAGGGCCTATCTGGCCCACCTATATTAAAAGATGAGGTCATCCATGCACTTAAAACTGCAAAAATGCATAAAGCGCCGGGTCCAGATAACATTAACATCTAGGCCTTAAAGTTGTTAGATTATAAAAATTTATATGTATTTATAACACAGGCCATATCTCTTCAGAATGACTACAGTCAACTTTTATAATGATCACGAAAACTTCCAACGCCGTAAAATGTCAAGACCATCGCATAATTAGTTTAATGAGTCATCTCCTGAAACCGCTACTTCGAGTCCTCCACACCAGAATAACAAAAAGATGGAGTATTGGGTGGTGAAACTCAGTTCGGGTTTAAAAGTGGCCTTGGTACAAGAAAGGCAGTACAAAAACACTTAGTACAGAATTTCCTGGATCAAGTAAGGATGTGCACCTACTATTTGTCGATTATGAAAAGGCATTCGACAATGTCAGACATGATGTACTTCAGAAATTGCTCTGTAATTGTAATTGATGATAAAGATATTCGGGTAATCTAAAATCTGTTGGAATGAAACAGTTCGATTGAGACTGTTACATAGGAGTTTGAAATACTCAAGGGCGTCGTGCCAAGGATGCATCCTGTCACCCATATCATTTAACTTGTATGTGGAAAGCATATTCAAAGATGCTTTGGATGAAATTGAAGGTAAAATTATTAATAATTAATAAAATTTATAACCTCCGCTATGCCGACGACGCTGTCATAATTGCTGATAACAACGAAGATCTATAAATGATGATGAATAAAATAGACAGTGTTGCAAAAGTAGAGGCTTGAATAAAAACAAAAATAGACAGCCAGCAAAGATTTTAACTATATATATTAATAATGAATCCATAGAGCAGGTTAAATCATTTAAATATCTTGAAATTGTCATAAACGATGCATAAGATCCACAACAAGAAATAAAATGCCGAATCCAACAGGCAAGACAAGCATTTATTAAGTTCAAACTCTTCTTCTGTAATCAGTTTCTTTCGTTTAAGATCCATTGTAGGATGGTGCAGTGTTATGTGTGGTCGATGTTACTTTATGGCATGGAAACCTGGACCCTAAAAACATTCGAAATGTGGAAATAAGGATAATGCTCCGAATTTTATGGACGGATCGTGTTTGCAATAAGGAGATTCTCAGAAAAGCTAGCGTAGAAAGAGAGTTTTTTTGAAATAATTAAAAAACGTTAGCTACCTCTACCAGTTACTCAAAGGGGCGAATTACAAAATCCCGCAGTTAATCTTACAAGGAAAGATCGAGGGCAGGAGAGGTGTCGGTTGTAAGCAGATTTCCTGGTTGCGTAATATAAAACAGGTATAAATAACACTGGTGAGCTTTGTCTGCTATCCGCTTTAAGATAGTCACCAACGCATTACACGTAGGGCATGTTAAGAAGAAGAAGAAGATCTTTTTGAGGCGAGGACTTGACGAATAAAATTTTACAATGCAAATATCTTAAAAACGGTATGTTTAATTAATGTTTAATAATTTGCAAATGTAGTATAATCTTCCAAAAAAAAAAAAAAAAAAAACGGAACCGTATTAACAAGAAAGTTGAGTCAAATGCATGAAATACCGAGATCACAGAGTGTAACCAGTGCCCTATACATATTATCTGAAAAAATAGAGTGTAAGCGTATTCGCCATCTCGAAAAACGAATCCAAATTTTCATGGCAATATTTGAAAGCCACAGAGAAGTAAACTTGAAGCACCCTGTATCATTGCTTTTAAATTTGTTATTTATGAAAAGTTAAAATAAAAGAATAATCGTATATCAAGATAGTTTCGTCAAACAAAAGAAAGTAAATAAAATTAAATTGTACTTTATAAACTGGGAATATAAAAAAAAACATATTGGCGATTATGATTAGCTTCGTCTTACCCTCTTTAATACATTGGACGAAAGGATCTCCGATTAATTTAGGTGGGCAGCTGCATATTGGATTGTGATTGTTTACGTGACACCTCGCGTTAATCCCACAAGTTCCTGGACAAGGGTCTTGACACCTTTGCTGGATGCAGGCTCTGTCTAAACTGCACTCAGAGCTAACCAGACATTCAGGTCTACAAGCTGGAGGAGCGCCAAAGTACCCTGTTTGGCAAGTGCAAATCGCTTGATCGTTTCGTAATTGACACACACTGTTCGGTCCACACGGCGAAGGTTCGCATGGATTGGCAGGAGCTATAGAAAAAAAAATTGTTTAGATTTATATAATGCCTTGTTTTAATGGATAGCGTCCAGGGTCAGTGTACAATCTGAATAAAATGCCATTTAACAAAAAGAAAAAAATGAGTTTTAATAATGAATTTGAGCAATGCTCATATTAGGTAGAATTCATCGAAAATCTTATATAATATAAAAATATTATTTTAAATTCTAGCGGGCAGCTAAGAATGACGAACGTACATAATATGCACATATACTCACGCTCTTGAGGACGTTCACGGCAAGAAGTGAAGGGATCCCCGATTAATCCTCTCGCACAAGCACATACTGGCACGTGGTTGACGACACTACACTCTGCATTGATTCCACAAAGACCCTGGCAAGGGTCTCTACAGTGAAGAGACAAACAAGCCAAGTGACTCGGGCATTCTGAGTTCATAGTGCATTCAGGTCTACATCCTCCGGAATAGGGATTACCGATGTAAGGAGGAATGCAGGAGCATTTAGCCGCTCCCCCGCTTACAGTACACTGAGCATTTCTTCCACAGGGAGACGGATTGCACGGATCTTTTGGTCTTTCGATGACTACTACTTTAGTGCAACCGATGAACGCGTCTCCTTCAAATCCAGGTAAACAGGTGCAAAAAGGCGTGTGATTTACGACGTTGCATTTTGCTTTAGGTCCACATGCTCCCCTACAAGGGTTGATACACTTTTCTTTAACGCAAGCCCTATCTTGCGGACATTCTTGGTTGATGACACATTCGGGTCTACAATACGGCGGGCTGCCAATGTAGTTTTCCACGCAAGAGCAAACGGGACGACCTTCTTTGACTTGACAAATAGAGTTCGGACCACAGGGTGAGGGACTGCATGGGTTCGTGGGAGTTTTGGGTTCCTCAATGACCGGAGAATAACAACTAACAAACGGATCTCCATCTTGACCAGGTGGACAAGTGCATATGGGATTATGATTGATGACAGTGCAGAGCGCATTTACTCCACAAGTGCCTGGACAGGGATCGACGCAATTTTGATTGATACAAGATTTAGTTTGAGGACATTCAGAAGTAACTATACATTCGGGTTTGCAAGCCGGAGGAGCACCGCGGTAGTTAGGCAGACATGAACAAGTAGCATAGCCTTGATGGGACACTAAGCATCTACTGAAGGGTCCGCATGGTGACGGATCACAAGGATTTTGATTCGGAATAGTTTGAGGGATTATGGGGATTTTAGTCTCGTAACAAGAAACGAACGGATCGCCCGTATGATGTTGAAGGCAAGAACACACTGGCACGTGGTTGACAACGTTGCATTGGGCGCCAACACCGCAAACGCCAGCACATGGGTTCTCGCATTTGGCGTTAATGCATGCTTTATCTAACGAACAGTCGGGATTGATAACACACTCAGGCCGGCAAGCTAGCCAAGGGTCCCCGTAGTATCCAGGTTTGCACACGCAGGCTAGTCCATTTCGTTGCCTGATACAATCTGCGTTAACTCCGCACTGGACATAATCGCAGGTTACTGGAGTTTCCGGTACTGAAAAATAAATTTTTATATTCCGCCCTGCTGACTATTTGTATTGTGTTGTACTTTAGTTTTAAAAAATGTATGTTCGAATAAAAGTACTTTTCTCTTTTATCATTTCCGTATTATATTAGAGGTAGAGATAGAGATAGTATATTATGTGTAGTTTTAGATTTCAATATATCAGTATAAGTTTCAATTTACAAATAGTATTTTTAATTTTAGTATTTTAAATTTAAATAAAATAAAAATAATTGGTACGGGAAAATTGTTTAACAATGGTTTGGTTAAATAATAGTAATTAAATGCTACTCTGGGAGATAATATCTATTACAAACAGCAGAAAATAAATATAAATAACAAATTTTAATTTTAATCAAACAAAATTCGGATTTGATTTAATAAATATTTTTTGCATATTAAAAAAATAATATAATGTTAAGAAAATATTTAATGTTAAATTAATAACATATTAAAAATATTTGTACAATATATATTATTAAATAATAAATCTTTCGAATTTGGTATTCAGTCCACATATACCTACAATGTGCCACAAATTTGTTCTACTGGTACTGGTAACTTAATGGGCATATTTTGAAATAATTACGCTAATTATTCGCAATTTTAAATTTTAGCAAAATCTGTACAAACTTTAAAGCAAAGTTTTACGCATGCATGATGCATGATTTCCTCTTGTCTTTCTTGTCTTCTAAGAGTGCATACATGGCATTTTACAAAACTTCTGGATTCCTCCTGCGTCGTCTTTTTGCTGAGTTGAACTCGGTGACGTTTCGCCAATCATGCCAAAAATTCGAGAGTGTATAGCAATCTATAAACAACCTAACAATCTTAACTGCGACTCAGGTCTTTATCTGCCACCAATATGGGAATCCGCCCTCCTCAAACAATATATAAGCAGGTACAGAGTAAAATGCGAGCCCAGTTTCAGTTACGCTCGTCAGCAAGTTCGATTCAACAACAACCGATACAGGAGGAATCCAGAAGTTTTGTAAAAAGAATACTTGGCAATTGAAAACAGTTGTACAACTAAGGTAGGGCTAATTGGGCTAATAATTAAATAAAATGAATACTACGGTGTTATAAACTAAAACGGAAGGAAAATCTAGCTAAATTTTTAATTCTAAAGATCCCAATACGCGAACTTTAAATTTACTTTACTTTTAATGAGTCATTGTAACTATATCAAATTAAAGGAATCGTTTTTATATCATAAAGAAACGCCACACGGTAAAAGGTAAAAATAAAATTATTTGAACTGCCACGAAAAATTAAAATTATATTATTAATTTCCCTACTTTTATTGGTGTCATTACAATATAGGAGAATATTTAAAAGAATAACCTAATTTTGTAAATTCTAATTACCTGTAGATAAGACTTTTATATGTGTAGATTTTAAGAGTGTCACAAAATTCGCACTTGCACTTACTTTGAGCAACGGCGCAGTGTTGGAAAGGATCTCCCGCCAGACCTACCGGGCAGCTACAGATGGGCGCGTGTTGAACCACAGAGCACAATGCGTTTACTCCGCAAGAACCCGGACACGGATCGAAACAATTAAACTGTAGACAAGCCTTATCGAAAGGACAGTCTGCATTGGTAATACATTCCGGTCGGCATTGAGGATTATATGCAGCTTCAGGCCCTAGACAGGGATCGCATATAGCCACTTGTGGTCCGTAGATACTGCATTCCATATTCCCACAGGGCGAAGGCGTGCAAGGCTGTGTCGTGATGTTGGGATAGGTTGGAATTGTCACTACCGGAACTGGAATACATTGCAAGAATGGGTCGCCCATGTAATTATTGAAACATGTGCAGGTTGCTGTATGGTCTCGCACTTGGCAGACGGCATTAATGCCACACAAGTTCTTCTGTGCGCACGGATCTCTACAACGTTGGTCCAAGCATGCTTTATTTAACGGACAATCAGAATTCAGAATACATTCTGGTCGGCAACCGAATTGAGGGTCGCCTTGAAAGTCGGGAAGACACGAACATACAGCACGATTGGCAGAGATCTGACAGAAGGTATTTAGTCCGCAAGGGTTTGGCATACAAGGATCTTCTTTCGGCATTGGTTTTGGTATGGAATAACATATTGAAACTGGATTTCCTGTCAATCCGGCCGGGCAACTACATACTGGGTGATGTTTTTCCACTTTGCACTCAGAATTTATGCCGCAACAACCCAAACAAGGATCTCTGCATCTGTAGGAAATGCAAGCTTGATGGTCACCGCAGTTATCATCGACCACACATTCGTAGCCGTAACAACCTAGAGCGCCAGTTGGATCACCTCCCATTCCATCTGGACATCGACAAAGTGAATTTCCATCTTCGGTAACAATACACTGAGCTCCCGGGCCACATGGATTTGGCACGCACGGACTTGCCGGTTCAATTAGGCAACCCGTGTATGGATTTCCCTTGAATCCTGACCGGCAATAACATTGTTCTTGATTGTTCGCTACATAACAGTCAGCGTTGGGTCCGCAGGGTCCTGGACTACACAAAGTCGTTACTTGAGGTTCAACGCAGCTTCGGAAGGGATTTCCGTTTGTTCCGAATGGGCAGCTACATATAGGTTCTCTCGTTGGATCGCATATGGCACCGTGACCGCATGGATTCGGTTCGCATGGGTTTTTAGGTTCGACACAACCTCTAATGGTATTTGGACTTTCGAGGAAACCAGGTAGGCACGTGCATTTAGCAAATCCATTTTCCAAGATTGTACATTGAGTGTTAGGTCCGCACGGCGAAGGATCGCACGGATTTAACGGTAGACTACACGGAATATGTGGCGGCGTTCCTTCATATTCCGGTAAACAGAAGCAGACGGCATTGCCCCCCACAACTCGGCATCCGGAATTGGGACCGCACGGATTTGGCGAGCATTCATCCCCTTCTGGAACTGTAAATTATTCGGTAGAGTTTCAATCCAAGGAGCAGGTTTATTTAAATACTTACTGCAATTTTTGAATGGATTTCCGGTCAAACCCTTCGGACAGAAGCATATCGGATTTCCGTTGTCTAGTTCGCACAGGGCGTTCGTGCCACAGGGGTTAGGGTCGCAAGGATCAGAGGGCGGGTGACAGGACACTGCTGCGTTGCCTTCGTATCCAGGTGGACACTTGCAAATTGCCTGGTGATCGTGGACATCGCAAATGGAGTTAATACCGCAATTGCAGGGCGATGTGCAATATGCATTAATGCAGGCTTCATTCGCGGGACAATCGCTGTTTGATTTGCAGCCGTAAACCTGAGTACATTCGACGTAAGCATTTCCTTCAAAACCCGGTAGACATTGGCAGTCGACGCCGTGATTCTTAGGTACACATTCGGCGTTGTCTCCGCAGGAATCCTCGAAGCAAGGATTGATACACAAACGATTCAAACGATCGCAGAGCTTATTGGGAGGACAGTCTTCGTTGTATTGGCACACGGGTTTGTAATCGAATACTTGAAGTGGAATTAGTTTGATACTAGTAAATTTTATCTTGGTTTATGTTGTAAAATTTTTACCTGGCAGGCAGCCCACAAAACCATTTCCTTGATATCCCTCTTCGCAGCTACAGTCGCATCCGTGGTTAGTGTTAATGCACACGGCGTTATGTGCGCAGGGATTGTGTACATCACAGGGTCTTTGACATGCTCTATCTATACATGCTTCCGTAACAGGACAATCATCGTTCGCGGTGCAACTGGCTAAATGAGGAAGGTGCAACAGAAATAGTAAAGAAATAACTACTTATACTACATTTGGGTAATATAAACAATATTCACATAGCTTGTACAAGTTGCAAAATGGAGTGAAGCGAGCACTGCTCTTAATTCTTGATATTCGATATTCCTTTATTAGAGGAGCAACATTTCGATTTCGTGTTGCTTGCTCTACTACAAAGATTATTCCCGAAAGAGTAGCAAAGCCAAAGGTCAAAAGTATATTCAACGTTTAGAAATCTTTGGCCGTTTTGTATTACTTGTTACAGGCTCCTTCTTTAAAAGCACATATGTGATACTTAGTTTCCAAGTATTGCTATGCCGTATTAAGGTTCGTACAATTAAGTTAAGCTCTTCAGAAAATTTGGAATATGTTCAAAGTTAAAAAAGTCTCTAATAACTTACGTCGTTCTGTATAGCACGCATATAGGTAGCAGAAAAATCCTGTTTATCTACATGAATATATTTAATTAAATGCTGCCGAAAGCATATGTAATAAACAACGACAAATTAATGCAACGCTGTCGAGCCTCACTCATCACCTAGTTTATGGCGTATCGACCCTCGGGAGGTATTCTGGAATTCTGTTTTCCGGAATTAACAACTATATTTTTTGTTGTATTTAAAAGTTAAGTTAAGTTAAAACTCACAGACTGTTTTGTGAAACTCTCTTTGGCTTTGTAACTAATGTTATTTACTTTATCGAATTACTGACCATATTTCAATGTTTTTAATTATATATATTATAGAACGACAAGAAAACAGTGTCTTTTATGCAACAGAAAAAAACACAACTTAATTTTACGCAACTCGTCCTGTTTACCTAGATGAAAAGAAATTATTGTTATTGTTATTGTTGTTTTAGAAGTTAAAGTTGGTTATCTGATTTGGAAGTAATTAATTTACACTTAACCAAGAAGACTGTACAGTATTATCTTACTTGTTGGCGATTTGAAGCAATTAATTGCAGGGTTCCCTTCGAATCCCGTCGGGCAAGTACAAATCGGCCTGTGCATTTTTGCTTGGCACCGTGCCGATTTTGCACAGGCGTTCGTGAACTCGCACGGGTCTTGACAAAGGGACATGTAACAAGCCTCGCTTTCGAGACAGTCCATATCGGAAACGCAAGGTTTAGGTGCTCTCTCGCTAGGAGGTTCTAATTAGAAGTTAATCGAATTAGTCAATTAGTGAATTAACACGTACGAAAAATCATTAAGAAAGTACGAGTATATTTACATTAATCGTTATACCAGTTACCAAAGGCATGCAAAATTTCCGTCTAACTAGATCTTAACGTAATTACATTGAAATTGTTCTCCTTTTCGCTACGCAATAAAAAAAACTGAACCTAAGGTCCTAAACGTCGAAGATAATAATGTAGTACCTGGAAAACACGTCCTGTGCGGATCTCCGTAATGATATGGCGGGCATGTGCAAACCGCTGCGTGATTCTGGGCTTCGCACTCGGCGTTTGGCGCACATAACCCTCCAATAGCGCATACATTTAAGCATTTTTTAAATATGCAAACCTCCGTGTCCTCGCAATTGTTGTCAAAGTTGCACCGGAATGTACGGTTAACTAGTTGGTCTGTGTAATTTTTTACAGTTATTATGTGGTTCGTGTCATATGTATGTGTTGTCATGTCGTTTTCTGTCGTCAATTCAATAACACCTTCTGTTCCACTTAGTTCCCTCGGTTCAGATGTCAATGTCGTCTCTAAGGTTCGTTGACTCGTTACTGTCGGTACATTTAACTCAGTTATAGCTTCCATTGTACTGGTAGTACTGGGGCTAGCAGTGGTCGAAACAGTTTCGACTGGTTGAACTATTGACGTTTGAGTTTTGGTAATAGCTTCCTCCGTATTATTCGCTAAGGTAGAGGTAGCCGGGGATTGGGTTGTTGGAGTTGCATAGCTTATGTCAAAAGGAACGGTGGTTTCTGTTATTTTCACGCCAATTGAAGGGTTATCTGTAACCCAGACAAGTTTAGTAGATTCGGTTGACATTGTGCCATCAATTTCAGTTTGCTCAGTCGAATCTGTTGCAGTATCTTTTGTAGCATTACTGATTGAAGACAATGTCGTTTCAACAAATGTTACTTCATCTTCTGAACTAATAGTCGATGGTATCATCGAAACACCTGCAACTTCTTCGGAAGTTGACTTTGTTTGTATTTCTGTGGTAGTGACAAATGACTTAGTTTCTTTTTGCGGACTCTTATTAGTCGATAAAATCCTTTCCGTCGCACCGTCTGTTATGCTGCCTGTTGTGCTCTCACGTGTAGTTTTTTCAGTTGAACCTGCTCGCTCTGTCATACCAAATCTTGTAGCGTGGTCCATAGAAGAAAACGGTGTTGAGATAGCTTCCACTTCTTGTAAAGTTGACATTGTTTGTGTTTCTGTGGTAGCTTCCTCTACCGTGCTACTAAAAGCGGATGTTGCTTTGTCAGTTTCAGTACTAAATGAGGAAGTGTCTTTTTGGGGAGTCTCGTTAGTCGATAAAATCATTTCTGTCACACCGTCTGCTATGCTGCCTGTTGTGCTCTCACGTGTAGTTTTTTCAGTTGAACCTGTTCGCTCTGTCATACCAAATCTTGTAGCGTGGTCCATAGAAGAAAGCGGTGTTGAGACAGCTTCCACTTCTTGTAAAGTTGACATTGTTTGTGTTTCTGTGGTAGCTTCCTCTACCGTGCTACTAAAAGCGGATGTTGCTTTGTCAGTTTCAGTACTAAATGAGGAAGTGTCTTTTTGGGGACTCTCGTTAGTCGATAAAATCATTTCTGTCACACCGTCTGCTATACTGCCTGTTGTGCGCTCAAATGTTGTTTTTTTAGTTGAATCTGTTCGCGCTGTCATACCAACTTTTGTAGCGTGGTCCATAGAAGAAAACGGTGTTGAAATAGCTTCCACTCCTTGTAATGTTGATATTGTTTGTGTTTCCGTGGTAGCTCCCTCTACATTGCTACTAAACAAAGGCGACGTTGTTCCAGTCATTTCAGGGATATAAGAGGAAGTGTCTCTTTGCGGGCTGTCAGTTGTCGTTAACCCATCAAATTTCGTTTTTTCAGTTGGACTTGTTCGTTCAGTTACAGTACCTTTGGAAGTATTTTTGAAAGGAGATCCTGTCGAAACATATTCAACTTCCGCAGAATTCAACTCGGTTTGTGTGTTAGTGGTGTCTTTTTCTACGCTGTTAGTAAAAGTAAAAGATCCTATTTCGGTCACAAATACCGAAATGCCTGTTTCCGGAGTAGTCGATATGAATGTTTTGGTTGCATCGCCCACTACACCGCTAGTAGATTCCGTTGAGGACACCGATGTCGTTTCTAAATGTATTTCGGTGAATTTTTGCGCAATATTAGTTGTGCCGTATGATTCAGCAATAGTTGAAGTCGTTTCCCTTTGAGGAGTATTGGTCGAACTAATGGTTTCTGTCGAAGCTTCTGACGTAATCAAATTAATTTCGGTTGATTGCTGTGGTACAAAATTGGTCGTTGTATATCTATCTGTGTATTTCTTTTCGATAGAAGTTGTACCGATCGATTCAGTTACATGCAACGTTGTTTCCTCTCGGGACTCAGTGATCCATTCCTTTATAGTATTTGCAAATGTACTTGGTAATCCTGATGTAACGAAATCAGCTTCTATTGTTTCAGTTGTTTCAGAACTAAATTGGGTTGTTCGCTCTTCTGGTGAACTACTTTCGTACTTTTGCTCTGCTGTGCTTGTAGGTGAAGTACCTAGTTCTATGATGCTAACATTATGTTTAATTGGTATTTGTGATGTAGTCGAAAACTCTTCTTGAGAAGTCGTTTTTGTTTTTGAGGTATCTGTGTTACTTTTCTCTATACTGTTGCTAAAAGTCGAACCCATTGGTAACAGTGATGTTGTTTTGGACCTTTCAGGAGTGACATTTGCCGCTACAACTTCGGTACTATTCGTGACATCGCTCATAATGCTGGTGATAGATTCTGTTTGGGACCGCGATGTCGTTTCTAAATTTATTTCTGTGAAATTTGTTTCAGTATTCCTTGATGAGGCTTCGTTTTGAGCAGTGTTAGTCGTTATAACGGTTTCAGTCGAAGTTTCCATGGCGGTATTAGTAAAAACATCTTCCGTTACTGGCTCTGACTTTATAACATTACTTTTCGTAGATTCCTTGGGAACAAAATTTGTGTGGGTAGTTTGTATGACTGTGTATTCCTGTTCAATAGTCGTTGTACTAGCTGATTCGGTAGTATAAGACGTACTTTCTCTCTGCGGTTCAGTTATCGGGCCAATGCCCGTAGTAAAAGTAGTAGGTAATGGTGATTTTACTAAAACTTCTGTTGTTAATCCAGAAACATAAGCATTTTCAGTTGTTTCAGAATTAACCCAACTTGTTGGTTCTTCTGGTAAGCGAGTTGATTTAGTTAGCTTCTTTTCTGTGGTATAAGTTTCAGTCGTTATTGTTGGTTCAATTTCGTCTTTTCGTGGCATTGTGTCTATATGTGGTGGTAAAGTACTCTTTTCTAAACTGGTAGGAGATTGTGTTACTGTTAGTGTTACCGTTGAGTCTTGTACAGCATAAGTTATTTCAGAAATAATTTTAGTGTTTTCATTGGGGAATTGCGACGATGAGACTGCATTAATTTCTGTTGATTCACCTGGTTCGTAAGTTACCTCAGATGTTTTGCTAAATATGGAGCCTTCTTGAGGATTCAATGTAGGTTGCTCAAGTGTTTCCGTGGTCTGTGAAGTTTCCCTTATTTCAGTAGTCATTTCATTTACTTTCTCTTCCATTATAGTGGTGGTTTCAACTTTTTCGGTAGACATTGTAATACTGTCAGTATCTTGAATTCCTCTGGTTGTTAATCGTGCAGTACCTTGGTTGGTATTTGTTGGGGTAGTTGTAACTAAATTCATGGCAGTGGAACTCGGTAGCCCATAGGTTGAAGTCACTATTTTCGTTTCTGTTTGCGCAGAAGTAGATGCTTGTTTGGAAACTGTAAAAGTACTCAAAGCAGGGCCAGGGGTTCCATTTTCTTCTATTGAGGAAACAGTCCCTTTGATAAAAATGGTTGATTCAGTAACAGAACTTTCTGTTGAAATGTTCAAGTTTGTAACTTCCACCCTTGCTTCAGTTGTCAGAATGGAAGAGACTGGTTGAACAGTACCCACCTCATCTAATCCGGTACTACGAGCTACCGTCGTTTCTGTATTGCTTCGAATATCATAAACTGTGGAAATTTCATCCTTTTGGGTACTGGTTACTGGTTCATTGCGGTGTTGCGTAAATATTTCGTTATTTTCTAGACTTTCGGTAACAGACGGAATTAATCCTTCTACGGTAGATACAATCATTGTGTTTGCTTCGAACGTAGTTTTTTTTAGTTCATTTTGTGTAGTATGTCTCTCGGTGGTAGTTGTATATGGAAATAGACGCGATATTGGTGTTGGTGGTGTTGTTTGTGGTACGCCATTCGTGTTTTTGTTCATTTCGTTTGTATAGAATGTGGATAAAGTTGTTGAAATATCCTTGAAATGTGAGTGTGTCGATAATTTATCTTGTTGATTTGGTGTTGTATATTTTGTGTAGATTGGCGAATTATTGTTTGGAAAGCCTGACGTTTTACCATATTCAGTTCTTATGGTAGATGGTTCTCCTACTTCGGGCAAATATGCTGTCGCAGTAACGTTACTTATTTGACTAGTTAATGTTTCGGCAGTAACTTGCAAAACACTGGTCTCAGTCCCATATTGAGCTGTGGTTTTACTGATTCCTTGAGTAGTAGTAGGTATTCTTTCTTTTGCAGGCATACCTGCAGTAGCTGATTCAGCCTGATTAGTGATAACCTGGATAGTTGTTTTTTGCGGAATCATAGTACTACTCGAAAATAAAGGTTCTATGGCCAGTGTTTCTCCATCAGTTGTAAAATCAGTTTGTGAGGCATATAAAGAGGTTAATTTGTTTTCGGAAGGCTTTGTGGATACTTCAACTTTTAAAATATTTATATGATTTGCTATTTGGTCTGTAGTTGTTTCAAGCGGGGTATCAGATTCTGTAAATTTTGTTTCAGATGTGGAATATGTAAATTTTTCAGATCGAGCCGTTATTCCAGTTAAAGATTTTGAAGTAGTAGATTGCACTGGATTAGTTATTTCTTGAACAAAATCCGTACTCGAAGTGGTTATTTTATCTTTTACACTTGATGTAGTTGGTAAGTCAAATATCGTTTCTGTTTCTGTAAATCGATGCCGGTCTTCGACTTCCGTCGCAAGGGGAAGTGTTTCTGTTATTAAAGACGATGAAAGCGTTTCTACTGGTGTTGTTGTGTACGCCGATTCCTTTACGAAAGGCGATTCAGTAAATCCAGTTTCTCCATAATCTAACGTGGTAGATTTTTCTGTTTGTGGCACAGTGACAGTAATGTTGGTTTCTACTGTACTCAGTGTTATTTCCTGTGTAATTAAATTATCAGGTTCCGTAGTAGAAGCCATACTACTAGTACTTAATGATTGCAATATTTCAGTATCAGACAGTATAGTGGGTGTATCAGTACCGTCTCGAGATTCTACACTTAAAGTTGTAGTTATGGCTGATCCTTGATCAATTTGAGATGCAGTTTGCGAGGTTATCACATTGCCGAAAACTTTCGCGGTTTGTGATGTTTCGGTTTGAGTATTTGCTACTTCATCCAGTTTTGTAATTATTGATTCGGTGTTTCCTACAGACGTCGTAGTTTCTCTGTCAGTAGCTAAAATTTTGTCGGTAATTTGGGTGTTTGCTGTTATTTCGTTGGAAAACGTCGTATGTCCCGAAGTATTTATTCGAGTCGCTGTCGTAATGGTTGTAGTGTCTGTAACTCTAGTAAAGTAAGTGGTTTTTGGAATTTCCGAAATTGATGACGTTGCTGTCTCGGTCGCATCGGTAGTTTTTGCGCTAATGGTAGTTTCGGAAAACTTAGATTCTGGCAATTGCAGTGTGTGTGTAGTTTTTGTGTACGATCTTTCTGTATAACATTCCTTCTCGCCAGTTTCTCGGTTTCGTCCTTCGTTTTCGAAAGAGTTTACCGTTGTTTCTTTTGTCGTACTACTTTCGTTCAAATCAGGCATCCCGGTGGTGCTGAACGTTTTAGTACTTTCAGGCAGTAGAGTGGATTCAGAATTTTGTTCCATCGTTTCCTTAGAGGACTTTGTAATAGTCACACCGGTTGGATTCTGAGGTGTAATTGATGGATATTGAGGGGTAACAGTTACAAACTGCTCAGTAGTTTCTGTTAGCGGATAAACCAAGATTTTTGGTTCGCTAGTAGTTTCTATTTGGTCGGTGGAAATTCCGTTGTCAGTAGTTTCCGATTGGGGTGCGTGCGAGGTCGTATATACACTGCGAGTGGCGGCGCCCTCTGTTTCCACTGTACTCTCACGTTTAGATGTTAGAGTGGTGGCAGAACTAGCGTTTGTTATTTGGGATAGAGTAGACATAGTTTGTGTTTCTGTTAGTGTTTCTGGTGTTGTAACCATATCTGTTATGCCAAAACAAATAAATCATGTGTGAGTAAAATACATCTTTTAAAAAAGATTTCGTGTCTAGAACTTGTGTTGACGTGTGACAGTTATTCATGCGATGGATAAGCCACAAGCTAAAAGGCTAAGCTCCAATCCGACACCATAAAACATATATATATATCGATATACATGTACATTATTGCAAAGTATAGAAAAATTTGAAGTTGGACCAGTACTGGGGCCCACTTGGAAGAAGAAAAGTTCAGTCCTGTTTGATGATTGCCTGCTATAACGCCTATGAAACACAATAATCGGAAGGTGTTGCTATTTTCAAAAATTTACAGGAAGGAGTTAGAAAGAATGTACAGTTAGATGTTTGCATACTACGTACAAATGTCGATGCACTGATGTCTTGCTGGTCTGCTAAGAATTCCACAAAGAGCGATGATATTTCGGCCAGTCTTTATGGCTTTTTGTCGATTAACATTCACTGAAGGATGGGAACGGACTGGGTGGTGAGGGGAAATGCAAAAACAGCAACACTTATATAGTGGCGATTTGTTTCTCTGTGCTTGAATATATCTAATATTCCTTTCTCAGAGAAACAATATGTAGTGTAATAAATCGTAGTGCAAGTCGCATTCTTACCTTTTAGACAAGCGCCGGTTAATGGATCGCAAGCGACACCAGGTGGACAGTGTGAACATTGCGGTATTCTCGGCTCTTCTGAAAATAGGAATCACAGCTTAAAAACTTGTTATTTCAAATAATATCTATATCAATATATTTTTACCTATTATGCAATTACATCCATCACATTTGAAATGAGACTGCGCGCAATCGCTATCTTTTTGACATTGGCAAACTGAAAAGTTTGGTTTAATAAGCATACTTTTTTATAACCGTGAAAAAGGCGGTTACCTTTAACGCAAACCGGTTGGTGGTCCTGAACTTGACAATCTTGAGATTTGGTGCACGGATTGGAGATCGAACAAGGATTTTGACATAACCTATTTATACAAGACTGCTGAGTTGGGCAATCGAGGTGAGATTTACAGTGAACGTCTAAAAAAAAATCCGTTTTCTGTAATAGCGGCAAACGATGCAGGACATCCGCCAACAGTCTACATATCAAGCGATACACTACGGCTACGGCCTGGAAGTATAAGCATTTACTAATCTAAATCCCCAAGCGTTAGGAGTATATACAGTATTTACAAAAGGGTAAATCCAGTTCATTATTTCGGTTTGAATTAATTAGGTGGCGTTTATGCGCACTCAAATACGTACCATTAAGAGTTCCGTTCATTTTTAGTGTCGTTCGCCATTTGAAAAGCTACTAGTTGAAAATTATGTAGTAAAATATACTTATTTCGAAAGTTCACATCAATTATTTTTCGTTGCGAAGTATTTTCAGAATCTTCATTATCACATAAGTCAAACTGACGTAGCAGCGTCGACCTACCTCGTGGCTACGTGGAAGCGAAAACGTTGCTATATTTTTTAGTCGTTTGTTGCGCGGCACAGCACATAAGTTTCACCGAAAAATGCGTTACGTAAAAAAATCAGATGAAATGAAGCCAGAGCGATCAAATGTTAATAGTAGAAAATAAAGAAGGAGCAAACACAGGCGCACAATCCCCTCGCAGTACACATAACAAAATACAATAATATGGAAGCGTAGGCGTATAGAATAAGGACAGATTTATAGAAAGCTGGTCGATTTGGTGATTTCAAGTAGATGTTCGGACAGAGGAAATATACGTCGGTAGCAGAGAAAAAGTTGGCTATTACTGCAGAGCGTAGCCCGATTTCGTACCAAAAAATCTCTCCACCAGGTGTTATTTTTTACCTTTGAAGCAGCCGCGTCGGGAATCTGATTTAAATCCTGGCGGACAATATTCGCATATAGGTTTATGGTCTTCGACCCGACATGGAGAGTCCGCGGGGCAGTTTGCCGTCTCGCAAGGGTTTTCGCATCTGAACGCCCTGCATGCCTGGTCTACAGGACAGCCGTTGTCCCTCAGACATATCGAAAGGGACGGGATGCAGTTCTTCAAACATATGCATACCGGTTTATGGTTCGAAACGTCGCACCCCTTTTCTGCGGGACAAGGCGGTTGTATGCTGGCGGTGCAAGGGTTTTGGCAAGCCCTGTCAATGCAGGCCGTGTTCGATGGACACTGATCGTCGGTATCGCACTCGGCTTGATCAGGGGCACACGCAATCTCCCCCCGTATATTAACAGTAAATCCGTTTTTACACACGCACGTCGCCTTGTGATAATGGACCTCACATTTTTTGCCGTCTTGGCATTTGCTGCGTTGATGTTCGCAGGGGTCGTAGCACTGACCGGTGGCTGCGTTACAAGCCAATGTGGCGTTGCAATCGCCATTTCTCGTGCAGTGGTATTTTATTGCCGGTCTACCTTGTGTTGCCAAACATTTTGGATCGGGTTGGCACCCTACGTTCGCGGAGCCAGTATGGCACTCGGGACAAGTGCACCGAGGCCTGTGACTAATAGTTTTGCACACGGCGTTCAGGCCACACGCTCCTCTTAGAGAGCAGGGATTAACGCATTGGAAGTTGATGCAAGCTTTCTGGTCGGAGCAGTCTAGGTCATTGTTACATTCGGCAGCTACGGGAACATGGGACAAAAAGAAAAGAAAGCTTTTTTAAGAACGGCGAAAAGGAAGTTAACATTTTTGAATAAAAACACATCGCATGCGGGTGTGACCAAGATAGTCAGAGGATGAGAGAAATGAAAGAGGCCATCTCAACACGACTGACAAGCGGCAAGTATTTACAAGCGTGTATATATATATAACGAAATACTTATAGCGAGATTTACTGGAAATGAATGCTAATGTACATTATCAATGTGAGAATGCTCCTTTCATAGTTCCCAATCTGACTCATCGTATATCAGACCCGCAGCGGGCTCCGTTCTACACGCCCATCGGCGTGAAACACCTGTCAAAGGATTATCTACAGTTTTCGAGGTTGGAGTATGTCCATCGTGACGTGTTTTCTTATAGAGCGTGGTTCGGGGTTGTATCCGTTTGCAATCATTTCATTGCTGAAGTTGGAGCTATAGAAACTACATCTGTTTTCTGATCAGATCATGATAATCCAGGGGCTAGTATATATATCTTGCACATTTATAAAATAAAGGAAATGATCCAAACTCGAAGAGACTTGGTCTTAACAAACTAACGATTCACACACATCCCAAAGTCAAGACCTCAATAAAGATTATCCTTAAAACGTTACCTTGTCCTTAAAACGTTGTCATCCACACGAGTATTATCAGATATACAAAAACGTCAACAATCAATTTGTGTTCGTGTGCCTTTGAGTTGACGTCCTCTGATAATTCCCATGTAGGCGAAACGGATGTAATGTTTTAATAATAATAATTTTTGAGACCTTAATTTGTAGGAGTGCTTGAATCATGAGTTTGTTTCTCCTTTATTATGAGAAAATTAACCGAAAGAACTAGTTCAAAGATAAGCCGCAAAAATTTGATCTGATTTTTCACATTAATAACGGTTACTTTTTCATGATTGAAACTCCATTAATAAATTGGTACTTCGCAGACTTTCAATTAAAATTATGTTTAAGTGTAAATAATAAATATAAATAAATCTCTATTGTCAAAAATCAATCACAGATTATATTCAAAATTATATTCTACACGCACATGAATGCGCTTTCCATTTCCACATTTATGCATACACATGCGCCAAAGTATTTACTAACGTCATTCATGAATTTAGGCTGTTTTATTTTTGTGAATAAATTAACGGGAACCACTTTAATTTCATTTCATTGTTAATTCAAAATTTCCAGGAGAACGGAGTTGAGTCCTTTGGGTTTTTAGGCATTTTATGAATGTTTCAAAATTGTCAAAGTCGTAGAATAATTATTTCCTTTATTGTGAAACTGATATTTATATATATATATATATATATATATATATATATATATATATATATATATATATATATATATATATATATATATATATATATATATATATATATATATATATATATATATATATATATATATATATATATATATATATATATATATATATATATATATATATATATTGCACTCTTGTGGCTTGTGGTTATATCAGTAGGTTTAAGGTTCTGTTGAAGAATTCATGGAAAAAAACTAGAATATCAGTCATACTGTTGCTAGATAAGTAACTTTTGTTTTTTTTTCACAACTGGAAAAAGTGGAACAAAAGAGCGAGTCTGAGACAAAATATTGTTTAGAATTCACCTGAACAATTCTATATATGGTGACTGAGAGTTTCTCGGAACTTCTATTCGTCTGCACGCGTTTGAGATAAAACAATATTTTGTTTTATAAAACCGGGACACCGAGGAAGAAAAGAAAGTCGCAGGTATATAGCGTAGTTATTTTAACAATCGGTTGTAAATATCCGCAAAATTCTTGAGTATTTGTAGAAAAATGACAGTTTCATGTCGCTAAAAAGGATATTCGAAGCCGTTCTTTGGCTTGCACTTAATATTTAAACGGAATACGAATCTATGGTTACGAAACGTGGATATCTGGGGAGTACGAAAACTGTAGATAATCTCGAATCGTTAAAATATTAATGAACGTTGTATGATTCCATGCACGATCGATATGATTTTGTTGTGGAATGTGGACTGCTAAAAAAAGGCGTGAGTACTTCAGAGAATTGCGAGATAGGCAGATTGGAACCCAAAAAAGTGTACATTCCACATTTCTGTGCCCTTTACGTTCTGCAAAACATATTTACACTTACTGTGGCAAAACTAGTTTGTACCGAAACCAATTGCAATCTCTAAAAACGGACACGCGCTACGTTTTCCAACGGTACAGACAACTATTTCAAATAATAAGGTGCGTTCAATTTTTATTTTATACAAGTGGTTCGAAAGTAGGTATCGTAATGCAATTTACTGCATTAGCCGAGCAAGCCTATGTGTACTGCATACATTTTTTTTATATATAACAGAAAATAAATCGGTTAGAGGTTTCGATCAAGACATTCTTACCTCGGCGGCATTCTTTGTCGGGCTGGCCTGAGTATCCCGGCCTGCAACGGCACACAAAGAATGCCTGTTCGCGAATGCACTCGGCGTTCTTACCGCACCCTTCGGTTCTGCAGTCCACCACGCTTCGTTCTAGGGAACCTTAAATGGCGAAAATAATTTTAAATTCACTTTTGTACGAGGCTCTTAGTATTAAAATTTTGCAGTAAATTAAAGTCATAGTAGAAAAGGTGTTTACTAATGTTTCTCATATTTCTTGTATTTGTATTTCCGAAATTAACGGAAATTAAGGAAAAGCGACAAAGAATTTTTAAGAAGCTTTACAACTTTTTTATTATTAACTGCTTATTTCTAATTTAATTTGTTGGGACTTGGTATGTATGACCAAATATATCGAATAAGCGTTTGGCAGTAATTAGACAATAAATCTTAAATTATCGATGATAATGTCATTCTACCAATTTCTAATTACACCAGGTAGATTTGTGATAGATACCGAGTTTTGAATGAAACGAAAATTAATGAAAGCAGTCAAAAATAATAATCGAGATAATGAGAATTTTAGTCGTCCTCAGTTCTATTAATTTTTATTGAAAAAATTTCTTTTTAACTTGTCTTGATTTAATATTTAGTGACCGTAAATTGAATAAGAATGAGTAATCACTAAATTAATTTAGGATTAAACACAAAATCTAAATTGACGATGTAAATGTTCAAGGAACATATTACGATTTATATCTAAAACTTAATAATGAGAATAATATTACTATCCCCTATTGTATCATTATGCATTTTGGATGACTAAAACTTCCAAGCTCAACAATTTCATATAGATCAAAAGATCTCTTTAAACTTACATTCAATGGTTGGATCTCCGGCCGGTTTATTTAAAGGACATGCGCACTGAGCCTTTCCTTTGACTACTTTACATAGAGCTCCGACGCCGCACAGAACGTTCTTACACAATTTTACAGTTTGAGCATCGCAGTCGCATTTTCTATAAGGGTCCCCGATGCAATTTGAAGGGCATTTGCATTCGTATCCGTCGTTCAAATCTTGGCATTTTGCATTTTGACCGCACGGATTTTTGAGACATTCTTTAGAGCCCCCTTGCTTGCATTCGACTTCCGCATTCCCTATGTAGCCAAGTGGACACGAGCAGTGAGGCTTCCTGTCGATGATTTTGCACTGGGCATTGGTCCCACACGATCCCTGTTCGAGGCAAGGGTTCCTACACACGCGGTCCGAGCCGCATTTCTTGTTGATGTCGCAGTCTTCGTCGACGTTACACTCGTACGGGGTGCACAACTTGCTCGGATTGCCTTGGAATCCATCCGGACAGAGACACAATTTCCGATGTTCGGTGACTTTACACAACGCGTTCTTCCCGCATACGTTTGGCAGTTTGCAAGGGTTGACGCATTTATTATCCCGGCATATTTCGGAATTGCCGCAATCGTTGTCGGATTTACACCCGGGAATGCACGCGGCTCTCACGCATATTTGTCCTTGAACACAGCCCTGCTCAGCCGAGCACATAGTTCGACATTGTCCGTTTAGGCAAGTTTCTCCACACGAGCATTCGTCGGTGGATTCACATAGCTTCGCACAATATCCGGACTCATCGCAATTGCAATTATCGTGGCACTTTGTAAGCGGCTGTGCACACGAGACCAAAGGATCTCCGATGTAGTTAACGGGACAGCTGCATTGTACTAGATGCTTCTGGACGGCGCATTTGGCGCATTTGCCGCATATTGTTGCCTCTATATCGCAGGGGTCTGGAAGCAGATATTCTTGTTGAAGTAATTAATCACCAATCAAGTCGAAGAGAAAGTAACAAAATAGAGCAAAGACCAGAAATGAAGGGGAGGAATTTATGGGCATGAAATTGACATTAGACATATTAGTCGCATTATCGATGTGCAAAGGTATGTGTTTAAGGAGAGCCGATCAATTAGCCAATCAATCAATCTGATTTGATTATTTAGTATTAAAAAGTCGACAAATATTCTTTTATAAAGGATGTCGAGAAGTCGGTTGGTAATATCGTTACTTAGATTGTGACAGTAACAAAAGAAGTAAAGCGCTATATATGTAGGTCAGCAAAATTAACAACAAGATTCAAACAGTAGTACCAGTAAAATAGTAGTTAATGGTAAACTTTGACAAATGAAAAACACATTGAAAAATGTTAATTATTTCTCCCACATATTTTTAATACCAACCACCTCCACACTAGGATTTAATGAGTTTAGCTTTGTTGCATCAAAAACAACAAGAACAAGAACAACAAAAAACACAATATCTACCTATACTGAATTATCTGCAACCAAGCATTTAAAAATGTAAAAATGCCTTAGTGATAAAACAAACCGTCAACCACCACATGTATCTAAAATTATTTGAAGAGGTTAAGAAAACTGCAATTATTGAAAAAAAATAGAAAATGTAGAAACATAAACCATCAGTTTGGAGAGATAAAAAACTTTAAGAATGAATGAAAAATACAGAACAATATTTATAATTATATCTGATTAATGTCACAGGAAAGAGTAGGAAAAGTGACGAATTCGTTAAAAAACATGAGATTATATGAACTAAGAGGAAGCGCTTCTGAACTATTACAGTATAGGTCTCCAAAAGGCCATGTGTATGGAGGAAATAATTTGAAACATGTACAAGCTATTAAAATGTTGTTATGCTATTAAAGTGAAGAAATAAGTAATAGTAATAATAAATACACCTACGCAGTACGTAGGTGTAATATAATTACTAACAATAAGAAGAGGGACGTAGTTGGAAGAAAATTTAGAAAAAAAAAATTTTTAAAGCCTAATTCTATAGCAAGAGAAATGGAGTTATGTAACAACTATAAAATTAGCCTTCGTACACTTACTCTGACATTTTTTGTTAACGCACGCTACATCCTCCGGACAGACTGAATCGTTTCGGCAGCCAAAAACGCATAGCCGATTCTCGCAAATTTGATTCGCTGTGCCACATTCAAAGTCAGCGTTGCAAACCGACTGGCAAAAACCTCGAGCACACTTTTCGCTTGCCAAACAATTGTCATCCCTGCAACACAATCTTTTTGTAATAGCCCTAAACGATTCACGAAGGAATACTCACGTCTTGCACGTCCTGTGACAGAATCGGTCTTTGCATTTTTGGTCTACTGGACAATCTCCTTTTATCAAACACGCTCTGAGCGGGTATCGACAAATTTCTACCGGATCACCTTCCAAAGGTGCGGGACACACGCAGACCCTTCTATGGTCGACCACGGAGCACCTTGCGTTTATTCCGCAGGCCGTGGGTGACGCACAAACGTCGATACATTTGTTGTTAACACAAGACCTTTCTGCGCTGCAGTGTGAATCAGATCTGCAACCAGCTGCGCAGGATATACCGTCGCATATTTCGCCACTACGGCAATCGTCGTCCTTTCTGCATATTGGTTTGCAAACTCCATTGTCGCATCGTTCATTGTTAAAACAATCAGAACCGGAAGAACAAGTATTTCTGCAGTATTTATCCCTGCATGTGTTGCCTTCGGAACAGTCTCTGTTCTGCGTACAAGGCTCAGGAGGTGCTCGAACGCAAGCAATGTTGGGTGAAGGGTTGGGTACTAAGCCGATTCCGCAAGAACACAAAGCTCTGTGATCGGATACGGAACACAGCGCGTTAGCGCCGCACGGATTTTCTTTGCAGGGGTTCGTACATTTGTTATTCCTGCACGACTCTGCGATGCTGCAATCGTCGTCCGTATGGCACCCGCAGACGCACATATTTTTGACGCAGATGTGGCCGAGGAAACAATCGTTGTCTACGCGGCAGGTGAGCTTACACTCTCCTTTTAGGCATTTCTCGTTCAAAGCACAATTCTGATCCGATTGGCAGCCGAGGGTGCACATGTTGTCTTTGCAGGTGGAGTTTGCCGAGCAGTCTTTAGTTGAAGAGCACGAGATAGGCACTGAAAACAAGAAGGATAATAAATTTAGAGCTCAAGTGCTGGTATGATGCAACAATTGATTGATGCAAGTTAGGCATGACCAGAACAGGCAGGATGAGCACTACAATCTTGTAGTAGCCGGAGAGAAGTTTGTATGCAAATTTATTTTGGTAAATTAATAAAATTATTAAACTTACGTCGTATACATTCGACGTCGTGGTTTCCCGTAAATCCTTCGGGACAGCTGCAAAATTTCTTGTGCTCGGCGACGCTGCAACGTGCATTCATACCGCAAGAGTTGCGCAGTTTGCAAGGATCTAAGCATTGGCCTTCCAAGCATTGCTCAAATGATCGACATTCATCGCTGCTCTGGCACGGTGCATTGCACGCGTCGCCGTAACAGTAAGTGTTGGCCGGACAATCTGCTGTCGTCTTACAGTTGACAAGTTTCGGCCTACATCCAATGCTCAGATCATTCGGGTCACCTTGGAATCCCGTTCGGCAGCTGCAGTGTCCTTCGTGCTTGACCGCAATGCAGTCTGCGTTCGAGCCACATCTGGTATTCTCGCAGACGTCTTTACATTTGTTAATTGTTTTGTTGCAGACCGCCGATGTGGGACAGTCACCGTCTGTCGTACACTCCACTGCAACTCTGCAACCTTCCTTATAAGGATCGCCTACTAGTTCGTTCGGACAATAGCACTTGAACGATCCTTGAGTGTTGGAGCATAGGGCTCTGGAACCGCATGGGTTATCCGCGCAGAAGTTGACGAGTTGGCAACCTGCGTAAGGATCACCACTGTATCCTGGCTGACAGTAGCAAATTTGTTCGTGACGTTCCGCCGAACACAACGCGTTCTTTCCGCACGGGTTGTCCACGAGGCAAGCAATTTTGCACATATACTGATCACATAGTTTGTCTGCCGAGCAATCCTCGCTCGTTTCACACTCGACTTTTTGACAGCCGACTTTGTCATTGTTCGGATTGCCTTTGTAACCCGACTTGCAGGCGCATACAGCTTTGTGGTTCTTCGAACTACATTCGGCATTTCTTCCGCACAGTACGCTTTCGCAAGCGTCAACGCATTCCGATTGACCTAGCGGGTTTGATACACATTTCTCAGGGTAGTCGCAGTCGTTGTTCGTTTTGCACCGTATCTCCTGTACGCATATGTTGTCGCGGCAGAACTGGAATTCGGGACACGATGAATTAGACTTGCAGATCGGCTGACAGATGCTTTGGATGCAAAGTTGGTCCGTAATACAATCCCTCGAACTGGAACATATGGAAGTGCATATGCCGTTGTAGCATTTCAAGCCGGACGCGCATTGTTGATCGCTGGCACAATATTGAACCGAAAGACAACCCAGATGTGGATCTCCCGTATGGCCGGCCTTGCAAGAACAAATCGGTAAATGATTCGCTGGCGTGCACTCCGCATTGTCGCCACACACGTTAGGTAGATCGCACGGGTTAACGCACGAAGAATCGACGCAGCTTTTGTCGAGAACGCAGTCGTTACTGTCTGCGCATTCGACAGGTAAACAGTTGCCGTCGGAATCTTCTTTAGTCTTGGGTGGACAGCGGCATATTGCTTTGTGTGAGTCGGGTACGCATTCTGCGTTGATGCCGCACGCATTTCCGATAGAACAAGGGTTTTTGCACACGAAGTTGGCGCAGTAGGCCGACGAAGGGCAGTCGGAGTCTACTAGACAATCGCCAGGACTCCTGCATCCGCCAGTAACAGGATCTCCGACCAAACCTTTCTCGCATATGCAAGTGAAGCCACCGTCGGTATTGATACAACTAGAATAAATTAGTAAACTAAAATAGTGCTTGTTGCGTGGTGCATGGAAATAAAAATGAAGATATCAAGAACCCAGGTTTATAGTATTGTGGAAATAAAAAAATGAAGTCGGGAAAAGGCTAAACAACTTCAAGCTAGGTAAATATTCGGTAACACTTTGAATAATTACACCAATATAAAATATGGCAGAAAGCAAAAGTAACACCGATAACGATTATGTATTACACTCAAAAATACTTACGTCGCAGAACTGTGGCAAGGATTGGTTTCAAAACATTCGTCCACATCTAAACATTTGTCGTCTATTAATTGATAGCCAACGAGGCAGGAGCATGTGGCAAGGTGACTTTTCGCGATACATGACCCCTTTCCACAATCAACGAATCCGCACGGATCTAACAAAAATGATTGAATATAGATTAAACTTATTGCACAGCTAAATCAACGACAAATCATGGTTACATTATTAATATAAGTTAATTAAAAGTGTTTTACCTTCTGCATTTAGGACCACAAAGAAATCATTATACAGTGTCTAATTACCAATTAATTTTTGTATTTTATTTTTTGTTTAATTTATTTAATTATTATTTATTTGTATATACTATTTAGCTACTAGATATGTGAAGTCAAAAGTCGCTTTCAACCAATAACACATCTTTCGTCCAGATGGACCCAAATTACCCTTTACATTTTCAAAAAGAACCCCGGTTTTTGTCTGTGTTTAGAAAGAAATTGGGGCAAAGTGCAGGTTATTAGTGTGTGAAATTAAGGAACATTCGCGAAAATCATTCCTAATTGCATTAAAATGTCATCCGTCTTAGCCGCATCTATTTTACGGCCCCTGTATTGTCTAATAGCCATACGAAAAAGCAAATTCTTAATGACAAATCACTCAAGATTTGTCACAACTTTCGTTCGTTATGGTGAAACTTGAGCGAAAAATAATGAAAATTTAGTTGTTATGAATTTAATTTACCTAGACATTTGTTAGAATGGGCGTTGCAAAAGCGATTGGATGGACAATCGTCGTCTTCGGTACACTCAACTCGGAAGCAACCCAGGTTCTTGTCGTATGGGTTACCCAGGTGACCAGGCGGACACGCACAAGAAAGCTTGTGGTTAGTTACCGAGCACAACGCGTGCGTTCCGCATTTGGTTGTTTCGCAGGGGTTCTGGCACTTGTTTCGTTTGCAAACTAGATCCTCGTGACAATCCCGGTCCCGCCTACATTGGCCAGACAAAGAACAGCCAGGATCCGCGGTAGGATCGCCGACCATGCCTTCGGGACATAAACATGCATAAGAACCCACTTTGTTTTGACACACCGCGCTGGGATGACAAGGATTCGCTTCGCACTCATCTATATCTAAACAACCGTCAGGCGTTCCTATATACCCGATGCGACACTTGCATTTTCCATTTAGACATACTTGGGAAGCATTGCAGTCAGAATTTGTGGCACAGCCAGGTCGGCAGATCTCCTCTATACATATTTCTCCCGGCAAACAGTTGCTATCGCCGAAACACACTTTCAGACAACCGTTAGCGGTGCAACGTTCGCCGATCGCGCAATCTTTATTATTTTCACATGCCAATGTGCACTGTCCATCGTTACACGATTGATCGCGACGACAATCTTTGTCGCTTTTGCACAACGCCGGTATTCGGATACACCCTTGCTGGGGTGTCGGATTTCCACCGAAACCGCTGGGGCACTCGCACACGGTTTTGTGATCTTCGCATTGGCAGACGGCATTTGGACCACAGGCTCCACTTTTACACGGATCTTGGCATGTATTATTAATGCAAGCCTCATCAGATTCGCAATTTCTATCACTTCTGCATCCGATCGTGCAAACTCCGCTAGCACACGCTTGACTTCCGAGGCATTGACTATGATCCGTACAAGGTGCCACGCACTTGTTATCTAGGCATCTTTCGCCGTACGAGCAGTCGTCATTATTGCGACAGACTGGTCTGCATTGTCCTTGATCGCAAACTTCACCGAAACAGTCCTTATCCGATATGCAGGCGACGATGCTCCTCAAACATCCTTCCTGGATTCCATTTTCCGAAACGCTAAAGCCAGAGGGACAACTACACACGGCCTGTCTGTCTATTACGCGGCAAATGGAGCTGGAGCCACATGTTTTGTTCTGACATGGGTTAATGCACGTACCCTGATGACATTTCGATTCATCCGAGCAGTCGGTATCGCGGGCACAGACATTGATTCTAGTGCACCCTTTCTTGTACGGGTCACCGATCCTGTCCGCCGGGCATTTACACTTGAATCCACCGGAAATTGATTCGCATATGGCCGTTTTATGGCAGGAATTGTTCCTGCAGGCGTTTGTCGGGACGCACTCTACGTCGGCGATGGGATTTGGGGCGTACCCGACGGGACATTGACACTTTGATTTATGGTCTATTCCGATACATACCGCGTTAGTTCCGCACGACTCGTCGTCGCACACGTCATGACAAGTGTGAGTCATTCGGTTACATAATTGCGATGGCAGACAATCCGCGTTATATACGCAGGGCACTGCCGTGCAACCTGTGTTGGGGTCATTCGGGTCTCCGATATAGGACCCGCTTGGACATTGACACTGAGGAACGTGATTGTTAACGACGCACAAAGCGTTAGGACCGCACGTAAGAATCCCGCAAGCCGCTATGCACTTCCTGATGTTCTCCTTGGGCTCGTTCTCACAGGTCTCATCTTCAGCGCATTCTGAATTTGAAGAGCACGAATCCTTCGTCACCGGTCGACAACCGTTCCTATCGCTCGGATTGCCGGTATAACCGGTGTAACACTGGCACTGTCCTCGGTGAGCCTCGGCAACGCACGCGGAATTGTTAGGGCACGTGAAATGGGAGCACACGAGGGTGCACTTCCGAACACCGAGGGCATCCGGCTGACAGGCAGCTACCGCATCGCAATCGGTGTCACTTTTACAGTCCGGCAGGGTTGGTTTTTCGCAAGCAGACGTCACAGGATTCCAAATATACTCGTCTTTACATGCACACGTCGGATGTCCACCGAAATCGATCTTGCAGATTTCGTAGACGCCGCAGGCGACGACCTCGCAGGCGTTTCGGCACTCTTGGAGTCCTTTGTCGCCTATTGAACAAATGTGACCGAACTCGCAATCGCCGTCGCGATCGCACCGTCTCGTGTTGGTCCTCTCTTCGACTTGACAACCGGTAGTGAAATCGGTAGGGTTTCCGGAAAATCCAGCAGCGCAAATGCAGGATATTCTATGTCCTTCGGCAACGCACAACGCATTGGGACCGCACTGACCTTTGCTGCATGCATCCAAACATTTCCTGGAACCTTTGCTCTGTTGGAAACAAATTTCAGTTTCGTGGCAATCGGCATCGCTGTTGCATTCGTTGGGAATTTTGCAACCGCCGCGGAGGTCGGTCGCGTCGCCCACGTATCCCGAGGGACACTGGCATTGACCCTTATCGCACAACGCTTTCGGTCCGCACTTGACGTTCTCGCATAGGTTCTTGCAACGTTCACGTTCGCACGTGAAACCGGACGGACACAAATTGAAATCATTGCAGCGACAATTTTCGGGAGTTTTGCATATTCCGCTTTGCAATTGCGAACAGAATACGAACGGGTTACCCGCGTAGCCCTCTTTGCATCTGCAATCGTAGCTTCCGATCGTGTTTATGCAAGCGGCGTCGTTTCCGCACACGTTGCCGTTGCATTCGTCGATGTCTTTGCATTCGATGAAAGCGTTGCCGGTGAAACCGTGTTTGCAGTAGCATTCGATTCCGGTGTTAGTCTCCGAGCACTCGGCGTTTGTACCGCACGAAGCGGAACTGCATTTCTTCTTTTTCACCACTTCGCACAGTTCGTAAGGATTCCCTGTGTGGCCAGCATTGCAGACGCATTGATTTATCAGACCATATTCGCAGTGAGAATTTTTTCCACACTTAGGCTCGCATACGGGTCCGGTTATGGCTGTAAGAGAGAAATTATTTTTTACTGATCTCGACGTACCTAATGAGATAATAATCTATATGAAACGACGTTGCTTCGCAATGAACCTCTTGCATGGATCATCTTTTAAAATAAAATCTGTATTATACGAAAAATCAGATTCTTATATGGTCGACGTTTCATAGTTATACAGTACAAGTTAATTATATTTACAACTCTTAAGAGCTCTAAACAGAACACGGAAAGGTAAATCCGCCAACAAATAAACAATATAAAAAGTACATTAAGATATATATATTATACAATATCTTTAGGTTATAAATATCAGATACTAACTTAAAAATAAAAATTATTGGTCCAGGATACATACATGGAAAGTCATCTTTTTGTGTAAAATCTTTTAATTTTGAAGAAGGCGATAATGAGGTGAGTAAATATTTCATACTAACGTTTAAAATGTTTTGAAAAGTTAAGAAAACGATCAAAGTACTTTAAAATATGTAAATATGTACAGCCTCTTAATTTTTTTTTCAATTATTTCTTAAAATTTTTTGTCAAATATCATCAACAAAACGGCAATTATGCACCAAATTTAAAAAATATAGCATGTCTCGCATAATGAATGATAACAAAATAATATAAATGTATTGTTCAACAATTTTTTATGAAATATATTAAAAAAAACTCAGTCAATGAAAGCAATATAAACTATTACACATTCGTTAAAGTTTGCGGCGTGACCTTAAAATGATTACTTACGGGGCATGCAGACGATATCAGGATTTCCAATAAGATTTCGGTCGCATATGCATCTGTTAGTATTCTTATTGCAGTGGGCACCTATTCCGCAAGTGACACCCTCGCATCTCTCCTTGCAACGACCGTTTATGCACACCTTTGGTTCTTGACACAGACTGCTGGTGGAACACAGATCCGTTACACACTGTCCACCGGGAAAAGGATTTCCCAGAAATCCTTCTAGACATCTGCAAGTCGGTCCGCCCTCAGTTACGATGCACTGAGCACCGCTAGCACAATCAAATCTCTCGCATACTGAAACAATACAACATTTATTGAACCGTTCATTTTGCAATCAATAAATACGATAAACTTACGGGATACACACTTTCCATTTGTGTTCGCAGCAAATCCAACTTCGCACTCGCACACTGCATTATGATTTTCGGATCTGCATTTCGAATGAGTTCCGCATGACACGGCATGACAAGGATTTATGCAGCTACCGTCTTGGCAGCTCAAAACGGAGACGCAATCTTTATTGGATTGACATTCGGTTTTACCTGTTCCGGGCGTCTCTACAATGCACCCCCCTTTATACGCATCGCCGGTCATCCCTTTCGGACAGACGCATTTGTAACCATTCAACAGATTCAAGCAATGCGCGCCGTATGCGCACGGTGCTGCTGCGCACTCGTCGATGTCGATGCACCCTTGCAGTGGGTCGCCTTCGTATCCTTGTGCGCAAACGCATTTCGGAGGATCGCTGGGTATACAGTCGGCATTTATACCGCAGGGGTACCGCTCGCAAGGACTCTTACACCTATTCTGATCTTCCAAGTCTACAAAGTATGGTGGCGGACAGACGCACTCTCCCGGTTGCACGCACTTCTCATTCGCCGGACATTCCTTGTCGCTGATACATTTCTTCTGAGCGGGAGAACACAAGCCATTGTAGGGGTCGCCGCTGTACCCGTGGGGGCAATGACATTCGTACGAGCCATTTTGATTGACGCATTCGGCGCCGTAACCGCAAATCTGTTGCTGTTCTATGCATTCGTCTATGTCGGCACACGAACCGTCCGAAGACGTTTTGTACCCTTTAGGACAAGCACAGTAACTAACCCCACCGGTGATAGTGATACATTCGGCCCCGTTAGGGCACTCGCCGTTGGGTCCACAACCGGCTAGTACGCAATGTCCATCTTTTAGTTCATAGGGGGGTTGACACCGGCATTCCACACTGTCGCATTCGATACATTCCTGGAAGGGATTGCCATTAAAACCTTGAGGGCATTGACAATCGTAGCTGCCCGGTAGGTTCTTGCAAACGGCGTTTAAGCCGCAGGCAGCTTTGTCCCTCAATTCGGTACATTCGTCCGCGTCCCGGCATTTCCCAGTTTCGTGGTCTCTGACGTATCCCTGCAGACAAATGCACACACTCTCGTGCGTAAAGTCATCCAAAATGCATTGCTCTCCTGCAGGACACGGATTCGCATTCGAACACCCTTCGGTTTCGCTCTTTTTCAAGCAACCAGTTCTGTAGGGATCGCCGGTGGATCCTCCGGGACACTGACATGAAAACGAGCCGGGCTTGTTTTCGCAAATTGCTCCGGCCTGGCACGGGTTTTCAGAACATTCGTCGATGTCTACGCAGCCAGACTGCGTGCCTGTGTAGCCAAGCGAACAAATGCATTTGGCTTCGTGATTGATCAGCATGCATTCCTCGTTGTTTGCGCAGGAAATCGTTTCACAGGGATCTGAAATATAATTTTTTTCCTTACGTTCTGAACGCGAGAGTGTTTAGATGCTGAAACGAGGACAGCGAATCCTAGTAATGAAGTAGAGGTACAAACTGAACTTAATGCAACTGACATTTTTTTCGTAATCCCTTTGAATGCTCATCTGTATTGTGTACTGTAAATATGCTGACATATCAAACTATGAAACAGAAATAATGCATCAAGAGCACCAAAAATTGAAATAGTTTAATTCTTCTAGATTCACAGTCAAAGGAGTTTACTTTCCTTGGAAGCATTTTAGAATAAACGATTTACGTCAAATCGAAATGAATATACCTATTCGAAAATTTGTCATCATCAACACCCTAAATTTAGCTAAATCGAATATACTTACGTCTGCAGTCGTTTCCAATATTGGGTTCCGGACAAACGCATCTGCGCATGTTATCGCAAAGTGCGTTTCCTGGACAATCTGAATCGGATTTGCACGTGACAATCTCGTTGCACTTAGTTTTGGCGTCGGGATCAGGTATGGTGCCTTCCGGGCACTCGCAGGAGTATGAGCCCGCAGAGTTTATGCAAACGGCGCCTACTCCACATGAATTCGGAGTGGAACATTCGTCAACGTCCGTGCACTGCTTATTTGGATTACCGATGTAGCCTGGTTGGCACTGACAGGCAAAAGTACCGGGCAAGTTCGTACACAGTGCGTTGGTGCCACATCTTCCGCTCGGACCGTTAGATTTGTCGCATTCGTCAATATCTGAAATATTAAAATGATAGTCGGCAATTCAAAAACTACCACAGTGGGGTCTATTTACCGATACAACCAGCGGCGATATCGCTAGGGTTGAAAGTCCAACCGTCTTCGCAAATGCAGTACGCTTCTTCTCCATCTGGTTTGCAGTAAGCATGGTTGCCACATTTCACGTGATCGCATGGTGCTTTGCATTCTAGAATCGGTGGGCTACCGATATAACCAGGCTCGCACTCGCATCGAACGCTGCCGATCGTGTTCTTGCACACGGAGTACGGCCCGCAAGGGGACGATAAACATTCGTCGATATCCACACAAACTGATCCTTTTGCCACAAAACCGCTCTGACAGAAACATTGATTCTCGATGCACTCGGCGTTGTTGGTACAATCAAAGTTTGATTTACATAGAACGTTGACGTCCACCTAAATTCCATATTTTAGATAAGAAACATTAAGAACCCAGAAAAGATAAAAATTTTCAGATTAACATGATTTTATATTATACAATAAAAAAAGACTGTATCACCCACACCCTGTATTTCAAGCAGTCAATTCGAATGCTGAAATAGGCACTGAAATACAGCCGGTATCCAATTTGTGAGAAGAATTTTATTTAGAGAGAGGCGGGTAGTAAGGGGTATTGTTGTCTCTCTCATAAACGTTAATGCTAATGAGCAATAAGTGTAATAAGAGATTGTTTTAGATTATTTCTGGCGATTTTTTATTAACGGATACTTTGTGAAATCATATCAATCGTTCATCATTCTTCAAGATAAGCTTGAGTATGTAGAATAATTTCATGATGGTGTTAATTAATAAAATATTTTTGAAATGGTAAATTTTTGTATTGCATATTGCATAACGTATATATCATACCAAAGAAAGTTTAAGAGAAAAGAAACAATGCTTGTCCTCATCCTTCTTTTGTCACTTTGAGAAGTGATGCTGACTAGTTTTGGAAGGTTTATTTTTTGGGTAGGTTTTCATATTAAATCTATTACATATTACATGTTCTCATTATGTTTTACAAAAAAATCAAGTAACTCAGCGTTATATAATAAGCAAAATCCTTAATTTGATTTTATAATTTGTATGACAATGCCCATTATTTGAAATCAAAAATAAATCGGAATTGTAGTATCATTATCATTTGAAAATTTGAAAATATTGAAAAATGTTTCCATTTTCAAGAAATATATCTAATTGGTTGAATGGGCATATTTAGGTAAATAAGTGTGTATTTTAAGTTTTTTAAATAATAATCCTGGAAAATAATATATAAATATATAATACTATTTACTAATACTAACAAAATCTTTTATATGGTTAGAAAAGACTGAAATATTTAAAATTTCAATTTGTATGAGCTGTTCTCGGAATTTGTTTAATAAATTATAATATTATACATTTTAGTTTTTACAAATATTTGATGAAAGTATTATTGGATCATCAAATAATATTATGTAGATAGCAAGAATTATTTCGGCAGGTAAAGCAATTATTCATTCATTCATTTATATAATTTATATATTCATTTATATAAATGAGCAAGAGAAAGATAGGAATCCCCATCAATTAGCTATTTTTTCTATTGTAAAATTTGCAACACTTTTCTGTTGGCATCGAATTCATTGACCACAGGGTGCCTTAGGTGATGGAAACATGATTTTTTGTTGCATAATCCAAACTTTCGCGGAAATCTAAATGATGCACCTGCGCATTAAGAAACACGTTGCAGACACGTTTCCATTGGACTTACTTGTTCGCATGCGATTTCTGGACTCGGTCTCGCCTGGTACCCTTGAGGACAGACGCAATTGTATCCCGGGACAGCGTTTTCACAAATAGCGTGATTACCGCAAGGCTTATCTAAGGTCGTACATTCGTCTATGTCTGAGCATCCTTTCATAGGATCCCCAGTAAAATCTTCTTCGCACACGCAGACAAAACTGCCTACGGTATCTTTGCATACGGCCTTTTTGCCGCACGGATTTGGTTCACATTCATTTATATCTATGGACATTTTATAAACTCGTTTGTGAAAACGTGCCAACTAAAAATAAAGCTGCATACCGAAAGGAGACTACAGACTGAAAGAAACAGAACAGGTAAAGACGCATAACAAAAGACAGATACCTAAAAGTCACAAGCTGAAAGTAAAACCAATTTTTCAATCGTGGCAAGGCAAAAATGCACTCGGCATAGCAGTACCGACATAGGCTTTTAAGAAAAAATGTATACAGTACAACAAGGCTCACTAAAACGTACGGTAAGAAGAAAATAATAGGCTGAGGTTTGGTTATGTGGAAGGCACACTTGCTGGAAAATAAAAAATAATCAACTCGTTTAGTCTAACTTGTATAGTACTCATTCCGAACAATATGTCAAACTTCATTCCTTGGTTAGGCGTACAAGTATGTGTTTCTCATGCTGGCAGTTTAGAAATTAAGAGTAGGCAAAAATTGCTGGGACATTGTTATTATAAATTTCATAGTAGAGTGGGGGATGCTGAACAACGCTACGCATTCCGAAAATGACTACTCAAAAAAAAAACAGTCGGGTAGAGACTAACTTTCGCAGTAGAGGTGTCCTTGTCCCGTGAAGCCTGGCGGGCAAAGGCATTTATGAGACCCAGGAACATTAATGCATTTTGCGTTTATCCCGCAAGCGCCCGGTCTTGCGCACTCGTCGATATCGTGGCAATCTTCGTTAGCGGATCCCGTGTATCCTTCCGGACACAAGCACGAGTAGCTTCCGTTAGTGTTGAGGCAGGAAGCAGTTGATGCGCAGGGGTTTGAGTCACATTCGTTAATGTCTAGTCGAGTTAGAATGTTAGTTTCGGTTTCCCGTTTTGAAGCGTTTTTTGGTGATGCTCTTGTTAATTGGCGAACGAATTATGATAACTCCGAAAAACGCTTCATTTTTTAGATAATTAAGGATTAGTGATGAAACATGTAGAAGATTGATTTTCGTATTAGTTCTAGTATACAAATACCTAAAATTGTATGTCATACTGAAGCAAACATGCTTTTCAATACAATAATTTGATCGAACTCAAATTATGGCTGAGGCGGTGTACACTAGAAGTTTTCATTGATTAATGTGTTTCGACCTTTTTAAAAAAAAAAAAACTTGTTTCACCACAAGATCTTTTCTTTCGTCCTTACGTAGAATGCAATGGCGCCACCCAATATTTTCTAAATCTATTTGAAGTATTAAAACATACACGCACAGGTGCCTAAAACTTTAGAAATCCGGTTCTGGTGCACAGTGAGATATTTTCCTATCATACAATATCAAGAACTTCATACTGAGGACCCAACAATTCTTTTTGCGAGTTTTATAACACTGTCTACCGGGTTCGGGATTTTGCCAGCTTTTTATGGATATATTAAAAATCTGATTTTTAGGGAAATGGACCACATGCGTTTTCTTTTTATTAAATATTTATATTTTACTTCATGTATATTTTTCATCTTAGTTTAATATTTAGGTTTTATATTTAAACGGTTCAGGTTTACAACTAGTGAAAGTATTTGAACTACAAATAAAATACAGGGTGACACTACATTAAAGCTCTTTAACTGTGATTTCTTTTACGTTTCAATGTATGCCAGCATAGCCGGATCTCCCCTATTCACAGTGAACTATTTTATAATAATATAGGCGGTAAGCAGGGTTATCAAGATAATTCCTTCTCAACATGGTTATACGGTTGCCCGCTGCTAACTAAAACGCTATTTTTCGTTATAAAAGGAAATACTTTCGAACAATTTGACCTAGAAAATCAGTCTTCACGTGTTTGTTTTTCAGTTAAAATGGCTGAATGACGAGTATGTACAGCAAAAATCCAATTACTCCATTAGTACGATTGTCTTTAATACCTGTACAGTCGATCATCGGATCGCCAATAAATCCAGGAGGACAAGCGCATCGAAAGCTTCCGTCTAGGTTTGAGCAGTGCGCGTTTCTTCCGCAAGGGTTCGCCCTAGAGCATTCGTCCAAGTCAACGCATCCCCTGGTGTATGGATCGCCCGTGTAACCCGGTGGGCAGTGACATTGTTTGGCGCCGACGAGGTTGGTGCATATTGCACCCGGCCCACAAGTTCCCAATTGTTCGCATTCGTCTAAGTCTACACATCCGTCGTAAGGATTGCCGTGATAACCATCCGGGCAAAAACACGTGTAGTTGCCCGGTGAGTTTTGGCAAAGGGCATTTTGTCCGCAAGCGTTTGGTAGTTGGCATTCGTCGACATCTAAAGATTTGAACGAAATTAAATTATTGGGTGCCAATGCGATTGTAAAAAATATATTTCGGGACCAATTAAGAAAGACCCAAGATCGCTTTCTCTTAGGTGGGCAGTACCTAAATATCCTTTATTCTACGCAGCTGTTTATTTTTTTTGTCGCACTCCTTTGGACTACGATATAAGTTTCGCAAAGGAAGGATTTGCAGGAACCCTGTGTTAAGTCTTCTGTGTAAGTTGAAAATTATGGCAATATTGGAAAAATATCGTGTTTTGTTCTAGAAGTAATGATTTTAGATTGTTTTATAGTGTTTGCTATTGCAACAGGGTATGTAATTAATTAATTCAGTTGGTTATATTTAATGCAATTTATTATCTGAATTATTTGAATGCTTTTTCATAACTTTTTAAACATTCTTTTTTGTATGTTAAAGCTGCAACTTTGAATGATATACAGATGTCAATTAAAATTGTTTTTCAAAGAATGTATGTATGGATGAGTGTTTCTATCTTGATGTTTAGAGAAATAACAGTAAGGTGAAATTAAGAAGTACAGGAGAAATAACAAAATGGGACCGCCATACTCCATTTCAGCAAAAATTTCCCCATTTTTCATATGGCGACTAAAATGCTTTCAAAAGTCCCATGGTTCCATTAAGATTGCAAGTCAATTACCAATTCGATCAAATTTGTTAAGAAAAAACATAAAACTTAAATAAATTTGTAAAAAATTTTCAAAGAAACTTCCACAGGCTGCTGTAATACTTTTTACAAAACTTAAAAGTTTTGTAAAAAGTAATTTTGGAAAAACTAGCTTGTAGCACACTCAAGTATTGCGATTTCGCATGTGAGTACTTCATGGCCCAATGCGTCTGTTGAAGAATCAGATAGTGAAAAAAAAAGAATACAAAAGTAAACCGGAATTATGAAGACATGCAGTATGAATTATTTCAAACCTCAAAGTCAAAATATCCGACTTTGAGGATTACACAAAAACAGCGGTAGAGATGTACTTGCAACGGTGGATACCAATTTTGCATAGGAAATTAGCACAGAACAGAGACTGCAGATATTTGTTTCTTATTCTTTTTTTAGGAAACCTCCACAGGCCACTATTATACTATTCAAAAATCTTCCTGGACTACTACTGCGTCCGTTCTTGAGGAGTCAAACTTGCTGAGGTCCTGTTGGCTTCTTCAGAGCTTAACACACAAATTTATATATTTATTGGTTTTCCAATTGCTGTATGTCATCATTGTTATGATGGTTTTTGAGTGGGGGCTATTGGATGTGGAATAAACTTAGTTCCGGATAAATTGTGTTATATGTGCTTTGCAGGCCTTAAACTATTTTACAACTCCAATTGCCAGAAGTGCGGGGGATACGTACTAGATTTTAGAATTTAAAGTACGTACCTAAGCATTGTACCTCGCCGTCTCCTTGAAAACCTGGTTTACATTTGCATAGAAAATGTGCCGGTAAGTTGCAGCATTCTGCGTTTTCCACGCATCTTGCCGCTATCGATGGATCGTCGCATTCGTTGATATCTGAAAAGGAAGAAATGGAAATTCCTTAGTTCAATATGTAAAGCCGTTTCTGCAAATTTGTATTATTGCTGTCGACGAATGATTTTATAGGAGGCGATAATATGAGGTTATTTTCTAGTTAGATTTATCGCTTTACACGTTGTACGTGTGTGTGTGTGTGGAATTTCGCTTTAACTGCTCTTTATGTGGTGTTTGGAATTGTATTTGTCATTTGAAATTTAACATGAAAATATTTTGACTTGGTCGCTATAAATTCTTTTTAAATTTTTAAATTTTTAAAACTCGCTTGACCTATCATATCTAGAATCACAAAAAGTTGATTAAACATGAAGTGCCTATAAAAATTTTTAAATGGAGCAAAATAAACTGCCATGAGTTATCGAGCATCAACTTGACAACTTGATGTTTTTGTTAATAATCTACTGGAAATATATTTACTTTTAATTTGTATAATTCGATCTGGGTTCAAAGAATGAATAGTCCACAGATATAAATAATAGAAATTCTACAAATTACTAAAATCGTGCGCATTGTTAATAGTATAGTGTATATTCTCTTCGATATTATCAACGTCAATTTGGACGGAATACATTTATTGTTTCATTAAGGTTTCGCCGTATGACTTTTAATTTTATTAAATTTCGTTGTAAAGTTTATGGACGTTTTTTACTCTGGACAGATAAATAATTATATAACACAATGTTGTTCATTTTTTCAAGTTTTTAGGTTGTAACACCGCAAACTGAGTGGTGCCTAAATAAATATATAATATTCTTTCTATCTAGATATGGCTAGATCGGGCTCTTTGACTGCATTCAGTGAGAATAATCAAGAAACGGCCGAAAAATCTTCTGGTATTGGTACCTACTGAAGCTTCTGTAGATGCTCGAAGTCAGGCTCAATCAGAGTTTAAATCATTTTCCAACGTGTCGTAAAATAAATATATAGAATCGGAACTTTATATTACTCCAATTTTTACGGTACATCTCGTTATTTCATTTACAATTAAGGGGCGGTGGTTGTTCGTATTTCTTTCTTGGGGGATTCCATATTTAAGTCAAGAAATACCATTATACAAGTATGGGTATAGAAATATATAGAATCGGAACTTAATATTACTCCAATTTTTACGGTACATCTCGTTATTTCATTTACAATTAAGGGGCGGTGGTTGTTCGTATTTCTTTCTTGGGGGATTCCATATTTAAGTCAAGAAATACCATTATACAAGTATAGGTATAGAAATGAGGTCTGATATAGTGACTGCGAAGCATTCTTAGTGAGGAACATCACTTATTTCTTTCTTCAAATGGCAAGAAAAAAGGAAAAGAACCTTGCCAGACAATTTTCCCAGAGCAATAGATAATTTTGTTTTCAACATTTTCACATAATGGGGATAATGTTATGCCAAAAAAAATAATTGCAAATTCTTATATACCTCCAATTTTTTCCTTTGTTACTGCTATGTTTTACTTTAACCCGAAATACAAATGTTTAGGTGCGGTTTTGAAAATTGTCATTCTAAGTACATATTTGACCCATGCAAGAGTCATATTGCTCGAATGTCGGTGTCATTTGTATTACGCATAAGTGTCTTCAGGAAGTCTCCACTATGTTATTTGTATTCTTCAAATATAGTACCTCTTGGTCGTCAATCTAACAAATTATCGATTCATGGTACTGCAAAACACATATAATAGTCTGTTCGCGTCACATTCTCAGAAAATCAACATTCGCGCACACTCTGGCGCGTAATTCACGCGTTAGTGTTAAAGTATAGATTGACCACGGACCTGGTACTGTTATTAGAGTTCTGAGGGAACCGATTTCAGGGGCGTAATGCGCGGTTTGAGTTAATCGTCCGATTGATAAACCGGATAAAATGCTCAAACAGAATTGCTAGTTTCTGGCGAGTGAGATTTGAAAAGGTACAGTGCGAAAATATTTTAACGAGATTATGAGGACTTTGACCGATCTGCACGCCTGGGGATAGTTTTGGTTAGTGAATGTTCACGAATACTATCTAAGGGTCACACCCAACCAACCAAAACTACCCTGAAAATATTTGGCGATAGTTTTAGATTGAAGGTGTGAGAAAGAATCGAAAATTGCCTCCACTACTTCATCCACTTCAGTGACCTCACTGACAATGTGAGGGTAATGGGATAGTTTTGGGCAGTTTTCTCCGTTTCCCAAAATAATATTGTATGACACCAACTTTGCCTTGTTAACCTAGGTAAAAAATTCAAATTAAAAGAAAACGGAATTTATTTTAATGGGATTTTATTGCCACAATTTACAATTAAATCAAATGTTAGAATAGGCATTTTTATTACGCAGTTTTTAGAATGCTATGGGTGATTCAAAACATAACAACAACATAACAAAAGTTACTGCAAAAAGGCGACTGTATTTTTGGCCCTCGAGGAAGTCATTAAGACTATATTAATTAGACATTATCGTACTAAATCTTACAAGACTTGGTATGGGCGGTAAGTATTGTGGCTCCCTTTCACTGACTTTTTCCTATTCTCTTAATTATTTTCAACGGTTTATGAAGTATGTTCTGAAACGCCTGAAACTACCAATAAATTTAAGTTATTATCTACAACGACAATATTAGAAAAATAATTACAAACGAGGCCAGGCTCACGTTTATTTACAATAGACCGAGCCTATTCGACAGGAAAATCCGCACGTGTAAACTGGCCGGTGTTCTAATTTAGAATCCGTAGCGAATTGCTAAAGCAAGGGGTCAACTCTTCTTCTTATTCCCTGCTAGATCAACGGCCTTCTAAGAGCGTTGAACCAACTTTGCGGGTATTAGGTTGACGCTATTTTTCACTATTATTGGTTCCGTAAACGCTATGGCGCGCAGATTCGGTTCGTTTGTTTACAGTAAAAAAACAGGTATTCGATCAGTTATAAAGGAAATGTTATTTTTCTAGGAAATTCCTTTTAATGTAAAATTAATAGATATATTGCTTTTATCAAGAAAACTTAGTAATTTTGAAACGGTTTTCCACCGTTTTTTTTTCTTCATTGATGATAGCTTCGTTTTTGCTCACCCTTCTTGGCGATTTATTGATAAATAGAAGAACATAATCAAAAGAAATATCAACGCCCAAGATTCCAGTTGGGAGAGTTAACATTGAACCACTCCATAAAATGTTATGTTATCCAAATGTTATTACAGCATGTAGGATCTCGTAAAAGATAAACACGAGTTAATTTCATTTACAGTGACAGGTAGAGAATTTTAATTTTTACATCTTTTTTAATCAGAAATATTTGCCTGATCTACCATAATAGTATAACCTTTTTCCAGTGAATCTATTTATTTGTACTATTATGTTCTATACACGTAGAGATTTGTGTGTGTAATTTTTTTTAATGTAAAATTAGTTTGTCTTTTCTATGAGTTACTCCTATCTACTTTATAGTAGTGGTCGGAACTAATTTCAATTTGAAATTGAATTTAACATTTTCTATTATTTCACGAGAACTCATCTAATACAGATTATAAGAACAATTTCGATTCATAATCGTTCCCACTGAGAGATAGTTGGGACTATTTTCTTAAACCTGATACCTTATTTGGTGACACAGAGATTTAATATTTTTTCTATAACTATATGAACTCAGTGGCTAAACAAATAGGAATTTCGTTTGCTGACATTAAATTTCATAATGCATCTGCATATACCTTCTAATTAACTAACCCTAAAGTTCACATAGTAGAGTACCACTGCCCAAGTGAAGTTTTACTTTTCTATTTTGCTCGGGTATATTACTGTTTTAACTTTCTGCCGACGAGTAATTACTTTCGCAGATTGTATCTGCTCCATATACGTTATTAATCTGAGAGCGAATGTTATTGTCCATTAAACGAAGTGAAATTAATATAGTAGACACGTTTTCCTTTTCAATATTTTAATACCTTATAATTAACATTTTTTTTACAAATAGCATTCCTAAAGAGTAAATGCATTTTTTTAAATTGACACTCTCCAACTTACAAAAGATCAGTGTTTATTAGCGAAAGCAATATGATACAGGCAACTTTCAAGTTTTATTCAACATTTTGGCAACCTTCAGTAAAAGGGAATTTTGTTTTCACTGATGTTTCACAGTGTTTCACGAAAAAAATTTTTTTTTCATAACTAACACTAGATATTGTGTAAAAGATTTTAAAGTTTTATCAGTTATGTCTGTTCGGGTGTGAACTGTACATTTCGGGAGAAAAATTTAAAAATAATAAAAATGAAATATATTTTTTAATTGTATAATGTACGGTGCATAAGTTACTAGAAAATTTGAAACATTTTTAGAGTCGAGTCAAGTTTGTAGTCAATATATACTCGCTTGCATTATTACATCAAGAATATTTAGACAGAAAACTTGTACCCTTTCTAGATATACGTGTTCTTTAAAAAACTGTCTTAATAATAATGTATAATCTAAATATCGGTAGCTATATGTTTGTGGTTTTCTTTTCTTGCTGCCAGTCTGCTTCTTGCTCTGAAATTTTGTTATGTCACCAAAATCGTTTTTATTGCTTTCTTTATCAGTTTGAAGTTTTCTGTCGGTATACATACACGCTTTCCATGGTCAAACATCAGCCCAGGCCCTTAAGGAATTGTTAAACTGTTCAACAAGCAAATTATTTCCGGCAACAATTACTTAAGAAAAAATGATTAATTATATTTGAGCTCTAGGCGATCGGTAGTAAATCAAGGAGGTCGGTGAACTGTGGAAGAAATTCGAATGTCAACAATGAAGTTCGTCTTAGGTAACGGTATAAGGACGTTCCACAGTAGGCCAAATCATTTAATAATATTTAAAAACGCACTATTATTCTTTCGAGGGTACAGTTACGAGTTTCAGCTTAATCGAAAGCAGAAAATTATTCATTCTTAATATCCAAAATGCAAGAAGTAACTGAATACACATTTCATATTGATACCCACAAATTATTTTTATAGGTTGGTACTTGAAACTAGGTGTTAAATTGAAAAGCGCATTTCTAGAACAGTTTTAATTTTTTAAAGTCATTTAAATATTCTTTTGCCGATGTTTTGGAATATTTAGAAGTTAGAAGCTATAATTAAAAATAAAACTGTCTTCTAGCTTTTCTTTGTTTCTTTACATGAGATAATGTTCCCTATTAATAGATGAGTGAAGCGGGTTGTGCAAAAATAACCTCAAACCTTTATCGCGCCGTTTTCAAGAATTGAGGTTATTTTCTACCCAACAATACTTATCTATTCTACAGTTACTTATTTCCATACTATTGTTTGCTAGAATCCCTAAATAAGTCATCACGTGTCAATAATACTAGGTATAGGTACAGGTGGTTTTGTAAAGTTTGCCTTGTAACTTCTATTTCAATTAGAAATTTTAAACTTAAATTGGATTTGAAAATGTCATAATACTATGAAATATTTCATAGAATATTTTTTATGCAAGTGTAACTTACTATATATTATTAAATAGATTTTTTTTATTATGGATATATATTGTAGAATATGTACTAAAGGTTTTTTTTAGAGCTATTCTTCATTTTACTTAAGGGAGCGTTAAGGACCCAGTTCTTTTACTTTTGATAAACAAAATTTCACCATCCGCACACAAAATTAACCAAAACTAACCAAAAAACTATGCCATACCGAATTCAGGACATTACATAAACTTGACTTAAATTTAGTGCTACAGCTTTCCCTGCCGGATGCCTTACCATGTGTTTTTAAGTTTCTTCAAAAACAGATAAATTTTCCATCATATAGCTATAGCTCTGAAGTTTCCTTTGTCCAAGTACTCCTCGGCAGATATATTGCTATAAATTAAATACCAGATCTTTATATCAAGATGCTGGACAATTGCGCATCGCATGCGCGGTAAAAGTTCAATAGCCGCTGCATCGTTTCAAATGTAAATGCAAGACGTAACTCAAAAATATAATTTGTTGAAATTGCAACAGCAGCTAAACGAGACATCAAACTGATTATGGCGCGGGCGCAGCCATTCCATTAAACACCCAAGGCAAAATCCCAATGAAATTTTACGAACTTGACAATAAAACAATCTGGCCGGTATATCTAAGTCACGACCTTCCTCAACAGCATCTCCGAGTTTCCTGTGTCGGCGCGTGCGTGATGCACGCTATGTAAATTCTGATGTAGGTACTAGCTTGATAGTAAAAAAGGTCCTTGAAATAGCTTTTCGAGATTTAAATTAAATTTACAGGCTCCTGAAGCCAGTAGACATGGAATCATTTAATGATAGATTACGTATCTACCCGTTTTTTTTTGTTCTGTTGTATCAGAGAGGGTCGACTTAAATATACCACGACAAATCAGTTCCTGTTATTTAACAGCAACACCTCTAGCAGTTCAAGGACATTTTTTGTATAACTGTGAATTTCTCCGTTAAACTGAAATAGTAACAAAGGAAAACAGAAAAACATAACTGTACTTCGGTGGTCCTAGTTAAAAATTTATCTCATGAATTCCTGCTTAAAGCCAAACATTTTAAGAATATCTGATATATTTTCTTCAGGTGTAGAGCATAAAACTTTATTTTGGTATATATTCTAGATGTAAAAGTTCCTTTCAAAAACTTTTCCTTCCTGCTCATCGAAGCATTTTGATAGGAACTGACACTTGACTCTCATTCATTAGAAATTGAAATAATGGTTTTTAGTTATTCCCTACTTTCTGACAAAACATATTTTTCTTTTGAAGCGCAAATCCAGTTTTATTGTTAGAATCAAATCATATTTTGAAAACATCGTAACAACTAAACCCATAAATCAGTAGACAACAAAAAGTAAACTTACCTTCGCATTGAAAACCATCTCCATGATATCCTGGATAACACGTACAAGAAAAGCTCCCCAAGGTGTTAGTACAATGAGCAAACACGTCGCAAGGTCGATACTTGCATTCGTTTTCATCTGTAAATAAAATATGGCTATATTTTTTGATCAATCAATCGGGGAAAAATATCATAGTATACAAAGATTCTTTATTCATCGATACTAACATGATTAACCAAAACGCACCAAAAATTCTGACATTATGCTTTTGATAACGAGTTATTTAAATATAAATTTTTCTCTGGAGATGTATAAAAGGGTGGAGTTTTTTTTTAAGGAAACTCAACAAAAAAGATGTAGATTTGGACAATGTGCATTCAAGTTGACAATAATTTACAATTCAAAAACATATTTCAGTTCAGTAAACTGCGATTTACAGAGTGAAAGAATTTGGCCCAGTCCACAGACGTTCAAATGATCCAGTCTCATGTAAATTAAAAGAGGAAAATTGACTTAGAATGTGCGTGTTAGACATAAATTCTATTCTCCACTTTTTTTTGGTCAAAACATTACGTTTCATAAATGCCATCCGTTTCGTTCAAGAAAAATAGCTTATAGATCAGATTGTATTTTAATTTAGAGGACACGACGGTTTTCCAATAAATTGTATAATGAAGCACAATGGTTGCGTAAATGTCTTCATCCTAAAATTTGGAAAATGAGATTGAAAAACCTTTGTGCTGTAATGTGTAATTCGCTTGGCCCCGATTTTTGGTAGTAAAACCATATCGACAACAACGTTGTTGTTATTGTTAAAAACGTCAGTGGATGATTGGAATAATAAATTTAAATCCGAATCATCCTTATTTTAAATCATTGGGTGAATAAACTTAAAGGTTATTTATATACTCGCGCAAATACGAGTTACGTAATAACATACGTACATATTTACGACTGGAAATATTTAAATAGATCCATTTGCTTTTGCGTAACGGCAACCAGTTAGCAATAAGGACGAGTAGGATTGCATTATGCATTTCTGAGGAGCTATTCGGAAATGTTTACGCTGTCTTTGTGACTTTCTGCATACTTCTAGACTTTATATTAATGGAAGCAATATTGTGACTTCTTAGTCTCTCGGTGAGTTGATAATAAAGTTATTGACACCAGTTTAAAAAAACGCAGAAACGGCTAAATCTAAATCGATATAAAGTGTTTGAAAATATACCCTACACTTACATACATACATACATACATACTTTACAAAAAAAAACGTTCAATATATCATTACATAAATTACATAAAATTAAGAATTATTAATTGAAGTACATATTTTTTGTATTAAAAATTGTAAACACTTGTAATTAAAATTAAAAATATGTATGTAAAGTTCTAGTACGAGGAATTTGCATACTTATGTTAGACCGAGACAGTTATTTTCGGGAAAAATTAATTATAATACAATAATATAAACTTGAGTTTTTACTAACACACAATAACGCGTTTTACCACAAATTGGCATCTTCAGGAGAAAATTAAAACTGGTTTTAATCTTCTCCTGAAGATGCCAACTTGGTTGGCGAAGCGCGCGTCCAGTACGTAAAATTGAGTTTCGGTTTGTGGTAAAACGCGTTATTGTGTGTTAGTGCAGTGCCAAAAGTTTGATTGAGTTTTTACTGTCTCCCTCATGCGGCTGGTATTCGGGTAACTCAGAACTAAAGTAATGGACCATTTTATATTCCCGATTTCTATAATCAAAATGAATTTAAATATTTTTAAATACATTGGAATAAACTTAATTGCCAAAAAAGTATTTGTATTTGTTTTTAAATATAAATATAATAAATACGCATAAAAATGTATTATTAACAACTTTGATAATTTCCAGAAAAATTTGAATTTGTGATTTGCTTTTTTGAAATGTATTTATCATTATAGGTAAGTCCCTTGTTGTCTACTAGCTATATGATATTATATTATAGCTGTATGGTTCGAACCAATTTACGTAGCTGCCGAGTTTGGGAATTTTTCTTTGTTTACGTCAAATTTGCACGTACTTTAAACTTAATGCAAAAGCGTCGTAGGTATAATGTGGCCAACGTACAATTAAAATCCGTTGAAAACTTATCAAACCCTCGCGAAAGCAATTAAGTTCGAAACCGACAAGATTCAAGTCTTAGAATCAAGAGTAAGGTAGACAAACATATCATTTATTGGCAGAGCGAGTAAACTTGTGGGCGCGTTAAGTACCATTCAATACCATCTTCTAACGGTCGAACAACACCGAATACCGTTTTGATAGCGAAATACGATGTCGAAACACTTACCGGGAACTTCGCAGCTACAGCCTCCATAACCGTCGTTACAGTAACATTGATTATCGAGGCATGCCCCGTTTTGGCATTCCGTGCCATCTTCTTTCCGACAGTCATCTAAAATTAAAAGCAAAAATAATTTACATCGCTTAACTGTGCCTACTGCTCCCTTAATTATGCCATTCAAATACGTCTTCATCAAAAACATGCAGGAAAAAATGTAATTCAATTTCTGCAAACCCTAAACGACGACGATGGGCCCGTGACATAAAAAGCAAACAAATCAATTAGTTTAAAAGATATGTATTAAAAGCCTAACGTAAAGTCAGAGAACGTTAACTTATCTCATTTTGCTTTATGATGACATTAGTAAGTAAAATGGAGATATAGTCTTGAGCGAAGATTTGAATGACCTTAATAAAATGTCGCGCATTACCATATTTAGAGAACTTTTAGCTAGTTTTAACAATTTGCGAAAAGCCAGGAATTATGTAGCGTGTTTCTTATACTATACGGTTTAAAGTATAATGGAAATGTTTGGAATATCATTATAGATGTTTTTCTCCAATTATTTCAAACCGATCTAGAATTAAGAAAGACTAAAAATCTTTTTCTCAAGAATCAAAGTTGAATTTTTTTTATTCCAAAAGTTATCCCATTAACTTTGTCGTTTCAATAATTTACAATTCATATTTATCTCGACAGACTGATAAGATAAACAAAATAAGCATTTTTTTTAACAAACTGTAGCTGTAGTAAAACTGACTAGTACTATATGAAGAGTCTACTGAAAAAAGGACAAAGTTCATTATGTTATAAATATGTGCTAAAAAATCCCAAAGTTGTTTGATAAATAAAAATATTGCAAGACTACAGGAACAATGAAAAGTTAAGGTATTTCAATTATTAAAAGCATATTGGGAAGAAAACAAACTATAATTTTTAACATAGTCGACGACTACAAAATAAAAGACGAATGGCGGACAAGGAGAACTGTTACGAATCTGTGCTATGAACCCGGCAAATTAAATGCACTCCAAATTATTAATAAATTTGAATTATGGCAGTTAATGTCAAAGATTTTAAAGATAAATGGTTGTATATTTTGTGGTGTACAGTCCATTTTGGTTTTATGTCGTGTACTTGCTGAAGAAAATAAATAAAGATGTTCTTAAGATTCTCATCACCTTTCCTCATGTTAAGAGTAGTACCGATTTAACCGAATACGTAAATTCCATATCAGAGATTCTCTCTATGCCCACGTCGTGACACTAAATTTTTCTTTTTCGTGCAAGACATAAATATAGGTAAAATTATGGATTTAATTAATATGTCTATTTTTTTTCTATAACTTTGGTTGTAGAAAATGGAAAATTAAGTAGAGAAATGAAATTATTTAAGAGCAAAATTAGCAGTAACTTAATCTATTCTCCATGTTCTTAACAAAAGTTGTATACATTGCCTGGGAATTATGGGAAACCCTTGTAAATTCGCTAATGTAAACATTTCCACTTTCGAGTGGAGTGCATTTCTTAATTCCCCATACCGGGATTTTTTTTCTCTATTATCGGATAAAAATACAAATTCCTTTCTCCTCTAGCACGACCCACGTACTAGACACCGATATAAAAATGATACTGGACATTCTTGTTTCGCATCTGCCCATACAAGCCGCGATCGTGCACATGAATCATTTATAGAATTTGCCTGGCGACGGTTTTACTTTTACTTTAAAAGTCGAACATTATTTTTACATTCCCGGGTAAGTAAATCTAATGCAAACGACGTCTCTTTCATAAACAAACAAAGCAAAACCAAACGTGTTGCATAAGTAAAGAGAAATTTTATTTAGTACCTGGTGATGTCTAACTTACAAATTGCCACTAAAATGTGAAGAAATCTTTGAACTTGAAACCCAGCTGCATTTAACGAGTCATTTCACGATGTGTCCGTAAGAAAAATTCAAGTGGCAGTAAAATGAAAACCGAAGGTAATTTCAGTTAAACGTAAATTCGCAAAGTTTGCATTTTCAACTAAACCTCTCGCAGGTAAAATGTATAATTCTTTTTTTGCACTACAGCAAGAATACAATCACTGAGTCACATGACCATCAGAATTACATCAAAATACTATCAGATCAAATACAAATCCGTGGAAAAGCTGGAAGTGGCTAGCGATAGTGTTTATTGATGCGGACGTTTCAAAGTGATCCTTTAGGGTGGTAGGGGGCCGAAGAAATTCCTTATAAATTTCAGATTGTTTTATCATACCGACTATTACATTGTATGTAAATGTTTGCATCACCATCTACTGAAGTTGAACACGGTTGGGAGGAAACTATAGGAATGTATAATGTGCAAAGAAGATTATTTTGACCCTGTATCCATTACATCTAACTTTCTTGATATAAAATTATGTGTTTCCGACAATAATTTTTATATTTTTTGATATTCCACTCTATTTTTAATGAAATACGATTACGGGAGAGAGGAGCTCTAAGCAATATATTTTTTCTGTTTTGTGTGATGCACAACGAAAACGAGGCGACTATGTTTAAAATGCGCCATGCAGTTGGGACAGAACATGATTTCTCTTTAATGAACCATTTCTAGAATATTCTGTTTCTATACCTGAATAGTTAAAATCCACTAAACTCGTTGGGGAACCGATTAGATATTTTTATCATCAAGAACAATTTACTGTGGGTTTTCATGCAAATTAGATAAACAAAACACTTAAATTTTAATTTATTTCGAAAATCCGCACATTTTTAATATCAATATGAATTCAAATATTTGTTTACTATCTTATAAGGAAGAAAATGATACTTTGTAATTTTTTTAACTCGGGAGGGGGGAGGAATTTGTTTTCTTCCCATTGGAAAGAGTAAAATGTCAAGGGGTTTGTCACTGGAATTAGTTGGGTGATCCGTGGATACTGATTTTTCGAAAAATCTTCAAATCTTCAGTCATAAAATACGGGCGTCGTTAAGAACAGTTTGGGCGATGAATGTTTTTTAACAAACTTTAAAAATATTGTTCTAATTCTTGAAATAGTTACAAAAGGCTGTTGACAGAATTATATGCATGTTTTGAACAAACAATAATGAACATTACTAATTTGTTATTAGGGGTAAAATATATATAAATAAATAATATATATACTATATTCCGGGATATCATCCGTTCGCTCGTTGAACTCCGACTGGAATCCTGCATCCGACTGGAATCCTGCAAATCCTGCATCCGACTGGAATCCCGCAGACGTTTCGCCAAAATCTCACTTGGCATCTTCAATGCTCGCGCTCCGAAGTGTTCGAAGTGTTTTCGGAGCGCGAGCATTGAAGATGCCAAGTGAGATTTTGGCGAAACGTCTGCGGGATTCCAGTCGGATGCAGGATTTGCAGGATTCCAGTCGGATGCAGGATTCCAGTCGGAGTTCAACGAGCGAACGGATGATATCCCGGAATATAGTGTCATCATATATATATATATATATATATATATATATATATATATATATATATATATATATATATATATATATATATATATATATATATATATATATATATATATATATATATATATATATATATATATATATATATATATATATAATCCATTTAAATATCAAAGTGCATTGCAACACGCCAGATATTTTGGATTGATGGATCGTGCTCGCGTATGTGAACGACCAAATCGCCAAACTGCTATCCACAGTGAATCACTTTGCATATGTTTCATAATTTTCAAGTATTTTCCATTAGATGAGATTTTATAACGAAATTTATTATACCAACAGATTATAATTAGCGTCCATATGATCAAATATTAGCATATTCTTTTGCTTTGCATCAAAAATTTAAAACTGTCAATTTTAACCACCTGATCATTACTAGTGTCTCTAGTTGAGAAACTCGCACCGAAAATGAAGCCCCCGGTATATAATATGATTCGGACCCTTCCGATAAAACCCTAAAATACTAAAATTGCTTCACGAGACGCCAAAAAATGTCCTCTATCTATCTCTCTTACATATCGACATGGACTTATTTATCGATATCCAATAACAAAAGCTCGTACAATTTGAATGTAATTCCTGTGCGTTCGATACAGTTCGAGTCCTGTGATTTAAATCTGTTATACTTATACTTAAGAGTGACCGCAGGATTTCCTTTTACGGCATAATGTGACTTGCACGCGTTTTTTTTCTTCGATTTTGCTTCGAATAAGTAGGCGGCAGACGGACGCGCGCTGGAAGAACTTGATCGCATAGAGAAGTCGGCAAACGGCAAGCAGAAAATGTTTGGCATTTGATCGTTTACGTTTCGTCATTAGCGTTCAGAGCTCTCTAAATTATTTACAATGCGAAATCCCTCAGGAACGTTCCAACAATGGCAAACCTGGTTGCTTGTTAGTTAAATAGTTGCGGTCAGCCATCCGGTACTACATGTAAAATCTGGTGGAACTAAATTTTGACTGGCGTGTAATTTTTATTTAAATAATTCTGTAAACTAAACAAAATTCGGGAAATTCTCATGCTATTACTTAGTTATAATAGTTAATTTTATTTTGTAATACTTACTAAGCAAAGACATTTTTTTTTCATATGTTAATTAGATTTTGGTAAGTATTTTTACTTCAGGTTTATTTCCCTCAGCATTTTAAAATTGGGTTATTGTACTTTTGCTTGCTAACGAACATCTTTTTTAGAAATCTATTTTGTTCTTCCGATTCAATATTTTGTGAAAGATCCATGTCATCAAACAGCTATTTTAAAAACTTTTTCTGCGCAGAGCTCTACGTGGTATGGTAAATATTTGCTTTGACGAATATTTAAAAAATACTAATATTTTTAAGCAAGAAGAGGTTCATCAAAAAGCAAAATGTGACTTACTAGATTCTGTAAATTCTTTACTGTACTTGTGAAACCGAATGTTTGGAGTTTGTAATGTATGCTAAGGAAGAGTCGAAGATCATTCTAAGGCCTTTTAGTGACCTGAAATCTTATAAGATTTGCCGCCAGACATACAAAGCAGCATACAAATATTTATTTTTAAGATATTTGTTGTGTTGCATTATTCTGCAAAACAGAAATTATTTGTAGTGTGCCAA